TTCGAGACCAACTCAGCTCTTCGATTTGGCGGTTTAGTGAAGCAGTGAATTGAGGGGATTGCTTTGTAGGTTTACAGTGAAAAGGAGCTGCTCGAGAAAACCTAACTGCTTAAAAAATTAACAGCTGATTTTAAAAAGAGACGAAATGAGATTTCGACATTTAAATCCTGAACTCTGCTTCCACGATTTTATTAAAAACTGTGATATTTATCGGTAAAAAAAATATTTTTGCCTCGTATTTATTCGACTATTTTTTGGGGACCAAGACTTTGCGTCAGAGATTGAGACTAAGAAAGAGTTGTTTGGGTGACACAAACCCCTTAAAGGACCAGCTTTAAGTCTCCCATCTCTTGTACAAAGTCAAACATCTGATCAGCCCATAAAGACAGTCCAGTGTCCGAAACAATTTTATGTTCTTTTTTGGGGATCAAGTCTTTGCATCATAGATCAAGACTAAGGTAGAGATTGTTTGGGTGACACCAACCCCTTAAAGGGCCGGCTTTAAGTCTCCCATCTCTTGTACAAAGTCAAACATCTGATCAGCGCATAAAGACAGTCCAGTGTCCGAATCAGTTTTTCCTCTTTTTCTGGGGACCAAGTCTTTGCATCACAGACCAAGACTAAGAAAGAGTTGTGTGGGGTGAAACCAACTCCTTAATGAGTCAGCTTTTATTCACCCATCTCTTGTCCAAAGTCAAACATCTGATCAGTGTATAAAGACAGTCCAGTGTCCAAAACATTTTTTGGGGGGGGGGGGGTGACCAAGTCTTCGCATCACAGATCAAGACTAAGACTAAGTGCATGGTGACACTGATCCCTTAAAGGGCCAACTTTAAGTCTCCCATCTCTTGTACAAAGTCAAACACTGGATCAGTGCATAAAGACAGTCCAGGGTCTGAAACAGTTTTTCACACTTTTTTGGGGACAAAGTCTATGCATCACAGATCAAGACTATGAAAGAGTTGTGCAGGGTGAAACAGCTCCTTAGTGGGTCAGCTTTTAGTCTCCCATCTCTTGTACAAAGTCAATCATCTGATCAGTGCATAAAGACAGTCCAGTGTCTGAAACAGTATTTTTTTTGGGTGGGAACCAAGTCTTAGCATCATAGATCAAGACTATTAAATATTTGTGCAAGGTGACACCAACCCCCTAAGGGGCCAGCTTTAAGTCTCCCATCTCTTGGACAAAGTCAAACATCTGACCAGTGCATATAGACAGTCCAGTGTCCGAAACAGTTTTATTTTTTTGGGGGGGGGACCGAATCTTTGCATCATAGATCAAGACTAAGAAAGAGTTGTGCAGGGTGAAACAGCTCCTTAGCGGGTCAGCTTTTAGTTACCTATCTCTTATGCAAAGTTAAACACCTGATCAGTGCATAGACAGTCCAGTCTTCAAATCAGATTTTCCCCTTTTTTTGGGGGACCAAGTCTTTGCATTACTGATCAATACTAAAAAAGAGTTTTATAGGGATGAAACTGAAATAACAGTCCAGTGCCCCAAGAGTTTTTCCTTTATGTGTAGAACCAAGTATTTGCATCATGCAGAGATGAAGACCAAAGACGATACTTTTTGGGTGACACCGACTCTTTACTGACTCAACACTTCATTACCCATCTCTTGCAAAAAGTGCTCCTCAATTCAAAGCATAAACATAAAACAGTTTTGGAAACAGGCTTTATTTTTCCTTTTCCTTTTTTTGGCAAATGACCATGTTTTCAAATACTCAGGCTTTTTATTTCTAGCATACTAAAATGATACTTATCTGATAAATCACCTGCACTACCAAAAACCCTACCAGACTAGAGGAGAACATCTTGCTATCCTGGGAAGGAAAAGGAAGAACTTATAAATAAATCTCAAGGAGAGGTTGTTAAGTTCTACAATATAAAAGTATTTCCCTGTTGTCTCAGTATCAAAATGCAGTTGTGTGCTTAGTTGTGTTGAACAGCTTTGTAAAGATCTTAAGCAACTTTCACCTTTAAAATGTAAAAAGAAAAAAAATGACTGAACATATCAGTCTGTCATTAATCAGGAAGATCATCAGAAAATCTGTCAATTCATCTGCCTTAAAAAAGCTTTAATTCTCTACAAATGTAATCCAAATTTCTTTTCATAACATTTTACAAAAGAACTCAGTACATAACAGTTTATGCCAAAAAAAATTTTATAACTATTTTCGTATTCTATACAATACCAGTTTTCAGCTTGTAGAGAACAGTTGACTGTTGACTATACATGTAGATGTAAATCAAAAGTATCAAACTTAAAAAATAAAGCTTAGTTTTCACTGGCAACGCTAGAACAAAGTTGGCAGTTGGAATCAAATAATTTTGTCTAAAAAGTCTTGGTATCATGTGAGAATTTTTGATTAGTAGATGTACCTCAGAAACATCAAACTTAAAAAATACAGCTGGGTTTTCTGACTAGGCTTAATGTTGAAGAAGCTTCAAATTGACCAGCTCATTATTTTCACCAACAACATAGGAGAAACTTTTTGTCTTAAAAGTACATGTACAATGTGTTGTTGTACCACAGAAAACAAAGAGCAGGGATTGAAATTGTTAAAAGCTTGCTGTGTGATGCTCATAAGTCCTTGGAATATGACACTGCACACATAAAAACAAATAATCAGCATGTATCATTTAGTACCATCTCATCAAAAACCAGTCACCTCATGAATTCAAACATTTCCTCTTTGTTCAGTAAATGGTTTGAACCCAAATTAGATTGTGTAGTAAATAGCTCACTGTGAAATGGAACTTCCAAGAAAAAGGTTTAAGTCAGCAGAGGGCTTTGCATGATGTGAAAGCACATCGCATTCAATGACTTCTTTTCTTAAATTTGTATACTTTCAGGTGATAGTTTACAACTTTTCTCATCTAAAAGATGACTCTTCCTCGACCAATGACAAGACCTTTTTAATTCCCATGTAAATTTTAGAATTTTCCTCTAACCTGTGCTTATTGTTTTTTTAATTGTTTTTTTGCTTTAGCAATTTTTTTTGACAGACAAAAATATTTCAATCTCTCTTGCAAGACCAGTAGTTAACACTGACACTGACTTCAGAAAATAAATCTATCCACACTGCCTAACCTTGAGATTAATCTGTCTTCATTATACATATTAGATACAGCTATCTACACTGTAGTCTACTGTAGATGCAACTATCTACCCTGTCTACAATAGATGTAACCATCAGAGTGCAGAGCTCTCAGGAATAGATTTAAATTTCCCGCGTTCAGGTATAAAAATAATATCAAAACGAATAGATTAAACAGTTGCTTACCAGAACTAAAAACATAATGATCGAGAAAACCGTCTCTAGAATCAAATTTTAAATAAAATTCTGCAAAACGAAACATCCTTGAGAAATACCTTATCACTGCACGACTTCAGATGTTTCGGTGTCCAGCGGCGAGTATGTGGACATCAACCATTTTTGTGTTTGGCAGCCACGGAAATCATTCCTATTAAATTAAGATGAAGGAACCGTGTAAAGATAAGTGTGCTTTAAGAGCCAGGTGATGCTGAAGGGCCCTTTTATCTCAGAGTTTTATGTCAAACGATAATATTGTTGCTGCTATCCTACTCTCCATGGTCCACATGGTAGCTCTAGTAATTCCCAGTCTCCGCAGTCAGAGGAACTAAACAACCTCGTTCTCAGAGGTCTCGCCGGTGAGCGAGGGCTCACTATTTGCATAAAAAGTAATTCTCAAGAACCGAATTTTGGTCCATACTGATTAGTGACGGACCGTGTTGCTTCCCTTTCGATTTATGGAAGATATTAAAATTTGCGAGCACCAATACTATATTTTTCAAATTATATTCTTAGGTTTATTTACACCTTAAGAATTCTTTTCGCTCTTGTTTCCTAGGCGTCGGTTAAAGAAGGTCTCGCGTACTCAGGTCTACCACACGTAAGCACGCTATGCCTACTAGGCGCAATGGAAAGGGCCTCTCGTCTCAAGCGAGAGGTCTGAGATCCCAAGCGTCTTTTTTTTTCTTCTCTTTTTCCTTTTTTATATTTAATTTCTTCTTCAAAAACTTGTTTTTTTCCCCTCTTTTCGCTTAGAGCGTCATCAGTTATTGTGCAGCAGTCGGCATCTTTTTTTCGGTTTAAGAAGCCAATTACCGAAGCGCAGTGTTTGTCTTTCCTTTTCCTACTTTTGAAAAAAGTAGATTCGAATCATTCCGGAGTACAGTTTGGAGATATTATGTTTTAGGCAAACCTTATCCACGCAGTCTTAAATTCAGGTCATCTTTCATCCATCAGTAAAATTTGCTCATCTCACATCTCAGCTGTTAGATAAATATGCGTTATTTCTCATTGGACTGTTAGATCTTTGACCAATTCTCAGGTATCAGTCGAGCCTCATGCATGAACTAAACATTCGAAGGTGGACTTACCACAAAGTTAACAGGAATGGAAGGAAGAAGTGATGGATGGGAGGGAGTAAATTTGGGGTCATAACAACAACTCGGACATGGCTGTCAGCCATTTTCTGAGTTCAAAACGGGTGAGCATGATTTAATGAATAGATTCGACGATTAAAAAATAATTCTTTCACTGTGGCGGACTTCACTTATGCTCGTTTTGTCATTGCGCGCGTTATAATCCAGGCGCGATTATCAGCTGCTGTTCGGGAATATGAGCCCGCGCTCCTTCCCCACTTACGAATTTAAGAAACGTGCACAGATATCCTACCCAACACACAAGAAAGAATTTAGCTCCATACAAATGAAAATTCTGTTCAACATTGATTTATTTCCATTTTCCCATGAAATAATACCTGCAAAATAGCATCTTATGAACGATATGAAATTTTAACAAAAATTCTCGCATTATCTTTAAGCCTTTTTTTGCTTTCATTACATTTTTAACGACCGCTCTCCTGTGCAGTCTCAATGAGTCACGTGACTGCTGACAATTTCAATCATTAGAAATTAACTAAAATTAAACATCAGACACTTGAGCATTGGAGAAAGCCTGTTGTACTCTCTACGCAGAGATCGATATCATTATGCCTTGTGGGAAGAATAGTTTCTTCAAAATTCAGTCCTTTGTGGAAGATTTGAAGATTTGAAGATTTTCTAATGGAGAACCAGCAGAATAACATTTTCTTGAGCTAATATGAAATTTAATGGACCTTATCAATTTGCATTCTAAGGAAATTACCTAACAGCTTTAGAGTTTGTTTAATGTTTTTAAGGAAATTTTGGGATAAATTTGTCTTCAGGTAAAGGAAACAGAAGTTTCCCAAAAGTCGCTGATCTTGTACTGTTGCCGCCTCTGCCAACTTTAAGCACCAAATATCTTCTTTACGGTGTAACCCTAAAACGATAATAAAATGAAAAGTTTAACATGTATACAAATCCCGTTAAAGGGCTTTTTGATGTGCTGTTGTAAATGGCGTAAACCAAAACCAAAATCAAATTCATATTATAACCGATCAGAACAACTACTCCTAAGTGCAGGAAATTTTGGGTGAGTAACCCGTTTGGTTTTGCTGTGTCGCGTATATATGAGTAGTAGCGGGGTACAGGTCAGACAACCCTTTACACCCTAAAATCAGTATGCAAATTCTCCATACTATTCTCCATATATTTCCTAAAGTGCAGACTGGGTGAATTTGATTATAATCAAGCGTTTGTTTAGTTGGCGATAATTTCCTTTATTCTTGCTATTTTAATGTGTGATTAAGGGGTGATATTGTGGGGAAAAATTAGATGTTGGTTTCTCTTAGGGTCAAAGAGCGAAGACCAATAACATTACTTCGTGAAGTGGAGCAAAGGCAATGAAATCCTTGATTACTTTCGATGTTAAATCATAAGATTCTCAAACAAAGGGCTTTTCTTTATAACTTATGTAAACATCTGCAAACTTTTCTGAGAGTTTGTCTCATTTGTTAAACGTCCTGAACACACAACAGTGTACTCGCAGGTACAATGTACACCGTAAGGGCTTTCATGAACTATACTGCATTTATATTTCGTGTATAATACCTTTTTCATGGTATGTTACACTCCATGCAGCCATACATGAGCTACAGTGCGTAGTTTTATAAATTATAGTAATGCTTTCAAAAACAAGACAGTGAACTTACAGGCATGCTGTATATAAAGATGCCAATCAACAAACCAACAATGAGCAAGATGAGGAGAAGAATTATTAGCCATTTGTATCGTCGCCAGATGATGTATTTCAGCGTCTTGAATGGTGATGTGAACCACAGGAACGAGGTAGCAGGACGGCTGGTGACAAATGAATCATGATCGATTAACGATTTACAAGCCCAAATACCAATCACAGAAGGATTAAGTAGAGGTAAAGTAAGTTATTTCTCAACAAGTACCTCTCTGAAAAAAGACAGGCACGCTGTAGTGCGCATTTCAACTAAGAATCTTAAAGTCAAAACCAAAGTAATCGGCCAATCAGAAACAAGAAAACACAACGAGGAGCCAATTAGATCTGGAAGCAAACACCAGCAAACTACCTTCATTAAGAGCGGGAGAGTGTGAGTGACTATGTTAAGATTGATTCAAGGCTCTAGTTTTGCATCTGATTGGAAGAGAGATGGCGCGAGTTTTCGTTGGATTTCCCTTGACACACAATTGAAAATTGCTTTATGAGCCGTCTACCTTTGTGGTAAACACAGCTTACTATCTACACTTACTCAGGTTCTGGCAGAACTGGGTGCATATTGGGGTCATCTCGTCCTTGTCCCGCGGGCTTTGCTTCTGCCTCCCATCCCTGGAGTAACTCAATGGTCATCTCAACTTTACCCTGCGATAACAATGAGAGAGAATATAACAGCTGAAATATTGAGCACGATGAATGTATATAGAGGAGATCCTAGCGTGTTATACAACGACGAGTCATTGTTTCGCAAATTACGAAATTGCACAACAATTTGATTTTGAATTGAACAATTTGAAAAAATATCATATTCCTAAGTTGATTTTTCACGAGTGAGACGCCACCCTAGTAAAATGAAAGTTTGGAATGGAACGAACTAAAAAGAAACTCTTTAAGATGCTGGTATACATTTCCAGTGTTATTTTAGCTAGAAATTTAATTTTCACCCACCATCTTCTAGAATTTAAGGGTTCCTTGGCGGAAAGGCCAAGTAAAAAAAATCTTTGAGCGTGTATGACACTTACCGTTGGTTCAGCCGGGTTTTCGGCATCTGGCTTAAAACAGGCCCACCAACCTTTTGTACTTTTTACCGTGAACAAGTCAAGGGTTTTACCATTAAGCCCTGGATCTTTGCTAGGATTACCACAGTGGTCAGAGTCAAGACAAGGCTTTGCCAGCTCATTCAGATTTAACTCTAGTTGTCCTATGTATAACAGAGAAACACAGTAAGAAAAATACTTAGCAGAATGTCACTTCGTCAATGTGCCACAAGTTGGTGAGAATACGCACTTCTTGGTACAATGTGTCTTGAGGGTACACACTAGTAAACCCAGAAGAGAAAATATCATGAATAACATATCGCGAAACGAAGGAGTCGTCTTTCTTGTCAAGGAGTCGAGCCTCAGAGCGAGGCTCAATCGAATTCTATGACTAATCCTTGAATATTTCCTAGGACGTCACCGTCATTGGTGTACGGACACCTTCTGTCCTGAAGAGATATGACCATCGATTTCCATAGATGGCGGTGAAAGATTTTCTTTATACGATGTGCGGGCCTATAATTGCCTACCTATGAAGTCATCACTAGAGAATGTGTCGTTCTCCCAAATCTGAACTTTGAGTTTTGCGTCGACTTTCTCTTCAGTCTCGTCAAGACTCCAGAAGTGTTCCTACGAATACAATAAGCTTTAATCATACTTTCTCTGTCGAAAACAAACCTTCAACAAGTTGACATCAACTGAAAAATAAGTAACTGAGTATTGTCTGTTGCACTACCTTCTTTTTTACAACCAATTTCTTCTCGATAGGCAAGTAGTCAAAAGGAAACACCATTCGCCAGTTGAAGTTGCCATCGCCATCCAGAGATCTGTTTCAATCAATCAAAGCACGCTTAGGAATAAACGTTTAAGTGGAAGAGCTTGAAAGAAATTATTTATGTTAAGGATAGGAGAAAGCCAGTTTTATGGATTTTTATCTCTATTATTGTATGAAATTTGTCCTCAATTGTTTAGCCTTAAGTTGTTGAGGAAAGTGAAGCCGTTCAATAAAACGAGAGAGAGAGAGAGAGAGAGAGAGAGAGAGAGAGAGAGAGAAAGTCAAGCGAAATGACTGTTAAATTCCTTAGGGGATGAAAAGCTGTTACATGTACAATGCATTTGAAAAATACTGACCAAATTCCGGAAAGAAAGAACAATATTGCATTGTATACCACTTTAATATGGCACTGTTAGTTGTAGAAACGTAACTAGTGAATCTTTTACGTAAACGAACAACAATTTTTGTTTCCGGCGGAGTTTAACTCTTTAACCCGGTTCCACCCTAACATCAGTAGACATATTCTCCATACTGTTCTCTATACATTTTTTATGGTTCTGACGAGGAGAATTTGTTTAACAATCAAAAGCTTCTACAGTTGTTAATCATTTCCTTCATTCTATCACCTTATTGTGTGCTTCAGGGGTAACAATGCAAGAGGAAATTAAGCTAGTCGCTTTTAGGGGTCGAAGCATTCAGATGTTGAAGTCTTTAGATTTACATCATATTTCTCTTTTCCTTAACTTTACCTGTAATGAACATCCGTCTTCTGTTTCTCGTTTTGAACGTCGATCCATCTAAGAAAAATCCCAGTGTACAAATATTATTGTCTATATTAAATCAGCCTTTTAATAAGAAAGGCAAAACTGAGGAGGTACTCACGCCTTGACATAAATGTCACTCATCATCTCGCCTGTGATCGACTCCTCCTCCAGCAAAACGTCAGTTGTATTCCAGACGATTACACGCAACTCATTTCTATCGGTACAAAACATCGTGAAAAAATTCAATAAACGGAAATCGATAAATCCGATTTGAAGGTAATTTTTGAAACCCCGGCACTTATTTTCATCGGAAGGGTTACACTTGGAAAGTCATCTTTTGAAATTTACTTCAGCAGTTTATCCAGTTCCATCATCTTACAGTTGATAACCTACTAAGTGTTTTAGTGACTTAAATCGACTGAGGTAGCACAGAAATTTCTTGAGACACTAGCAAATGCTCTAATTTACTTTCAGGATAAATTCTTTAGCTCCATTGCAGGGAAGAATCACCGATACATTTTTTTTGCTTCAAGTAACTAATAATGATGCGAGTAGACGGCACACCTCAGTCCCTATGTCACAGAATATCCCACTTGTTATGTTTAGATCGATTTTTCAGCCATTTTAACCATCTCAGGCACGGTGTTTCTTATATGAAACGAAAGGAGCAGACCAAGAACTAGTTTCACTCACTTCACAGGTTTCCTTTCGTCGATAACAACAGGCGGCTTGCAGGCACCGTCGTCCTTTGGAAAGATGTCGACCCACATTTGAAGTTTTCCCTATAAAGAAAATGAATTAAACAATTAATGAAGGAGAAGGAAAGTTTAGCGACTGCTAAATACAGCGTTAGGATGACGATACTTCAAAACTTGCTGCATACCTGCTCAATATCTGGTTGAACCGGACTGTAAAGGGATCTGGTCTCCACATGCTCCGGTACCATATTGAACGTGTGCAGAATGTGAAGAGCCAAACGTTCGTGAGCAGGTCCTACTTCCTTTTCTGGCGGATCACCTTCCTCTGTGAATCATGATAAATAGTCAATCGAGTTGTAAGTGCAAGGAAATCGAAATTGCGAAAAGTAGCAAAGGCGAAATTTTAGGGATACCTCCCCTTTAACGCTGAACTCTGATAGTTTATCTTTGTTTATGATGCATATTCTTATCAAATGTTTATTCAGACAGGTGAGGATCTCTTCTTAACTCTTTTGCTCTTAAGATCTCATTAGTAATTCCTCCTACGGTCTGCCACGATAATGTTATATAGTTCGAAAAATTCGGTATTAGATCAACCAATAATCCCCTACCTGTTATTTTTTTCTCGTCGATTATCTTGATATTTTCTTGATAGTGTAAGAAGAAACTCTCCCTTGATCACTTGTGGGAGTCAAAGGGTTGAATTCTGTTATCGGATTCTACGTTAATTCAGTCAAATATTTTCCAAGCCCAAAGTCAAGGTTATGTCAAATGAAAATAATGCTTTCTTACCGAATTGACTCAAGGTATATTCTCTGTCTCCAATTATGATCCTGTCAGGATTCTGATTTTTGCCAGGGAAGAAGTTGAAGGACTTCATGGCAGTCTCGCAGTACCTCGTAAGGATACTGAATGGCTTCTCAGGATGGCGCCAAGCGTTGGGCCCAGACCTAAAAGAGAAACAAACGCCAACCGTTAAGTAAATGTAATAAAGTGCCGACGAAAAATGAAAGTGAAAGCGAATCAAAAGCAATGACTCAACAATTACTTTCGAGCATTTCTCTCAGGTGAAAAAAGCGTTTAAATGATCTAGGAGCACAGCTTTGCTTAAGATTTCGTTTTTGGTTAACTGTGACGTATCACAAAGAAACATATAAAAGTAATTAACTCCTATTAGTCTTAAGCTTTTTTCACTCTACAAGAATAAAGGCAAACTAACGCGCTAAGATAGCTCAATTGTTCTGTGTCGATTTTCTGCAACTTTTTAGACGTTTCCCCTGGAAACCACCTTTAAAATCCTCAAGCGCTTATGATTTTTATTTAAAAAGAAATGATGCATGAAGTTAGTTAAGATCTGCAAACTTACACGAAGTATGTCTTGTGTAAACCACACTTTGCATGGAAGCGAGTCAACAGCCTCTGTTCCAAGTCGACCACCGTTTCACCGATCAAATCGTCCCTGCTGAGGTAGTCGTAGTCCATCACTTGGATTTTTAGATCTTTTTCCTGAGGGATGGAAGTTTTGAATTCGAACATCCTACGATAAGGAGTAAGAACAAGATCATTGGTATTCACAACGAAGCTTACCAGTGATGCATGTTGAAAGCAGTGCATGAATCTGAGGACTGCAATTTGTGACATGCAACAACTTACTTTCCAAACACCGGGTTGAGCGTATTTGGTTTGAAGTCTTCTTGATCGTCATATTTCTTCTTTCCAAGGGAAACAATGAGATAAGGGTCAGCCTGCCAGGGTTAAAAAAACAAAAAGTATATGAATTAAATACCACTCGTGATAGTTGTAAATCCAAACCTAGTAAAAGGATACGTACAAAAAAAAAAACGTACTCACAATACTGTGGAAAATTTGTCAGCATGAGCCTTGACAACGACGACCACGACGAAAACAAAAATAACAATGCAACAACAAGAACAATAACAAAAACAACAACACCAGCAAAAGCAACAACAGTAACACTCACCAATCCACTTGGATCTTGGGGCTGGAGATCAGTAGCCTATGTGGAAAAAAATCGAAATTTTAAGCTGTTTTTACAATTGATGTACTGCGGAAAACAACGTACAGCTGATCCAAAGGAACAAAAAATGAAAATACCGAAAAAGCAAAGATGAATGACTGTTTCGTTTTTTGCGAAGAGCACATAAACTCAACCAAACCAAATACTTTTCACCAAAGGGAGTAAAAGAAACCGAGGTGCTGCGTCAGTAGGAGGGGTATAACGAGTTTAGTTTCATCAAATGAATTGTCCATGCAAATTGGCCACTGTACAGTTTCTATACCTGGTTTTCGAGCGCTAGCCCTTCGTCAGACCATTATATCGACTAGAACTCGAAGTTTACTGAAAATCGATGGGTGCGAACTTACCAGAACAACGTACACTCGAATTGTGCACTCGATTGGTAAGCTGCTGGGAAGGTTAGTGAGCATTGTTTCAGGAAGATCTGTATCCGACATCTCATCAGGAATAGGGTAAATACGGAAAGTTCCCTAAAGAAATAGACCATGAAGAAGATTTACATGCAAGTCTGTAATATTGTAACTTTAAGCCTTAAGAGTCCTGAAATAATTTTAAATCATTACCGTTCGTAACTAACTGAGTTTAAAAGCTTGCGTCTTCTTATTCAGGTTAGACATAAAAAGGCCATTTCTGAATTACCTTTGGCCTCATTTTGAAAGCGAGTCTTAGTGCTCATCCTTTCATGTGATTGTAAGTTTTCATTCACATGTAAATTAAACTCGTTTCCAAACAAATGTTTGAGTACCTGGGCTCATTTTGAAAAAGAGGCAAAAGGTTATTTGGAAATAGCCCATTGCACACCTCTTTGATACACTTTAGGGATAAGTCTACTAGAAGGGAAGGAATGCAAGCTGCTTTAGCTTATCTAGGTTTTTTCGCACCTTGAATTCACCAACCGATCCTTCGTCTTCGTCATCATCCTTGTGAGACTTTGTCTTTCCACGACGAAGTGGAAAGGTTGCAAGGAAGTCGCTGAAACCTTGGAATTCTGGGACTTTTTCAAGCTCTTTGTGATACACCTAGACAAAAACCCAGAGAAACAGTTATGAATTGTTGTGGGTCACTCACCAATTTATCGAGGTGGAGCTATTTCAAAAATGCTATGGGTTGCTTTGAGAAGACTATCACTTGAGTTTTTTCTCTCTCTCAGAAAGAAGATATCAGAAGAAATCTACGGGTAAAATTGAACAGGCCTTGAAACTGCGTGTGCGATTCGTTATTTCTTGCGATATGATTGTGTTTTCTTTCTTTACAATTTCTGGCCAGTTAACACTTAAGGTAAACTTAAAAACCAACCAAACAGCCATCAAACAAAGTTGAAATTTTTACCTTGATTGTGTCATATCCCCTGGACAAGTATTTCCTTGTATGTTCGGTAAAGCTGGCTTTGTCTCCTTCTTTGTCTGTCGTAAACATTCCAACAAGCTACACAAAGAGAGTTGTAATTTCCATATTTAGTTATCTAATTTTTCAGTCTCTTTATTAGCAATCCGAGTATCACTTAAGAAGACAGTTGAATGGCAAACTTAGCAGCAAATCATGCAAGTAAAGAAATCTGTTAGTAGCCTTTTCATTCGCGAAGGCCAAAAATATAGTGCGATTCCCTATAAGGAATCCATCCCCAAAACCCTGGATTCCGCGCTTCTTTGTTCTATCCCTGTACCTCTGTGCTAAAGCGAACTCTTCGCTGAATCACGCAATTAATAGAGCAAATGATTTAAAACGCAGGCAAATGATTAGCTATTAGCTATTTAAAATAACAAACAACCTCGCACCTTTTCTCCTTTAGAGATTTTTGCTCCTGCTCCAGCCCCTTGCAAAGAGGCGAAGTACTTGGACCACCAGTCAAACCTGTCGGGATCCTGTATGAAGAATATCAGGTATATTTATATGGCAATTTTCTCAAGGTCGTAAGTATTCTGTTCTTATTTGCTTTGTGATTGGTCTAGAAAAATGCGTCATTTCCTTAACCAATCAGAATAGAAAGAGCATGTAATCTTTACTTAAAAATCAATAGCTCGTTCTGAATTCAAGATCCCATTGGCTGCCTGCCCATTGGTCGTTGTAACCCCTTTGGTTTTGGCTTTATAATAATCAATTGAAAGGCGCTCTACAGTCAGTAATCGATTTTGAGATATTTCATATGATTAACTTGGACCATTACTGCTGTACATAAATTTTCATGTATAAGCACGCAAGTCTTCATCAGGGACTCAAGTGCCTTAGAAAAAGTACAGTCTTAAACGCCAGAATCATTTCTTAAATCAAAACACTCTTTACATCGGCTTATTCGTTTCCTTAAGATGAAGTATTCTTTAAAAAAAGTGTTTTATAATTGGGTCTACAAAAAACTTTTGCCGCTTACCATCATCCTCTTTTCCTTTTCCTTTCCTTTTCCCTTTGGCTTTTTTTCAGGCGGTGGAGCTTCTTCCCTTTTCTCAGGCCAAACTTTCTTTTCAGGGGGTGGAGCATCAGTTAAATCCACAAGCACTTCTGCAAGATTGAACACAAGACTGCGGTCTGTCACAGCCCATAGGGTACTTTTTAAAGAGAAAGCGAGACGCAATGCAGGCTAAACAAGGACTTCATCTTTAATCCTTTATACCCTAACATCAGTATGCATATTCTCCATACTGTTCTCTAAACATTTCCTAAGATGCCTACGTTTAACGAAAGAATATTTTAAAAGAAAACTATTTGCGACCCAGAAGTAATGACGATTATTGAAACTAAAATAGTGACGAGAACAAGGAAATTGTAATGACGTACCATCCACTTCCGAATCGTCTGCAGCAGTCTGTGACGGCAGCTTACACTTAAATGCCGCGAGAGACTTGACTGAGTGGATACCAACCAACGGTTTTCGACCAAATTGTCGGTTGTCTCTGACTCGAATGTTGATTGGTGGCGAGTACAAGTCCTCCACTGGTAAATTCTACGACAGATCGCAAAGTTTATCAGACACTTCCATCATTGCAAGTTTTAGGTGATGTTAACCAGGAATTAGCTTTACTTATTCAGCTCAACAAGAATAATGTGTGTAACTGAACACACTTTGACGGTGTGGAAGTGAATACGGGAAAGAGACAGAGAGACAGAGAGAAAGAGAGAGACATACAAACAGCCTGATTGCCACTGATGTAAGAGACTTACCAGAATCTTTCTCTCTAATACTGGTTCGCCAAAGTTCGGCATTTTCTTTGTGTTCTCAAGAACAGGTGACTCAATCACCGAACCCATGCACTCGAACTCGATCGAGGGTGATGTTACTTTGGTCAACTGAAATTTCTTCATGTTCCTTACGCCCCAACAAAGAACCTAAGGATAAATAATCAATTACGTAAGGATACATAATCAATTACATAAAAACCCGCAGATAAGCCGCAACTTTTTTCCAAAAATCGTGGCTTGAAATTGGGGGTGCGGCTTTTCTGCGGGAACATTTGAAAAAGGTGCCGTGAATGTTTTCACTCGCGTCCGATCCAATGCCTGGTTACTAAGCTTCGAATCTTCCGCTCACGTTCTTGTTGTAATGCAGAAATCTATGGAAAAACTGTGTTGAATGAAGAAATTCCTGTCAATAAATACCAGAAAAAGATCAATCATATGTCAAAGTTGGTAGAAACGATGTTCATTATATAAAAGTGCTAAAATTGTGGGTAAGACTTTGAAGTATTTCCGTTAATCGTGAGTTTACGTTCGATGAACTGTAGATGAAGAAGACTTCTCAAAACTCGACTTTGGATTTCTTTTGATTTCTTTCAAAAAACTTTTTTTTCCAAAATTTGAGCTGCTAAATTCAGGGTGCAGCTTATTTTCGGGTGCGGCTTATCTGCGGGTTTTTACGGTACATTGGAAATAAGAGATCTCTGAACAGTTTTCCATTTACTGAAATATAAAAAGTGTTTTCAGCGCCACAAAACCAGTTTTTGGAAAAGTTTAATCAGTACTTAGTCAAAATCTATATAAGAGAAGAGAAGGAGTTTTATTTTAAATATTGAAATTTTTTAAACATGTGTCACTGTCTCAATTTTGATTGGTTACAAGCATGCAGTCGCTTCTCACGGCCTTTGAAAATTTCAACACAATTAAAAGCAATTTTCTTATCGTTAAGTCGAGTAAACAGTGATTCAAGTAAGGTGAATCCATCGCGCGGGTCTCGTACACCTAAGAAATACCTACGTTGTTCGCTTCCAAACACGACTTAAGTTTAGAGTAAAGCTTTAGTTGTGTTTCTGACTGCCATAATATCTCTTCAATCAACATTTTTATTCCGTCGTTCAAATCTGCTTTTCATACATTGCATTTGATAAGAAATCAGTATGGGCGTACTCTTCTGTAGGCCAGTGCACCTAAAGAACATTTCCGATTAGCTGAAGATCATCACATCTTACCTCCACAGCTGTCTTCTGAACGACGGGCCGCACCTTGCTCCTTACAGGGTACACACCATCACGCATAGGGGGTGGGAGTGGCAACTTTGCTCCCTCATCCTAGAAAAATAATCACTCAACTTACACCTCCTTGCTTACTTTCATAAATTGAATGTCGATGCTCCTGCATAATAATGGAAATGAGACCTGGCGATTTAAACTCTTACCATGAACAGCTCGCATTCAGCGAGCATCTCGCCCCCGTCTTGATCTCCACGCATCACCTTGTGCCACAGTAACTTGGCTTCTGGTTCTTCGAGTCCCTTGAGTCGAATTTTTGGAGTCAACAGACAGCGACCAAGGAAATCATCTTTTCCCTAAAAAATTGTGAAGGAGAATGGTCTTCAACTAATCAAATTTCAAGCTGAAAACTGCAAGGGCCGGTCACATGAGCGAAGTCAAACTTACATTGTTATTTCAGACAATTAGTATGCCTCAAGATTTCCTTAAGTAGGGCTTGTTGAAAAAAGAAATCTTTTTTCTAGTGTTAGCTGCAAACCGTCTTGGCACTATTCACAAAATGATATAAACATTTGGTAAAAACGTTTGACCCAGATCGAAGATTCTTTTAAAGGCACTTTTCCTGAAAACTCACTCTGTTGGGATGAGCAGCCCCAATAATTTTGATGACATTTATTTTTAATGGAAAATTTATGATTTTCCCTTTCAAACCGTATCGTTCGCCTTGTAGGTCAATTTGCTTTCATGTGCTAAGTTCTAATGCATTTTACAGCGGTTTATCAAGAGAACTGTGAAAGAGCTACTGAGGTATTGAACCAGATCGAACGCCGATTTTACACCGAAATGATTCGGTTTCTGCTTAACGGTACGGTTCCAATATCAAGGCGCTTTGACGACATTTTTATACTTCAAGTGATCCTAGAATTCCCGATTAAGCTGCCAACTACTTGACAACTGAACGGTATCTTAAAACTGTTTTAGTTCACAACTGATCGTACCATGCCCGTGTCATGGTCAAACAATTCCACGACCACACTGGGAGGATTTCGCTTGAGGTTCTCAGGATCTTCGCTGATTTCCATGTTCACAAAAATCAATGTTTGATCCCAGGTTGGACAAGGAGTTTTGCTGATAATGTTCGTTATTTGACTTTGGTTACCAAAGGCAACTCTTGCATAAGGATCTGAAAGGAAATAGGAAAAAGTGCGTAACGAATTAGTTTTATTGACGCAGTTTCCTTTTCATGCAGTTCTACTGTAGTTTCCTTTGCGTCCTTCCTCCTACTTAATGAACAAAAAATGGCAAATATTATTAAATATATATTGAAGTAATTTCCATTTCCATGAGTTAAAAATAATAACAGCAAAGAAAGACCACTGCGTGTACGAAATGAACCAACATACCATTCATTCCATTTTCATCTTTGGCGATAAGGTCTCGTGCTTGGTAAAGATACACCCACAGTTGATACTTGTGTGGCTCTGTTGTGAAAAAGAAAGTTGATACGGTTTTTCAAAGTTCGTCCGAAAGATATAGGTGCATAGATAATAAAAACGTAAATATAAGGAAGAAATCGCGGGACTACTTACTGGCAAAAGTTACAAACATCCTTGGAGATATGCACAACGCACTTTCTTTGTCCTGCAACATTGAATTGTCAACACATTTAATATAGTGACAATCATATTTTCCAATGAATTTAGAAAAGGAAAGACAAGCATTTCAACACAAGACCATCGCTCCTTCTTTTTCTCGCTTTTTCCTTTCATCTTCGCGGGAATGTGCGGCTTTTTTCCAGCCCTGCCCGCATCATCGCGTTCTGTTCTCATATGGGGATTTTTTTACTAATGTTATCCAATAACAGTGCGCCAAATAGGGCCAAACAGTTTCATATGATAAGGAAAGTTATCCATTCCTCGCATTTTAACCAATGAATTTCCTGGCTCCAGTAAGTTGCCACTGGTGACTGCGGCGAAGGCCTCTACGTCGGTCAAGAAGCTATTCCAGGCTTCTCGTACGTCCCCACAAGATCATTAGAACCTTATGACTATGAACCATTGCGGTACCAATGGGAACCAAACCTTGCAGCAGGGTTCATCTGTAGGACTTACCTTAGATTTGAGCTGGATTCGCAGAATTGGTGGCAGCTTGCAAGAGAATCCATCAATCTTCCCTGCGCTCGGTACTATCTTCAACAGCCAGCGTCTTCTTCGCACAAAATCTAGCTTCTTCTCCTTGGCGTGAAATTTCTTATTGAACAACGGAGCGTAACCCCAGCCCTCTGCCAAAAGCTTCTGTAATTGATCCTAGAGAAAAGATTGGATCAAGAAGAATTAACCAACATGAATTATATGATAAGCTGAATCGTATACGCATTTTGATTGGATCTATCGGAGGACAGACGCATACGGTGCAGATGACGAAACCAATAGCAACATTTTTCTTTTTATCATGTAAAACAAATAGAATAAATTTTGCCATGTTTCCATGTCCAGTAATGGATAACAGAAGACGTCATAGTGCGGTAAGAACATCAGTGACACACTCGGCTGCGCCTTGTGTGCCACTTTTTTCCTACCGCATGCATCTGTGATCTCTAACTGAACAGAAGCACGGCAACATAAAATATAATTTTTATAATCCTTAAACTCCCAAGATCTGACTTTCGATTCTTCTCTCTAGCTGCTACGCCTTTCCTTGTAAATAAGTTAAAAGAATTTGGTGTTAGATCAAGGTAACAACTTGTACCTGATAAGTTCGATGACTCTCATTACCTGTTTGCTGAGTAATGTATGGATATTATAGGGAGAGGTTACATATTAAACACTTCCGGGAGTTCAAGGGTTAGACAGAAAGCGTAGTAAACATCACATATCCGTAACGCGTCGCAAAACTTAAACGAAAACTATCACAACGTCCTGTCAACCCTTTTTTCGATTCTCCCCTCTAGCTGCGTTACCCTGCTGCCAAGGTAATGTTCCGAAACGCGCTAACGAGAATTCGAAGTAAAAACAAGCAGACTAAAATTGGAGCCCAGGAAAAAACGCGAGTGACTACTTATTCGCGAGCATTTTAATTTTTATCTGATTGGTTAAAAGGGTAATGTAGCTTTTTGTGGGCCAAAAAAAAATTGTGGCCAGAAATTATTTTGTGGCGAAGCAAAGAAAAAGCGATGCAATTATGGATATTCTCGACATTCAACTTTGATGGCGGCTATGAAATGAGCTTACAAATGAGGTCTCAATTGAGAGATTCATTATTTTAGGAAACCATTTATATTTCTATTTAAGAACTTTACCTGTTTCTTAGTGGAATTTGCATCCACTAGCTCCCTCGATCGCACAAGTCTTCTTCTCCTAGACATGTGGTAAGCCTTCATGACTGGCCCATAAATTCCATACGTTGGGTTAACGGAATATTCCCAGCCTAAAATCAAGGGTAAATATATCCTTACAATAAACACAAAATTATTTTAGAGTATTCATGAAGTGATACGAAACCATCTACCCGTATTTCAACAACAGAATCTGAAGTCATATTTCAAAGATGAGATTCATATCCAAGTAAGGCAATGTGATATATCCTCTTTTCATCTACATAGCTTCTCTTTTAGTCACTAGTTCGTATTTCATTTCTTTGTAACCTACCGTCTCCATCGACAGCTCTGTTTTTGTCCACTTCCCAGTCCTTTGACTTCCACGCCCAACCAGGAGGAGCTTTTTGAGCAGAGGGACCTGGAACCTCTTCTCCGTTCTATTTAAAAATAACGAGTCAGTGGAGAATTTATCAGGCAGGTGAAATTAGAAAAAAGGAAGGTTCTTACCGCATCAGTCCAGTTATTTTCTCCAGCTGGTTTGAAGTCGCCACCGGGAAAACTTCTGACTTGATTCTCAAAGATATCTACCAAATATTCTTTATGCCCTTCATCAGGATCGTGGAACAAACTGAACGAAAAGCAAAACTGAACTTTAGTATTATTTTAGGAGCAATGTAAAACTTATTAGTAGCTCGGAGTGCAAATGCAACGACGTTTCCCGTCTCGAAACCAGTGGTTGACGATTTCATGAACAAAAATAGACATAGGACAATTCCATTGTGAAAGTATTCATCATTTTGAACTTCTGTCATCGTTATGTTCGGTAAATTATTCAATTATTCAACAAAGTTAAAGAAACTTTGATTCCATTATTTTTGTACCTGAGCTCAGGCTTCTTTTGCCAGCCACCTTCAAATTTCCAGCCTTCAGGTGGAAAAAACTTGTCTTGGGGTAGTTCCAACTGAAAAGAAGACATAAAAAGACTTTGAGTCATCCCAATGAAAAATATGCTCAAAGGGCAGGCGCACGTTTTGACCTTGCCCAAGGGATTTGCTTGTGAATGAGCAGTCACGCGAAGCGAGAACCTTGTCCGTCCTCTCACACGCTTTTTACTTGTGTTTTGCATCTAAAGGTTAAACAAAATAATAATAATAATAATAATAATAATAATAATAATAGCAAAGAAAACAACCCGTGAACATTTACCCTCATGCCATTCAGCCTTTGAGGGGCAGATGATCATATACTAGAGCTGAAAAGTCCAGAAAGATTATTATTGAGTCGAGTATTTGAGAAAATAATTACAAAGAACAATTAATTCTGCTGTGGAAGAAAAGCGATTATCAAGGTAAATAACATTGTACTTACGTCACCAGATGCATCAGAGAACCGAGGACGAGTCAGCTTATTGTTGGTCCACTTGCTGATAATCTTCACCTCATTTTCGTACTGATTTTCAGAAAATATAAATATGTAACTAAATTAGGGTGTGGTTGTGCTTATTAATATATCTACATTTATGAATCAATTCATCTTTTGGATTCTCTAATCATTGGCACTTTGGGGTGAATTTCATACAAACTCTGAGCTTACATTTCACTTAAATCTTATTTCAGCTTCACCCCATACTGTAATGGAACTTTGTCGAAATTGGCGACTGAAATTAAATATCCTTTCAGCATGAAGTACAAGGTCCGTGTTGAAGGCTGAGCTGTTCGATAACAATCTAAAGACTTTTAAATAACTGCAACCATAATTAAACACATAAAAATGTCTGCACTACTTTTAAAATCAAAATTTCCTTTGTCTTGACTGAAATAACAGCTGGTTCATAGCATTTTGAAAGATCATCAAACTGACGATGCTTATGTAGGCAATGATACATATTTACAGTGTAGTTTTATATCTTCATAGTTTCATTTTTAGCCTCTCTTGTGGAAGGGTCTATTGCTAAGCAAGAACGTGATGCAGGACAACGTTTGATTTCCGAGCCACCTGCATATACCTGTAGGGTTTCGCTCAAAATCATTATTGGTCTTAAATAACCTACCGTCTCGGCAAATACACAGAAATCCCCCTCAGTTTTGGGTCGTGCAGTCCAGTACTGCTGTTGCTTTTCCAGTCCAAGCCACATCTCCACGCGTAATTTGGCTGGAAGTTCTGGGTGTTCGTCGACGTCTTGTCCTTTCTTGCCAGGATACTAAAGACAAAAAAGCGTAGAGCAGTTTTGAGTGAGCGGTGGCTTGGTGCTGATCGAACGAAACGACAAGGACGAAAAGGGAAGCCAATCGGTTGGTATAATTTGTATGGAGATGTTACAACCAGCTCTTTCTCACTACTAGCAAAAGCATAATACAGGTCAGGCAGCCGAAAGGAGGTTGTTTAGCCATACCAAGCAAAGGCAATAAAAGAAAAACAAAAATAAAATAATCTGCGAGGCACTTTGTAACAAAGGGTAATCTGTCCATGATGACTCTTGCTTAGTTCAAACTTTTTATGGCGAAGGAGCATGCGCGAGCATTATTATGTATTACCCAGCAACGGGAGACAAAAAACCCTTCCCGCTCCCTTGCGTTCGTGCGCGCTCTGGGTGATTCTCTAAATGAGAACATAATTAGGAAGCTATGTGAACAGAATGCGAGGAAGAATGAAAATAATGCGACCTCATTCCTTTTTATGTCTCATTGATAGACGGACTCTAAATAATCTTGGCTAGTGATAAACACGAGCTTCTCAATGAACGTACCTTCATGGGAATCTCGATTGTTTTTCCACAGAATTTTCCACATGCTGCTTCAGTCTCAGAGAACAACAGTAAATGAGATGGCATTCTGTAGTACGCCACTCGTTTGTCACCACTGATCATCCATATGATAACGTCCGGTAAACTCACTTGAGGCTACAAGAAAATTTAAGGTTCAAAAAAACGTTAATGGTGACTAACGTATTGCTGTATTTGTGGTATTTCACGGAACATTTGTTGGCTCGAACACACATGGTTATCATGAGCAGTTTAGCACGCTAGACTGTACTGGATCGAAGGAGTTATGATTCGTAGCGGCTCTACTTTAATCGAAATGCTGTTGAAGCGAAATGACTTTGTAGCAAGGGACTTTGTGGCGAAATGACCGGAAACTCTTCAGGGTCACAAGTTTAATCATAGGCTATTTATTTCGAGCTACTTATCTAATTTAAAGCTAATGTGGTAAGAAATAATTTATACGCAATGTGCGAAAGAGGAGGGGTGTTAAATGTTAATTGTAGCCAAATGTCTTAGACACGGTCTTCAGCAAGACAGATAACTCTCACAAAAACTACTCTCCACCCAGAAGTACAAATGAGGAGGAGGGGGGGGAGGGTAGGGTAGGGAGGGGGTGGTTTCTACCTTGAACTTTATATTAGACCAAGTTTCGTTGGCAGAATGTTACCTCAAAGTTCGCTAAGCGCCTTCAACACAGATGGTTACCCGCTCAGCAACATAAAAGGATGGTCTGTGTCGTCTAAGACTTTTGATACAGCGTGATGAAATTTTCCACTTCATTTTCCGTAGGGCACGCATGCAAACAAACTGAAATTTAATAGATGACGTAGGTTACCTCAATTTTTAAGTCTTCAAGGCGCTGTACAAAGCTGTCGAGCTCGGAGAACATCTCTTTGAAGTCCACCTCCTCCTTTTCCTCTTCACCCTCCAAAGGTGGTGCTAATTTCCACTGCAGAGCACCAATATCATCCAACAAGAACATCTTGAAAACAACAATGGTGATTTTTCAGTTGACAACAAATGCCAAACAAAAGGATTCATCACAATCATAACCACGGTAGTATTCTAAACTCCAATAATGTTAGTCAATTTTTTTCTGTTTCTTCGTACAAATTGCTTTAATAAAAGTCGAGTAGGCAAAAAGCAGTGTTGAAAATTCTGATCTGAAATTATGATCTGTGGATTACTTTGTAAAGTTACACTGTACTTACGAATTCGTCAACTCTCATTTGATGGAGCTTGTTGTCCAAACTGTTTCGTTTTCCGGGAAGATTGGGAATTTCTTCCTTAAAACGAGAGTGCTCCGTTCTAAAGGAAAGCGGCACAGCTATCAGTATGTCATTAACCTTTTTGTGATATTCTCATCTTTTAAATTCAACGCTGTGTTGTAATTGTTCACGTTACCTGCAGTCCCGGGCCATGTTGTCCAACAGAGAAGACAACATATCCTTTATTTTTGGGTCGTCACTAACTTTGGACTGTTCAGCTGCTTGTTTCAGACGTGATACGGATTCTCGCTGAGATTAAAACACAATATCAGAGTCGGTGAGGTTTGCTCAGGACAAGAGTAAGCATTTTTTTTAAACCTTTAACTCCCACGAGTGACTAAGACAGAATTTCTCCTTATAATATCAATTTCAAGCAGACAAGTGACAAGGATGAGGTAAAATATCAGTTGGAGGATTTTGAGTCGATCCAACCCCATTCTCTGAACTAACATCATAAGAATCTATGGCAGAAAGTAAGAATTGCTAAAGAGATCTTGGGAGTGAAGGGGTCAAATTTAAACAATCGATGAACGCTAAAAAGCGCCTTTTTCATGCAATAAAATAAAACGTAATGCTCATCTCAACTAACGTTACATCTTCCTTAGAAATTAATGAAGTGAAAATTCAAACGCAGGCCAGATTTCTTAAACAAAATCACTTCCATTAATTATGTTTCAAACAAAGTTTAAACAAAGACCTCAAAATGATTTTCCCTCAATTTATTTCACTTCATTTAGAATTTGATAAATGTTCATACAATGTCCTCTCGTTGACGATTTTTTGCTAGGCTTCTTCCTTATAGTTTGCCATATAAATTACTGGCCATAGTCTACAGTCGCTCGATACACAATTTTGTCACTTACCAGCCGCTCTACCAACTTGGAGAGAATGTTGACCGGTTCAAGTCTAAAGGCAATATCCTCCCAGGAGCATTCCACGCATACACAAGGCTTCTCATGTCCCCAAGGGAGGTAATAGTAATGACAACCGTCGTACACAGCATTGCAGGACGGTGTGTTACACGCAGCCACTGACTCATCAAATTTGTTTCCGTTGTTTCCTATTGGATGTGATATCAAAAGAAAACTCTTTCTATCGATAGATTTTCAGAAACTTGCTACATCCTCCCCTCCCCCCTTTTTTTTTTAGGTGCCTCTGCCAGGAACAGTTTCCTCGTGGATACCATTATAGAAAGGGCACAGCATGATCTCGCAATTTTATTAAAAAATTCAGTTTAATTTTCGCAGTTACGTACCAATGCTGACTTCAAATTCTACAGGCCCATCTGTCTCAGAGACCATGAGTGCTTCGTAGAAACAGACAAACAGCTTGTACCTTTCACGTCTCAGGAAGGGCTGGAAGAGAAAAGTCGTTCATATGAGAAGCTATCAAACGTAATTTACATGATGTACGGAAACAATCCTTAGAAACCTGCTACTAACAATTATCATAAGTGGGTGGGGTAACCCATGCACCTGCTTCACAAAAATCGGGCATGAGTGATGACAACATAAACTATTCATGGCCGATAAACCGGCAAATTTGACTTTCTTTAGTCAGGTAAGTCAGATAAGTAACGTGTCGTTTATGGATTAAAAAGGAATCGTAACCTGCAACCAGACTGGTGAAAAGCAGAATACGGTGTAGACATTTAACATTCAGTGACACAAGAAGAAGTAGTACACTTCAGCTTACAGTGTCTCATATGACTTCATCAAGTTAGGTGAAGTTGACTTACTCACCTGAGCGACAATGATGTCTTCATTGGCCAGCACGCCTATCGGTTGCTTAAGATCTTCGTTAAGAGTCGTTGTTAGCTCAACAAGAACTCGTCCACGATATGCCACACCTTCACCCTGAAAGAAAGATACAGGTAAATGAATGTCGTTCGCTTGGCTGTTTTGCAACTACTGTGAACATAACCAGAATTGTAGGCACCCATAAGGCCAAGCTCAAGTTATAAAGACCTGTTGAGAGCTATGCACATTAGTTTTAAAGTTGTATGGTGTTTTGGGGTAATCCAATAGGAACAATGTCCTTCACAGTTAACAGTGCAGAGAACAATATATGAATTTAACCATTTAAATCTAAAAGGTCTCCGATATTCCTCAGTATTGACAATTTTGAAATCCAGCGCCCCTCAAAGAATCACCTGGCCAAGGTGATTGTCACGAGATATGACGCAATCCTTGACCGATGGGAGCGTGAGAATCCTACAATAAGCTGAGCAATCTTATTGAAACCGTGTATGGTGGCCAAATCACTGGCAAGCCACTTCACGTTATACGGGCCAAATTGAATGGAGCTTGGAAAATCTAATCAAAGACCAAGCTAAAATGCACCTATAAAAGCCGAATGTAAATTGAAATAAGCTGCGCTGACCAAAAGTTTAACAAATGACTCAGAACCTCGAGCTTGTGTAAGAGAATACTGCCGTGCGTTAAGTATACTCACAATTCCCTTGTTTAGGTCATCGTGTTCATCTGGCAAATTGGTGAACTCTCTAGTGGAACCATAGAAATTGACAAAACACGGACCAAACTGAGGCAAGAAACCTGAAAATTAAAACAGATCATTTGTTTTAGAAGATGTTTAAGGCAAAAACAATAAAATCGGAGTAACATTTTGATCGATTCAATCGGATCATTCTCATTGTATATTTAGCTTTACCTTCATCACCTCCTTGCCCGGCAATGGACGACAGGTTGATAAATGCTGTGCCGATACAATCATCAGATGAACCTCGGTCCCTGAAGAGGAACGGAATAACAAATGTTGATAAACATGTGGATACACAAAAGACACCAACAAATACAAAACAAAAGCAGTACAATCTAACATAAGTAAATAAATGTACCTCTTATTAACCGAGTTCGGGGTCAGTACTGAAAGGTACGGACCGATTAGAAAAAACGAGGTCTCTTAACTTACAGTAAGGACTGAAAAACGAGGATAGTACGCGATATTTATAATATCTCTAAGTTCAGTTAGAGGAGGAAGATTTGAATTCATACTAATTTTTGAATTTATTTGACCGTAACGGGGAAATAAGGGCTCACTAAACTGACCAATCATGGTGCACGTACTGAGACTGAATAATAAAGAAAATTCCTCCAGCATTTTCACCCGATACTTCTGCATTGCTTGAATATACGAACCATTTTCATGAACACTATCGAATAATGGATCTAGATGGTAAATTCGACTTATGAATGTTACAAAACTATTGTAACTTACCAGTCAAACACTTGCAGTTTCAGTCTCTCACACATGGACGGGAGCTGTGCCATTCAAAAAGAGATAAAATTTAATACGAAAGTAACAGAAAAAGAAGCAATGCCACATTGACGTTTGTAAACTAAGAGTCACAGATCAGATATGATCGGAACACACGGTAGAAGCATGCATGCGAGAATCAAGCGAAAAGATTAACCCTTTTACTTTACGCCATCCCAAATCCAGTAGTGATGATGATGATGATGATGATAATAATAATAATAATAATAATAATAATAATAATAATTTCCTTTATTTTCTAGACGATAAGGATTTAAGCTTAGCAGCTTAGCATACTTTTCCATAACATCCTTTTTCAAAAGGAATGAAATTTGTAGTTTGTAATCAGAATTGTAATTTCTTAGTTCTAGCAGGTTCGAAGACAACCACAAGATGCAATAACTTGTTAGAGTTGTATCAGAATTAAAGTTATAAAAGTAACTTAAACGAGAGGCCTGAAAGGACTGTATTTACCATGAGAGGGATCTTCAGAAACTGTTTGAATTCTGGATTACTGTCGTGGTATTTTATTCCCGTCGTTGCCTAATGAAAAATAAAAAATAAAAACCATTGTTATCTTCATTTATCGACATGCGCTGACAGAAATTGTACTACAGCCACAGTGTGAGGTAGGATTTTGTTACCTTCTTCCCACAAAAGCTAAATTCCATGTATGGATCCACAAGGCCTTTCTTTCCTTTGTCGTCCTGCAAAAGAACAAGTCAAAAACAAACCAATTGACATTCAGTTTGACAAGAGCCGTGATTTCGTACATTATCACATAACTTAGCCAAACTTTGTGTTTTATATTTCACCAAGAAATCATCAAAGTGGCCGGAAAAACCGACACAAAAACGACTCGGACTCTTTAAAAACTAGGCAGTTAGAAAGAAAAACTAGAATGACGTCGTCTAGACACAGCAAACATCCCGCCTAATTAGCCAGTGATGCTGGTTTAAAAAGTGCAAAGACAGGGTTTTTAAGTTCAAGTTTTTGTTTACCTAGCGAAAGCTAAACATCAAACCTCTTTATCATCGTCGCTTGAAAAGAAGCTGAAGAATTTCTTAAAGCTCTGCCCAATTCCTGTGTCCACTGGAGAGTAACACAAGAAAAGTCACGTTAAACTTAGAAATCAATTCATAGAAATCTGCGAGTCTTGAAGAGCAAAGGAGTAGCAGCGGTATACACTAACAAATGTTAAGTACTGTAACCGCGAATTGTAAATCACCTGCCGCGTGAAATTTTGTATTGTGTACTGTTTATACATATGCGTTCGTAAGGTAAGTTGTCAGGTAGTGTACTGTAATTAGTGATGATTGATGTTTTTTAGTAATGATCAAAGTCGGAATGTCGGTCAATGTCAGTGTCGAGGGAACTGCACCCCAACCAACAACAATCAACTGGTAACAAGTTATGGTCAATGTTGGGTCAGGGGAGGGGTAGGTACACACTTGCTCAGATACTGATATTGATTTGTTGTAAGCTCTTACTTTGTGGAAGATCTTCTGCATGAAACACTTTAAGAGTGAAGACGGCTGATTGTCGAGTTACACCTACGGGTGTCAGAAGGTTTCTGAAACCAAAACAGGAACAGATCTAAGACTAGGTCAGATTAGATATCACGTTGCAGAGTGTGTTCGGTAAGAACAGTGAGAAATACTGAATGCACAAATTTACAGCCAGAGTGATTGAAAAAAAGCAAAAATATATTATATGAACAATTATCATAACTGCCAGGTGCTGAGTCAGAAGTGCCATAACCTATATCAAGCCCTCATGAAACAGAAATTGTACTGAACAAATCCAGATCTGTAAATAATAACAGTGAAGTTCGGATAAATCTCGATGTACCATTGTTATGAGAAATATGAAGAGACGATTATACTTACGACTCAATATCATCCTCGATATCTTTGGGTTGAGCATTTGCTGCAGCCTAAAGAGAGAACCAAACTCATTACCTCTATGCATCAGATAAGGCGATTTCCGGGACCAATCCTTGGCAATTCATTACAAAGAAGAAGTTAGAAATTGGTTTGGGAGAACTTTGAATCTCTCTTAACGATTTTTTCAGCGCCTTAACTGAAGGGCCTTATGTTTGCCTTAGTTCAAATCTGTCGTGGTATTAAGCGGAGCTGTTTCTCCCATTAGATAAGATATGTGTTACGCCTCTTTGTGTCCTTACGGATACTTGACGTTCCGAACGGTACTTTACCCATCTAGCAACTTTAACGGATTGTTGTTAGCGTTTTTGAAACGGATAGCTTTACGCTTCAAACGCTTTGTGAAGTATAGGTCTCTAACAGACGGCTGACGGATGCCTTACGCTATTGGCTGTTTAGCGGAAAAGCGTCATGGTGCGTTTTCCTATGCAAAGTCACATTTTTGGAGTAGGGTGTACTAGCCTTATCCTGGCTTTTGAGGGCTTGCAAGGTTCTTGTTTTTTTAAATCATTCCTTCTTCTAGGCACCACTGCTACCCCTCTTTGATCCCGTTTTGTCGCCCCCTAAACATTAATATTGTTGACACAACTCAATATACTCACCGGTGCTTCATCCCCGGGTCCGAGGACCATGGAAGTGACTTTCAAGTACCCCTGAAAATGAAGTTATGGTAGAGGGAAGTTAATAAAAACACAAGAAATCGATCAAGACTCTTTTTGAGACCGCACACTTCTCGCAAAGAGTAGGGAACGTATCTCCCGGTGTTAAGGTCTGACCTTGTCATTGTTTACACAGACCCCATTCAAACCGATTTTAAGCTGAACTGGGCCACCCTGTCTAAATATCACAAGTACATACATACATACACTCAAGATGGCTATCAAATCTGTAAAAATTGAACGCCGAATAATCGTCGATATGAAGATTTTAGACAGTGACCACATTTTCATAAATCATTTGTTGTCAGGCAAAGATCATGGAGCAATAGCATCGGTCTCAAGTTCAACGGTTATTGTACTTACTGCCGGTGTATCTCCTCCTCGAGTTTTCTTTGATTTTCCTTCCTCCTATTTCATTAAAAATAACAAATAAGAAAGAATGTTTGTCGGTTACAAACAGTCAACTGCAGCTTACACTACGCTCCACTCCTATCGACAATAACCTTCAGCACACGATAACTAGATTCCATTCAATCTCAGAATAAAAGGAGACACGTATTTAATTGCAAATACATTTTAATAGAAATATCAAACCTCATCTTCATCTCTATCCGCTGGTGCTGACAACAAGACCCATTTGCGAATGAAAGAATGACCTGAGTTGTAAAATCATCATTAGTAAGAAAAGGCTTGAAATTTTTGAAGTCTACTTTTTAATACTCTAAGCTTCGAGATATAGAATTTCTCACTGAGAAACGTGCATGTTTTTCGATTTTGTAACAAAACGAATATTTCAGTAGACTGACGAATGAGTCTTAAAAATACAAGGCATATGAACAGATGAGAGTCCACGTGAGCCGGTCTGGAAAAGCCGTCCGGCCCTGATGCACATGAGCGGCTTTTGTTGCCAAAAAAGAAAAGAAATATTATTCGCAATTGCTGCATAAAACGAGTGACGTGGAAAAAATTTTGAGTTACATGGATAGCAATTTCAAAAATTACACCTCGATAATTTTCACGAGAAGCATACAAAACCTTACCTTTCATTTCGTATATTCCACCAATATCGCACTGCGAATAAAAAGTGTATGTCCATGTTAACGAGTTGTACTAATATCATTAGTTGTTCAACTCTACCAATTCAATCGACTAATAGGTTCTACGCACCTCAAAATAACCGAGCAGTGAATCAGAGCGCAGTTTTCGTGAATTGAAGACCTGTAAAGTACATCTGTCATTAGAATCATATCTATGACAACGGAACCATGCTCCAAACTGATGCATGCAGAAGTAAGAAGGGCGTCTTCAATAAGTATCAGAGCATAGGCGGTACAGAGATTCAGGCGCTCTGATTGGTCGAAGGTAATTTGCTATAATAACTTAACGCGGGTTCTGTATGATACTTAAGCCCTTTTTTTACAATGGATGTACCTTGGCAGTCGAAATGAAACGTAATCTCTCGAAATATGTTGATCGGGTTTTCTCTGATACTTCACCAAGCCGAGGCTAGCTACCTTAAAAACTTCAAGTAGCTTTCATAGTTAAATCTCGATTAGTGGCATCGTCCGACGGTATCTCAGTCTCGACATGGAACAACAGTTATACAGACATCTCTTCCAGAGTGAGAGAATATTGTTTGCAAATCTTAACTGACTGGCTGTATACCCTAAGAAATTACAACAAAACCCACCTCAAGTGTGACCAGTTCATCAAACAGCTCCGCTTCCGACAAATGGAAATTGAAGAAGAATGTCTAAAATGGACGAGCAATTCATTGTTAAAACATTGAGACGAAACTGCGTCCTTTAGGAGTGGAATTAATTAAAGTACGGTAAGAATCACAAAAGATGTACACAATTATACAGGAACCGATACCATGACCTTCAAGTTCGTAACAATTGATGAATCTCTTCAAAAAGCGGACAACGTTTTAGATGAAGCTTGTATTTGAGTCAATAGGCCCAGAAATAGTTTTGAAAATGTGAACATACGCAGTCTTAGAAAAAGATAAACAATAAACAAACAAATTGACTGCCCCAAACCTGATTGTAAACGGGCTTGTTTGTGGATTTTTTCACAGCTGTTTCTCTCCGCTGACCATTCACAGTCACACGAACAACTGGATGAATATTGCTGCCTGGCAACTGGCGGCCTTCAAGAATCCGTATCCGGATCTACGTAACAATATAAAAAAAATTAACAAAACTTTTAACCCTCCAAGGGAAAGAACGAGAGACGGTACATCGCAAACCTTCTAATCAGCTCCGAGGTTTTTATTTCAAATTTAGGAGTAGACAAGGGTGCCTATTCTAAGGAGAAGCCTTATGATCAAGGAAGGGGGAGGGGTGCTCATCCATTTTGTTTCCGAATCGTCGCCGGAAATCTTCGTACTTTGTGATACAGTATTTGTGTGTGAACAACAAAATAAGTTATGTATCGATTTAAAAAGAGCTGATCCTATAGTTTTGCAGCACAGGTGGTGCTCGAAATAATTTATCCAACGTTTACTTGTTCTCAAACTGAAACAAGTATGATGTAAACGTGCAAGGCTGGATGAAGATTCACAATCAGTTGTCTCAGTTCTCGGGGGGAAGGAGAGAAAGTGCCTTTTCAAAGCAGATGGGGGCACTAATTTATAATTTTGGTCGACAGGGGGTGAGCGCTAATTCGGGATTCCCCGAACGGACTAAGAAAGCTGTTTCCTTATGAAGGTACAAAGCGTAAGTAAAAGGTAGCGAGCCACTAATAGACAGGTGTCTTACGTGGACAATGAAGAAAATTGTGTTTGTAGATTTAAATCAAATCATACGAGGATACCTGGAAGTCTTGCACTTTTGTTGACCAAGCTCTTCTGCCTCCCCTGCTAGTTCGTTTCCTTGGATGAATAAAAGTATGAAAACAGTAAGATGAATAGTAAGCTTCCCAATTCAGACCGACAACGTTCAAGCTCAATTACAAACAATAGAAACATCGCCCTACCTCCTTCGCTTCTTTCTCGGCTGTCCTGGAAGTGCTGGGTCGCCTCCTGCTTCTTCATCTTCGTCCTCTTCATCACCTTCATCATCCTCTTCACCAGCCTCTTCCTCCCCGCCTCCTGCGTCACCGCCACCACTCCCAGGAGGAGCAGAATACTCAATCTTCAGCATAATTTTGCCCTAAAAGAGGAGAACGCGCGAAAGAAAGCCGTGTTAGCATTTTCCATGAGTTTTTTTTTCATATTCACATGTTTCCTTCAAGCCTTAAGTTAAAATGTAAGTAAGAGAAAAGGAAAGCTAGTTATTGATAATCAGTAGTTGAATTAGAAATTGATTTTTAGACCAATCACAAATAGAATATTACCACATTCGAGAAAGGAATTTTTTACTTAAATTTGGTGAAATGTTAAACGTGTTAATTACTGTGCACACAATAATTAGTATTTTTAGCCAAAAATATCCTGTCTTGTAATTTGCATTGCAGATGGTTTTATAGGCGCTCGACATGAAAGTCGACAGCACAGTTGCATGACAAGAAATATCCTCCAAATTCCCGTTGCCTGTGACTTTTTTAACGGCGCCTACAATGTGGTTACCGTAGGTTGGTTTTTTTTTTCGCTCACCAAAGTGGGATTGTTCTTGCCATCAACCAGATCATATGTTCTTTCAATCTGATTGTTTCCCAGCAGCTCTCCCAAAGGAACCTCGACTTTACCAAGGAGCCTAAAGAGATTGGAAAAAAAAGAAAGGAGCAAAATAATTTCAGATACTCTAGTCTCTCCTTGATGTAATAAATTAAATTAATAAAACTAAAAGTTTGGCCAAAGAATAGATGATTTATTCTCTGGCAAATACTAGGACAGAGGTATACATGCTGTTTTATAACTTTATTTTTATAAATGTACTTAATAGCTAGTACCTTAATCTTCGTACCGATAACTGAAAGCAAAATCTGTCAAACAGGCAGTCTTTAACTTTAGGTGTTTTTTCTGCCATTCAGATAATAATGGGAAGCTGAGTTAAATGTGGAATATACTTCTTTCATATCAAAAGGAGAGGAAGTACATGCAACGTAGGACCTTTATGGGTTAAACCCTTGCCAAACTGAAGTACTTCATGAAACGCACAACCGTCTTACTTTCTCGCCAATAGCTTCTCATAGTCCTTGACCTCGATAGAAAGCTTGTCATCCGGGGACAATGGTTGGCCGGAAAGATCCCACTGGAAATCCTGCAATCAAGGAAACACGCAGTCATTTCAAAACACATAAAGGGTTTGGATGTGTTTAAAGCATATTATCAACTGTGTACCACTAATCACTGTTGGTTATGTTCTCTTAACTTTGCCTGAGGATACCATGCGAAATAGGGGCTATTTACGTTCATGACTGGCGTTTGTTGATGCCATATTCGACAAAACACTGACACTAATGGACAACTCGTGAAAAGTAAAAAGAGTGTTACATGCAAGTCTTTTTTTAAAATATGCTTTTACAGTTATATGTTTACCTGATTCCAGACTGGATCTAAACAATCCTTTTGAACCTCAGTTTTCTTTTCATCTCCTGCAGGTAAAAAAAAAATCATGAAATACTTAAAAAAAAATTGTAATCAACTGAATCAAAAAATCGCACGCGATTCGTCGCCTGTATAAACTCTTGCTTGTCTTTAAATTCAGCATAGAAAGTGCGGAACTTTTACTAAGCTCAGAAAACTTAATAACTTAAAATCCTCTAGTTACATCATATCGTGTGTTAATATCGGAACGTAACTCAGTCTGCCTTATTATTATATAAATATGAACACTCAGAAGAAAAACAAAACAAAAAGAAACAAAACAAAACAAAACAAAACGAAAATAACCCAAACAGAACGAAACAATAAAACAGAGAGAAATCCAAACAAAGCAAAACAAAACAAAAAAAGACTGTCACGTTGACAAAATAGTCAAAGGTAGCCAATGACTATTTGATCGGTTTGTCTTGTACATATATATGAATGTTAGTTTCCAGGTCGTCACCCACTCGCGTCCACGATATTGCATGCTATTTAACATTCAAGACGTTAACAAATTTTCCACATGAAAGATTTTCAAAATTAATTTGCTATGAATAGTTTTTTCCACATCTATGAATACTATTCAGTCGAATGGCTATCACTGAATTAAATGATGCAAGAATGCCATGTTTGGCGAGCCATATAGAATTTAACTGCCGCAACAACGCCCTGTAGTTTCGGCGAAATTTCGAGGCGGTATTTAGTCAGCTGTAATATAATCAACTTGAGTTCAAAAATAGGAAAATAAATTGCCAACTTGACAGCCACCGACTTCACTTTTGAGAAGCGTTGCATAGATAAAGTTAAAGCATTTTTAATGCGCTTAACTCAAACCCGAAAACAAGTAAGCGAATTGTTCTCTATCCACTTCATTCGATTTAGTGGAAATTCTAGAAGTATTTATGTCCTTCGGATAGTTAAAAATATTCATGTTCAAATCATTTTGCTCAAAATGAACAATGAATTATTAGGGTATGTTATTTAATATGTTGGCAGCCTCATGCTTTCAGTTTTTTTTACTTTGCTAATTATGTCGCACTTTCCGTGATATTCCAATATTTTGATTATTTTTTCAGAAACGCCCTGTAATGTTAATCATTCCGAAAAAATTCTACAAGAAAACAAATCTAGAACTTAATTTCCATGATATATTCGGGGGCGTAAATTCAACTCTTGTCCAAATTCCATGCAATGGCTTCCTCTCTTCAATAATTTTCATAAAAACTCAAAGCAGACATTCAGAAAATGAAAGCTCATATTGAATGATAAAGCCGTCTTTATCTAAGGCGAAGGTTTTTTTTCTTTGAGAAATGAAGCGAGACGAAAACACTCCTGAGCCTTTAATGGAGATAAAAAAAACCCTTGCACTTTGTGGCCCGATGCTAAAGACCATCTTAGGACAGTGAAAGCCTTGACAAGAAACAGAAAATCTTAGAGTGAAAATAAGTTTTCAAAATATAGTATTGCAAAATAAACAATGCTTAAAATTAACTTGACATTGTGTATTGTCCTTTCTAAAAAAATTCCTAAATCCACTTTAACCACCTGATTGCCTTAAGCTACAAACACAATTTTTACTTGACTTTAAATGTGCAATAGATAAAAGGAAATTGAAAATTTGTCCTATTTTAAGATGTCGTGGTGAAATTTGCAGCTTACGCGAGTTACTATGCATACAAGATTGTTTATTAAATAGCACTGGGATAAAGGTCCATGCGCGCAGTGCCGACATTTAAATTTCGGTTTGAAATGCTTCACTGATTTTTCAAAAACAGCCTGTAAACTGTAAACAGCAAATCAAAAAATTTCGTTAGATGCTCAAAATCGCTCATCTAAAACTAGATTGCTTCATCTTGGTAGTAATTAAAAGGAATAAATGACCTAAGATCAAAATTTAAACGCTCAGAAACTTGGAATATTGGAACGCAAATTTCTACATGAACATTCTGCATAATAATGAGCACTAATTATGCAGGGCAAGTAAAATGGAGTTTAGTGTACTTTAATGCAAGTCATACTTTTTGAACTTTTCTAAGTAATAATCGTCGCAGCCCGCGAAATAAGAGTCTAAACTACGTGAAAATGAGTGGAAGTTTATAGACATGCCATAATTGTACAAATATCGGCTTGTACATGTACGAATGCAAACGATTTGATCAAGCACTGAAACTTACCATGGAAGATAACTTTGGCGTATGGATCACTCTTTCCAAATTTATCGACGTCTGGAAGGTCAGTGGCTCGTTGGACGGTTACTTTAAGCATTTTCCTGGTCTGCTCTTTAGTTCAGCAATCCAAGAACACCTTAAACCGTCACGAAACTGAAACCCTTCAACTCAGCTGTGCCACGAACGCTTCTATCTTTACGGTTGACTTCCACAGACAGCCTCACACCCATTCACAGAACATTCTGCATAACAATTAGCTTTACGCTCCGACATACAAAGAAATGCAAACACACAATAAAAAGCATACTTAAGCTTGGCGTCGGATAAGGGTCACGACCTAAATTCTTGCCATATTTGGTGTAACGACGAATATTTTCTCTGTAATTCAGACAAAACGAATATCACAACTTTCCCACAAACCTGTTCAAAAATAAAAGATTCCTTATCGTACAATTTGACTTTTTTTCTCACCAAAAGTAATATTATGGCATTTTTTCCGAAGCTGAGTAGCCAATCAGTAATTTCTATACGCGATATAGATCTTACTGTGTTTATGTTAACCACATCGTAGTGCAAACGGTCAGTTCATTTCCGCGCCATTTGTTGACTAAAAGATGTTTCTGGTATCGCCTCCAAGTGTTACCAAATATGCGACACTATTTTTCAGAGGCCAGCAGAGTTTTTAATGGCGTAGTGCAAATTTATTTGGAACACAAAAAGAGCTAAAAAGATGAATACAAGACTACGGAATGTCAAGAACAGGAAGAGAGAGTCACAGTGAAAATGTTTGCCAGAAGAAAGAGAATTAAAAATTGTATGTGAAGTTACATTCTGGTTCCTCTTGTGTCTCACTCTCTTTCTAATACGCTTTTTTTTCCCTCAGCAAAGGAAGCTTGCGTTATCTGGAGCATCAAAGTAAATGATAAACCTTGTGTCACCAAAACTATGTTGGTTGTTTTTTTTGCCGATTATTTTGTACGCCTTTTCTGATCAGGAAAGGGTCACACGAGGGTCACAAGCTATTTTCCTCGTGGAAAATAAAACCACAGTTTTTCTACATCTCCTTCGAAACCGATTTTTGACCACAAACTGTTAAGGTTTGCTATTTTCGGTGTGCATCGAACCTCTAAAGTAGGCCTGAAAGAATTCTAGAATTTACAGAGACGGATTAGCTAAAGGGGGACAGCTTTACTGAGGTATCAGGGCAGAGGAGACAATACCACATACAGATTAGTTGAAAATAAATAAATAAAAAATAAATGTTTGCTTTTACGCAATCAGAAAAAAAGACAATAGCGAAGACGTGCGAAGTCTCTGGTTTTAATTCTTGTGGAGCGGAAGTTGTATTGACAGTAAACCCTTTACGCCTGAATATCGATATGCATATTCTCCATACTGTTCAAAGGAGAATTTGTTTAGCAATCAAGAGAAACTTTAATTGGTGATCATTTCCTTTATTCTCGCGAAGTTAATGTTTGATTCACGAGTGTTATAGTAAGGAGAAATTAGATGCTTGTCACTCTTAGGGGTTAAAGAGCTTACTTACGTCTACATCTCAGTTTGCTTTATGTCTTGGTCGGTTCTTGAAAAAGTTCAATATCTTAACAATACCATATCTATTTTCCTATTTCTTCTCCACAATTCACATGCATGTTTCCACGGTCACAAAACTTACTAAAGAAGGACAAATTTCAACAATGCAGTTTTCGTTCATCATTGCTATTTTTTTGTTGAGGAAGTCTCTAAAAACCCAAATTCATGATCATCCCCATTCTTATCTACAAATGTTACCCTATTTAGCTCCATAACCTCCCCTCTAAAACCCAAACCAATGAAACTGATAATTTTCAATTTTTACAGTTTAAATAAAGTCAAAACTAGCTCAAGATAAAAAATGTAAATGCAAGTTTATTTTATCAAAAAAAAGACATCAATATTTGCTTTCTAGCTATTTTTAAGATAGCTATATATTTGCGGTCTACAACAAGTGTTATCCTATATACAAATAATTATGAATTGCAGCATCGATTTGAATTCACTTTAACCTAAATTTTTCTCTTCAAGGAAAAGAAGCCATCGATGGTCGAAAGAGCTCAAGTCTTTTTTAGTTCCTAAGAAGTTTTCCAATTGTTTCCATGTCGCGGGAAATGAAAAATAAATGAAAAATTGTCAGCCAAAGAATGATAACTTGATAAACCACCAAATACTCTGGTTAATTTACATGGAAACATATTGCCGTCAATATTTCCTTATTCATAATTTTATCAAGCACGACCGTTCCCATGAACGTCAAAATATTGTTTATACATTTGTTTTATCTCAATTATAATAAAACGCACCCCAAAACATCTATTAACCCAGTTAACCACAGCAGTGACCTGCCCGAAAAAATACCTATCCCAATTTTTCCAATTTAATTTGTAACATATTGCCTATCAGCCGCAAAATACTATTTTTAATACCTTAAGTAACAAAAATACATCTTTATCAAAAATATACCTGCATTTCTCATGTGAAAACATTAGTAGTAACTGACGCAGTTACTCGTGGGATTGACTTGCCCACAAAAAAATATTTTCTAATTGTTTTTTAATTTCACACAAAAGACAATTCCTATCGATGCCAAAATATGCTACACGTAGCCAGAAGTAACAAGAGTACTTCTTCATCAGACATTTTATCTTGGCAAGATGCAAGATCACCTTTGTACCAAATTGATCTTAATCATCATGAATGTAATAAACGAAGCAACATTCAGTTATCTGTCGAAGAAGTTTTCATTATCTTGCCCCAGTAAAGTAGCAGTGTCTGTAATGGTTATCTCGTTATGGACGAACAGAGACAAAAACATAAATCTCTATATGAACACCCGATTGCTCCCTAAGGTCGAAGAGCCTCCTGTAATTTTCCAAAAGTCTGATAATAGACCTTTAGATAACCCATTACTCTATTGCCAGATGACAACCATGTGGTTTATATATTGTAAAATAGGTTTTGGTTTGTCATCGTGGTAAATAACACTTCCAAACGAGAAATGTAATCGTTTTCTCACGATGAGTTCACTTTGGATGCGGATCGCAAAGTTTCGAATACATAGTACCGGTCTCCTACAGGTTGACCGTACTCAGTCGCACTCAATCGACCTCGCAATCTACGTCCCAAGCGACCACATCGTGAGACAAACGATTACATTCTTCCTTTGAAAGCATGTGGTTTTTATTAATTTTTTTAATTTCTTAAAGCTTGCAAACATGGCTTATCTGGAGTTGCTTCTCGCCATCTCCACTTGTTTGGCGTAGTGGTACTTCATAGACCAAGCCCTCCATTCTACATGTCCCGCTTGGTTCACAGAAATAAATCACCGCTTCGATCTAATAGGACCAAAACCAGAGAACATCAAAATTAAGTGAGATGAAGCGTGAACTTGCTCTTTGGCTGATCGGATCCTTTCATTACTTTGACAGAAAATGTCACTTGTAGGATACAAGGCCAACCTTAACGTCAAACAAACTGTAGATACTCACCCTCATAATAGTCTTTGGTTCCCAGTCTACCTCTGGCACCTGGACTTTGCACAGAGCTTGAAAAGAACCTTCACCTATAGAGCCAGATGAAGGTTCTAACTTGAATACCTCTTGGATAACTTCTTCATCTGGAAGAAAACCCATATACAGAATAGCCATTACGAAGTGGTTTTCTGTAAACTTCTTTGACATTAAAGCAAGCAATCTGCAGTATTCTCCTTCCTGTACCGTATACCGAGGGTAATGGTTTTGTTTGTAATGAAGCGTTAGTACGTCGATTTCCATTTAATCCCTCAGCTTTGAAAGTATAGAAATAAAAAAACCGCTTCACGTATAAACGATTCTCTGAAGGTATACTCGCACAAAGCCAAGCTGCTCACTTCCTCATTCATTCACAATTCAAACAGATCTTACAAGCTCTTACAGCCACATGGCATCAAAGAATATTCATTCTCACCTTCCTGCTGCTTAAAGGCCATAACTTGCCAAGGACTTGTCACACCCTTAGTAAGGTAACATCCTTCAGGAAGACTTATTCCCAGTTTCACCTCCAGGCACGATCCACCGGTCACGTGAATGGGTTCCTTGCGTGTGATTGGTGTTCTTTTTGACGTTAATCGTTTCGCCACCGCACTCACTTTATTTGACTCGCCGGCGACCGCACGGTCTTTCGAAAGTTTAGAATGTTCAACAATATTTAACTACGAAGGAAAACATCTCTTTCAGCAGAATTTTCTGCAACTGACTTCAACCTGTGCTAACTTAACCAAACTCCATTCCAGACTGTTATCCGAATTATGCTGGATACCAAAACGATCTAAAACTCTTAATCAAGGCCCCTGATGATACCTGAGATTGTTTCATCTAATTACTACTCTTATTCCATCTAATAAACATCTTTCCGTAAGTTAATAAAAAAAATATACATAAAGAAACGACCTTAGGTGACAAAAAATTTGTCTTCAATGAGAAGAAACTAAATGCAGTGAAACAAAAAGACATGTGCGCTGTACTTGTTCATAGTATCGGCCTGAATTCTCTCCTGTTTCATATTTCGTTTCATCTACATGTACCTGAAGTGCCGCGTCTTGCCATGTGCGATATACATGTAATACAATTTGAATGTGTAGCGCCAAGTTTACTTTCATCGGGTTGCTAAACTACCTACTGTATGTATTGCCTTATTTTTGCTGAAGACTCCACCAGTTACAGGAGTCACTATGCAAGACCAGTAGAGTGATTTTGTCGCTTTTCAAATATCTGAGTCAAACTTAAATGACGCAATATGGGAAAACCTACACTACACTTGATTAATCAGAGAGAGTGAATGCTTCTTAGCGTACCACACACATCATAAACGTCATGGCCACTCTTTCCCCGACAACATAAACATCACTTCCTTTAGCCTACAGCAAGCTTAGAACACTATTTATAGCCTCTTACCTGCGACACTAAGAGTGTTTTCAAGTCAATAACTCGGACGGCGTGGTTGTTAGTGTCTGCTACATACAACGTTTGTCCATCCGGGCTGACGCACAAACCACCTGGTTCGTCGAACTGTACCCCACCCTGCTCAGAAGACAGACCTGGTTTACCAGACCCCAGAAGTGTCTCACAAGTCTTCTTTGCTGGGTCAATAACTTTAATCTAAAGACAAACATGTAATTAGGCTCGGAAGAGTTGGTTTCACGTCAGCAAGAGCTTGCTTTAAGTTTGGATCAAAAAAGGGTGTTGAAGGACGGCTTTGCAAATTTCTCAGAAAATTGTTTTCAGAAAAATAATGCGATCAGCGGTACAATAAATATTATCGAAAAGCAGTCAATACCAGAGTAATTTGGAATGTCACTCAAAACGGAGCAGCAAGATAGCTATATATAATCAAGATCAAGAAAGGACCACGTACGCGTGAAGCTTCTGGATAAATGTCAGTATCTGAGCAAATGCGCACTTACCCCTCCTCTGACGAAACAACAGTCAACTGATAACAAGTTAGGGTTAATGTTGGGTTTGGGGAGGGGTATGTGCGCAATTGCTCAGATACTGACATTGATCCAAGCTTGTTATGCTGAAGTGATCACAGATGCTCATTTATGTCCCTCGAACCTAACCTGTCAGAAAACATTTTTACAGAAATTTCGTACACATACATGTAAGTATGATGACTTTCGCGCACGCCAAAGAAGCAAACTCCCGTACATTTGCGAGGGAAACGACTAGTTTAAAATCGACGAGTCTACAGTTTTTCCACCTCGTGCAGAAAAGGACATCAAGCGTGAATCATTCAGTATATATGGATCATTCAGCGTATGTCACAGTGCGCAATCATCCACGCACTGCCACGGAGAACAAACTCTGTTTAAAATATATTTGGATACCTTATGGTTGTACGAGTCTGCTACATACAGCCTCTGTGTCAGCGGATTCCAAGCTACTCCTAAGGGATGCTGCAGCTTGACATCAACACCTTTACCATCCTGATCACCAAATGCAAAAAGATTCTGGAAACGAGAAACGCAACGTTTTATTGATCATGCACTAGACAGAAGAATACCTTTGATGTAACCAAATCACCTTATCCTATAATTCATTCCTAGAAGGTGCAGGTGTTAACGACCTGAGGGACAGAAACAAAGTCATCATCATCGTCGCTCGTTGCGCCAGCGCATAAGGCTGTCACACTGCCCCACCATGATAAGGTGGTGATCCCACTCGGAGCAGAGTAACAAAGTGGCTTCTAAAACAATCCAGGATTGCAGATGGTTGCCTTAGTTTTGCTTCAGTACATGCACACTCTGCAAAACCAAAACCACTGGGACTCGAGCAATTTTCGATTGAGTGGTGAAGGTACATTGTAATCTGAGATTGTTTTGTCTTTCGTCTACTTTACCCTGTGATTGGTCCAGAAAACTCGCGTCACTCTCTCAACCAATCAGATTCAAACTCAAACCAATCGCGACTTGCTCGCTCGCGTTTTCCCGCGCTTTAGGCAGTTTTGTTGGTTTTTGCTTTGAGTTCCACATTGGCTCTTAAAGGTACTTCCCTTTCTTCTGACTGGCGTTGTGATTTCCTTGGTTTCGGTATTTTGAGACACTCGATCGAAAATTACCCCAAGACGAATAGTCATTCGCGTTTCCACCTGGCTCACTGGTAGAACACACGATTAATAACTAAGTAATGTCATACGTTAAATTCACTCCAGAGGATGGGTTTTTTTTTCTTAGCCTATCCGTGTATCAAGTGCCTCTCACTTACTGTTGGATCCCTGTCAGCTCCCACAAGAGCCTTTGTAGCACCACTGGCCACATCAACTGTCCTTATACTGCTGCTTTCACTATCTGCCACAAATAAGCATCTGAAGGGTTTTTCCTTTGCAAGACTGATGCCTGAAGGCTGTGCAAAGGCTGCTTTGTGGGGATAACTGTTATTACGATTCTCTTCTGCACCACTTCCAGCAAATCGAAGACATGTTCCTTTTACTTGAGAACTAACGAAATTATACCAAGAAGCATTAGAAACACAATAAGTAAAAGATTGTTTATTATAAGACTGACAAAAATGACTTACCAATGAAAGAATCTTCAGATGAATATACAGGAAAACAAATAAAATTATAGAATTTTATCCATGAAATGATACGTGAAAATTTTCATATGCACCATACATAACATGTATGGAAGCATTGGAAATGAGAGAATTTAACTGATTTGGACATTGAAGCATGAACTGGGACATCAAGCGTGAATCATTCAGTATATATGGATCATTCAGCGTATGTAGGGGTGGGGACTAGCTATGATTTTAGCAGACTATCACTCATGTTTTGAGAAATTTATTAAAGGATTACAAGTTTTGTATGGAATCATTTCAGTTTTGATGATGATGTGCCTGTACCAAAAGTGTATCATTCTCAATAGCACCTTTAAAGGGGTCTACATATAAACGCAATATGAACATGAACATAACATGTGACATAAAACTTAAGTTTAACAATGTAAGAGTTACTTTTTAAATGTCTCATCAAAGTCTACTTTTACAAATTGAAAGAAAATTGATGGAAAGTTAACTGAATTATTAACAGAATCAGATTCCTAAATCTGGCAGCAGCACAACCAAACATACTAGCCCCACAGGTCTCCTTAATTCATCTCTTACTTTTGGTGATGTTAGAGAAAGAAATCAGGGGTTACTGTTGCTTCAAAAATCATAATTTGACTGTGGCAACACATGATAAAAGAACTGACAAAAAAGAATGAGTGGAAGAACAAACGATTCAACCAATGTAACAATTAACCACTGTCAATGGATGAACAAACAAATGACAGTTGACTAACATGTTTACTAACCTCCCTTTTAACCATGTGCTGTCCTTAAGGTAAAGCACCCATATTTGATGTGTGCCTGCCATGGCAATGTACAAAACATCTCTAACATCTCCATCCTCTGCATTGGTAGGTCCTGCAAAAAGAAAAAAAAACAATTATAAGAAACTACAAAGGGTCATTAAATTACAAAACACAAAAAACCAGGTATATTGAAGAAGGGAAACCCAGCATGTGAAGAAGGAAGTACATGTTGATAAAAAAAGATAAATAAAGGAAATGACAAAAAACAACAAAAAACAGGGAAAAAGGATTTCTTAGCAACAGCACATTTTCATACTTTGAACACCATGGGTTGGGTATCAAACAAAAAGAGAAGGCAATGAAATGCTAGCACGCTGAACACTTGACGTCTTTAGAATAATCCAAAAAAGGATCTTCTTCAGATTGCTAGAGCAACAGTATCACAGACTCACTAAATCAAGGCAAGAGGAATAGCTGCAACCAATTTTTACCTTAATGTTTGTGGAAAATTAGTACATGTTCATGTGAAGAGCTTACTTAAGTAAATTAGATAATGAATGGCAGGAAAGTGTGATTCAGACCTCAAAAAAACCGTACTGTCTTTAAAAGTGTCTTTGCCTAAATGCTAGTTTAAAGGTGTGCTCCTCAGAACACTGAAGGCACAAATTTGTATTTTCCAATATGAGACTTTCAAATATCAGTTGCATTGGGCTGTCATACCGTAATCATTGACAAAAAAAAGACAACAACAAAAAAACAGAACAAATAGGTCAGTAAAAATATCTACATCTTAGAGATTGAAAACAAACCAGGTGATGGGCCAATAAGGACATCCCATGGTGAACTGATGCTTTGTGATGTTCCAGTGTTTCCACCTTCCTTGTCACTTCCTTGCTTTCCATCGCCAGCGATAGTGGTGACCATTCCTTTCTCAAGATCAATCTGAAAAAACATATTGAACATAAATTTGTTCAAAAGTTTATCCCAAAGAAATCTCATAAACAGTTGTAACTTTGAGTTAGGAATTGCATCCCAGAATCATAAATCAAAGATAAGATCCAAAACATTACATGAGAAGAAAATATTAAATGAAAACAAAAAGTAGTTCTTTGAAAATTATCACTTACCTGTCGTATGGCATGATTCTCTGTATCAGCAACATAAATTATTTCCTGTTCAATGGCTATTCCCTGTGGTGAATGAAATCTAGCTTCTTGAAATGATCCATCAACAAATCCAGCTTCAAAATTTTCTCCTCCTCCAATTGCATTTAAAATAATTCCTTCTTTGCTAATTACAAGGATTCTATGGTGTCCTGTGTCAGCCACAAACAATCTTTCTCCTCTTTTGTCCATGGATACCTTTCCAGGAAATGAGAGACTTGTCTGTGGAAGAGTGTCTTTGACCAGAGACATGCCAATGGAATGGTCTTTTACTTTTCCTACAAGAATAAGGTGCTGGGTAATATGCAATAGATTGGTGGGAAGAAAATACTGAGAAGAGAGAGTTTCCACCAAAGAAGCATATCACTTATCATGACAAACGGATACCTGAGTGCGATTATGTGACTTTTGAGGTTATAAAAGGTTAAATAACTAATCTAGGAAAAATGTTGACAGATTTCAACGATACAAGTTGTATTTTAGCCATAGAAAAAACCAACTCAAAGTGTTACTAATGCAGTATGGGAAATTATGATCTTCAGGGGTGAATGTTCCAAACCTTCCTTTTTGTTTTCTAAATTATTTTATGATTGTTTGTTAGTGTGTTGGGTTTTTTTCTCCGATGCATGACATGGGGGAAAATTGCAATGTCATATATGGCAACGAGAATCCTTGATTCAGTACGATTCATTTCCAATTCAGCTCTTTCTGACCTTTCACTAGTGGATGACACGTTTTGAAAGTAAAAGAATTAATGTAAAAAATGTTGCAGTACCTCTCTGTTTGTAGTATTTAAGAGCTGTTCCCACAAATTGTAAGAGCGGATCTCGGTGCCCCTCCCCCACCAAACTAAGAAGAATTTTTCCTTCTGGACTAACAACGACTAGAGTTGGCCAACACTGGACAGACAAAGAGTGCCACAGCTTTGCCTCGGAATCATTTACCACGGGATGTCTGATATCGTACCGTAACACTGCACTTAATACGTTTGTGGACGATTTTTCGTTCTCAAATTTCGCCGAATGAACACCGAGTATGACAAGGCCATCTTTCTCGGAATGAAGGTGTTCCAGTGCCTCCAGATCTGGTAGGATATGCATACAGTTTATGCAACAATAGGTAAAGAAATCCAAGACACATAACTTTCCGTGAAGCTGGTCTTTGAAGAACAATGAATTTTTGCAGTTCAGCCACTCCAGATTCGAATCAAATTCTGGAATACTTAAGGAATCTCTGGATTCCATCCATTCGATAAATGTATAAATTGCTTCGTCTCTCTCTTCCTGTGAGGCCGCGGATTTTAAAGTAGATAATAGCTCTTCTCCTTTTTTAATAAACCAACCCTCTGCCAGCATCATGATATCCACGAGAAGGCAATGATGGGTATGTAATGATGTTACCTGGAAGAGGATATTGAAGAATCGCTACATCATCGTGATTTTCCCCAAGGCGTTCCAATATTGTGGTCAGCAGAGATTTCCAAAACATATTTGTGTTGTGTAATTTAATCAAAGAGTCGTACGTGCACGGTAATAATTTTCGCTTCTCTGAATGGACATGAAGTCTCAGCTTTTCTTGTTTGTAGAGGAGAGCAATGTGGGAATAAAAAACTTTTTGCTATTCTTAGTAGCTCTATGTAATTCAAATTTCGCTCTATTAGCCTGAGGTTTTGAAGTTGGATGATGGGAGCATTTTTTACCGCAATTTTCAAAGCTGATAATGAATTATGTGTCGCCACCCTTTTGAAAAATAACATGGCTGACCCTAATTTGAGATTACCAAAAAAAAGGAATACAAAAAAAAGGTATGAGTTAAAATTTCAAGAATGGCGTGATTTTTGCCATAAAGTATAAGCTTCGAACGACCTGACAAGATTGAAATAAAAAGGACATTTTCCTCTTACAAAACATCATTAGCAAATTCATAATTTCCAAAACATGCAAAGCTGTGTTTACTGGTCACTACCGTATTGTTTTTTTATAATGATACAAATTTCCATTTGGTAATAAATTAAATCTTTTTTAACCTTTTTTAACGAATCCTCAAGCAAGCGCCTGAAATAAAGACAAAATATTTTATTTATGCCCTCCGTATTTTGCCTATTTTCAGAAATGGGCAAAATTGGTCACTATGACGCCTAGCGTATATCAACAAGGAACGTAGGACAAGCTTAGCTTTGAAACAGGTTACATAGATACTAACGATTCAAGTGCTGTTTATGAAAAAAATATCATATCACTAAGGAAGACTGAGTATACGTGCTCTCGTTTTGCGGTCTTGTTTGTACTCCGATCACAAATGTTGCTACATGTACTATTTTTTTTGTTGCCGTATGTGCCGTTTTCTTTTTTTTTGTGTTTGGTTTTGTTGCTATGTATACCGTTTTTTTTCTTTTATTTGAATTTTAACAGTAGGTGGGGATTCTTTTCACAAAAGGCGTCATCATCACCTTCGTAACTTGGCTAAAATGCAGGAATGCTTCATTTTTTTTTCGCGAAGTTTCCAGCTCAAAAAAAATGCAGATCGTTTTTGAGTGGTTGCAGGCAGATCTGCATTTTTTCGTTCTCAATGAAAATTTTTTGTACTTTAAAAAAATTACACCTTGAAAAATTCAAGGAAAGGAGGTTAATGCGTCAGCCACAAAACTTTATAGCCATAATTGCACCTTAAGAGGGTGTAATTGATGAAAATAGAATTTTCAATTTTTTAATCAAGTGAGCGGTCAATGAGAAGTGATTGACAGCTAGTTAGCGATCATTATGAAGGAGAGGTGTGGCTAAGCTGCCCTCTCTGCCTACAACTTCCTAAAGGTTGAATCAAAGGGCACGATTTTCTCGCATATAACTGCTTATGTAAACCTTGATAGTGAAGCTCAGCTCACCAGCATGTTGAAGGTGGTTGTGAACAATGCAAGTAATCTCCCAAATGTCGATAAATTCAGCGGAAAAAGCGATCCCTACGTGATAGTTAGCTTTCAAGGTAAGTGGCAAAATTTAAAATTGTTGCCCAGTAGGCTCCATGTATAATTCGAGAAAAATCATATCCCATTTAGCTATGGTTGATTTGCCCTTCGCAAAGTCATAAAACAGATCTAGTTTTTGAAGAGATGCATGAAATGTTTTGATTTAGTAAAGTTGAAATAAGTTATGAGGTGACGACAAAAAGGTTTAAATATTCCAAATGCTATACACGAACGAGGAAAAACATCTCGTGGTCCAAAAACCTCTGTTTTCGAGTTTCTTTTTTAGGAAGAAAAGATTATAGCGCCAGCTTGATCAGTCGTTTTAATTCGTTTGTGATGGTAAAATCGAACCAACCCATCTGATAGTGAAAGTTCTGCGTTCGAAATGATCAACAACATTGTTTGTGTTCACTTTGGGTCGCAAACAGTAGAGTTAATTTATCCGAGTGTAGGTCAAAGTCGAGTTGGGAGCTGATCGGAAAATTTAACCGAATTATTCATCACTCAGAATTGTACCCTTGTCTTCGTCTTAGAGCAAAAATCGTGCTTGTACAAGCATGATCGCTTCGTTGTAACGCACAAGTTTAAATAATCTGATTAAAACGATACATTAATGTTTTTCCAATGTAAGCGCGCGTCGGAAAGGCTTGAGTCTTCGGTGTTACTTGCAAGTAAATGTAGCTCGTTTGCTGAAGCTCACAAATCAAAATAATTCAAGTTGTAGCAAAATTTGCTCCCGACGATTAAAACGTAGTTCACTTTACAACGAATACTTTCTCCGCGTACTCACTTCTTTGGCTGATAAATCATCACCGCAGTATGCCAAGTGGGGTGCTGGTAGTAAACGAGGAAAATTTAGTCTTTAACAAAAGGAGGTATTCATGAGCTTAAGACTGGGTTTCTATCGCGTGATAGCTGATGAGGGCAAGGTTCAAATCAACTATCACGGATAGTATGGAAATCGTGAGCAAATAATCTTATTGTTTCAGTATAAATCTACTAGTCGTTCTAAACTAAAAAACAAGACAGGCTCGGAATGGATTGTGAGTGGCGTAGCCAATCAGATTGCGGTATTTGTGATAGGACAGTGGCAGACATCTTTGAAAACCTTCAGAAAGTACTCTCCAGTGCTTCGGTGAAAAGTAATGCTATCCTGTTCCAGTAATGAATGGAGTTCAAACTTAGATATTCAGCACTGGCTTATTGTCTCAGTTATTTTACGATAAAAAATGATGCGCGTCTCAATTATTTAGAACAAAATCAAAAGTCTCCTTTCGGAGAGGTGCACAAACTAGCACAATTCTGATAAAAGGAATTCTCTTTTCGGAGAGGTGTTAAAATCGGTGCAGATGTGATAAAAGAAATGATTGATATTCTACTGGTATTATACCACAAATGCTGTAATCTGAATGGCGACGTTACTCTCTATCTATTCCGTGATAGAGAGTGAGTAACCTAAAAGTGTGAGGTTGTCCAAAAAATTTATCATAGTAACAAAAATATCCTGAGAATGTCTTGTTATTTGTTTTTGACGATTAGTGGAAATAGACAATTAGACTATCTGCTCTCTATTCCATGCGTGTAACCTGATTCGAGCCTTACCCTCATCAACTATCACGCGATAGAAATCGAAGGGGAATAATCTGATTGTTAATTAGAATGGATATTTCAGCCTTTCGTGATTTAAATGGGGATTGAGTGCATCGGATAATAAAAAATGACAATGTGATGTGATTAAAAAGAGAATGATGAGATGTGGCAGCAATATATGAAGACAGTAATTCCCACAGCAGTCCTTTATCTTAAGGAGCAAATTATGGCAGCATCGCTCTAACACAGGGCTAACGCTCGATACGCCAACTTTTAAACTCTTTACGGTGGCCAATTAACGTTATCAACTCAGTTGATAATACTAATTTAATTCCTCTACTATACTGTCCAACCGACGCAGCACTACAGTTTCTTTCGAAACTTACTTCCTCATAAATAGGAGCATTTTCGTCAAACAGTTCAAATTAAAGGAAAATTAACGAAAAGGATGTAAATGACATCTCATCGACTTAATTTCCTCATTGACAAATGTGGAAGAAATTATTTTAAGAAATGGATCTAAATAATTTAGGAATGGAAGTGAAAAATAATCCGCTACATAAATGCAAAACAAAACCGTCATGAAATCGTAGGTCTGACAAAAAGTTCTGCACAAATGAAGTCTGTTTAGCTTTCAAGACTCGTCGGCATTTCGGTCAGAAAAATCGATTTTTTTTCATACTCCCCGCGCGAATCTATCTTAGTCTGATTAATGAAAACCATATTGGTTTTGCCAATCATGGCGAACTAAAATTTTTGCCGAGAGAAAATCGCTTCAGCGCTCAGACAAAGGCCCATTTTTAACAGCGACGATTCTCAAGAAATAGCACAAATTGCAAAACTCTCACTTTCACAAATTTCTGCTTTGTGGAATATCTTTTGCCTTGCATATTAAGTTTTAAGTTTTATTTACTCAACGTTTTTTTTATTCGAAAAAAAATTTTTTTTTTGACACAAATTAGTTCCTCTCTGTCAAAATACCAAAAAATTGACGGAAATTAAACTCTTGACTCGCGATTTTGTCTCTTCAGCTGCTGAAGGTATCACAGAAGGAAAATAAGCGTTTTCATTTAGACGTGAAAATTATGCGCGCTAACCCTGTAAAAGTAAACATTTTCTCAAAGCTTAAAAAAACAATGATTTCGGATTCTTACCTTAGAACAGAATGGGAACCTAATCATTGACGCCGAGACGTTTATTCTACTAAGCATTTTAATCAACGCGTTTCTTTTTAATCGGAGCGTGATCTTCACATATTGATCTAAAAGCATGTGTCTGGAATTTTTATTTGAACGCCTCGGTATTTCTTCATAATTTTTTTAAATTCGAAGTAGTGCTTTTGAGCAGAGTTTTCACTGTAGACGTTATATCTCAAGAAAGAAGGGAGAAATCGAAAATCCGGGACACACTTTTTGGGGTTCAGTATATTTCCAGCATAATCTCCAAATTTCACGAAAATTGGCCGAATATCAGCCGAAAATAAACTCTTCAAAGAACAGAACTCAAGCCAAAACACTTTACCAGAAAAAGCAACCCCAATTTTTTTCAGGGCGTCGGTACTTGTCGACATAAATACGTGCTAGGAGGCAAAGAGCGAATACAATTTGTAAGGAGTTAGGTCGAGATGGTTAAGTGTAACACGCGTGAATATGTAGCCATTTGCGTCGATATGGAAGTTATTTCAACCAGCAAAAAGAGGAGGAAAGAGAGCTACAATCGAAACACAACACAACTTTTCCACGATCAATGCTATACGAATGATGATGGACTGTCGGCGATATTTTTTGCGAATTAGCGCCTACGGCAACTTCGATAGAAATAGACTCTGGCCACTGAATCTCTTATGTCTAGTAGAAAACCCCATCACTATCTGTGAACAATATTTCCGCTTCGATGCAAACTTGCGAATAAATTTCCCTTTTTTCCGGAACGGAAAATAACACTTGACTTACAAAAACCAATCTCTCTAGCTTTCGGAAAGAACTAAAGTAAGTAGACTTGATGACGAATGAGCGATTTTGGAACTCAGTGTACAAAACGTTTATCAGGTGACGAGATGAAGTTGACATGAAGTGCCATGCATCTCGCGCCTTCTGTTCCACTCTCACATTATTTTTTGCTTTATAACTTCTGAGGTAAAAGAGATACCAAAATGAGATTTTCAGAAGTTGATGGATATTTAGTTTTTTTAATCGATGTTAAGTTTTCAGGAAATTAAAAAAAAAAGATTTTTTTCCTTCTGATACCTTAAAGGTGAAAAATAATTGCTAATCAGTTCTGAAATAGCCAATTGGCGCAGGCGAAGAGGATTATTCACCTATTTGGAACATACTAATAAATGAAACTTACACGTAAATTGAAAACTTTGCAGTTTTTTTTATGATTAAGAACACGACGAAAAATCATTTAGAATTGAAAAACCTTCATCCTCATTTAGAAAAATGCAGGATCCGAAAGTTGACCTTTACAAAGTAAAAGCTGACATTTTTAGCGTTAGCCCTTAGCCAGAGCGAATCGCAAGAGACGAAGGGCTAACGCTCGAAACTTCAGCCTTTAAACTCTTTATGGTGATCAAATTACGTTATCAACTCAGTTGATAATACGAAATTACCCTGTCACACTCTCCCACTGACTCAGCACCACAGTTTCCCGAGGAACTGAACCCCCTTAACAAAGCATAGCTGCATACTACCCATTGCTTTGTTTCTTATTCAATTAAAGAGATACAATAAAAAAACAATCTTCAGAAGCCAGGATGGCTATGGAAAACTGCTGTTTACCCAAAATATTTATTTATTTTCTTGCATGAATTGTTTTTATTGGTAGTCAGTTAAAGAGCAGGTCTTTTAAGCTGGAAAATGTAACCCATGATCTAAAAAAATTTGCAACGTGAACTAATTATGTAAAGGTCCTTTTAAAACGGAATTCTCCGTGTACATAAACATCGAAAATTAAAACTTATGCGGTTTGTTCTCACTGAGGATTTATCTAAATATACGAAGCAGAGAAATTCCTAAAACCAGAATTTTGTGAAAGGAAAAGGTCGGAAATTTTTGCCATATTTGATGAATCAGTTCATGCATACTGTTAAGAATGGGCCTCTGATTGCTGGAGCGATTTTCATCTGCAAAAAATTCGTTTTGTAATATTTGACAAAACCATGATTTAGTCCATTTTTCAACAGTATTTCCCTAGGATTACGAAATTCCCAAGCATGTTCTTTGGTCCTAGATCGTGTTCGTCACATGCTCTTCTCATTTCTGGTGGCACAAGTATGCGACATACTTGTTTCGCATCAACCACATACTTTTTTCTGTCAAAATTATTTTCCCGTCCCAACTATTTTAATGGTCTTAAAAATTGTTCCCAAAGCTAATTTTGTGATTACTTTTCTCCCTCTTAGACAAATTAACCCTTTGTACCTTAACATTAGTATTCATGTTCTCAATACTTTCCTCTCTAAATTTCTTCTGGTACTGACAAGGAGAATTCGTTTGACAATCAGGAGCTTTTAAAATTGGTGATAGTTTCCTTTCTGCTCATGACCTTTGTATTTAATTTAAGGAAGATGTTGTAAAGAAAAATTAATTAGAAGCCAGTCACTCTTAGAGATCAAAGAGTTGTCCATCCGAATACTGTTAACGCCCGTAATCATGGTCGCTACCTCGTGATACATCATCAACGATTTAAAAACGATTTAAATATAGCTGAGTACGTTCTGAGAAAAATTCAAGTTTTCCTTGCTCTTAACTCTGAAATGTGAACTTCTTCATCTCTTTCACTGTGATATGATTTATTCTACTCCAGGTCAGGAACAAAGGACAGACGTCATCAAAGATAATCTCAACCCTGAATGGAACAAGGTATAGGTTCATATCGGTGACTTTATTACTGCCAAAATCCAGATATCACTTCTTATCTCTCTCTACCGCAGAATTTGAATTTCTGATTTCTGACCTTATTCTCAGAGAATCGGAGGAAAAGTCAGACATGATTCCCCATAGCTGTGTTTTCTTTTCTTCTCGTCACATATATTCTTGAAAATGTATCGATATTGTGAGGAGAAATTCCATTTTAGTCACTCCCAGGAGTGGATACGACCACAACTCGAACGAAAAGCTTTGCATTCTTTGCTTATGTATTGATGTATTTGGTTTGTTTAGGAGTTCGAATATGACCTCAATGGAAAGGCGTTGTCAGCTCAAGAGACGCTTCTTTTCAAGGTTAAAGACTGGGAGAAAATAACAGCCAATCGGTAATTACTCATTTCTAATTGCACTCTTCTCTTGACACTATCTAACGATTGGCTAATGATCCAAAGATGTCGCGTGATAGTTAATGAGGGCAATGCCTGAATCAACTATCTCGAATGAAAATCAAGATCAAACAATCTTTTTGTTTTGCAACAACAAGACAGGCGCATGTTTCTATCTTATTTTGTTTACGACCGCACATAGTGAGGTTATCTACTTTACTCACCATCTATCAAGAAATCGATAGTGAATAGCGGGGCCAGTCAGATTGCAGCCGGATTTGTGGCCAATCAGGATGTAGCATTTGTGGGAGAACGCCAATAGATCTACACACCTGTACAGTTCTGAAATGGCATGTTAAGAACACGCTCCTTTAATTCTTCGTCGATAACGGAAAAAAGGTTAACGGACAATTTTGTTAGGGTGGTCTCCGAAGCAAAATTTCAAACTAAACTAAGTAGAAACATATAGTCATGAATCCTAGCAAATATTCAAGATAACAATCAAATATAGGAAATTCCTTAGTCCCGAAAGCAACGTAAGTTGTCACGAGTTGCAACCAATCAAAGAAAAAGTCAGAGATCATTTTCTGATTTTTCTCATCTCGCTATTGAAAAATAAACATTTAAATTTGCTGAACAAGTTTCTTGTGCACCTCTCGCACACCTGGCATGTTGTGTTCTTTCGAGCGCTTCTTTTCTATTTTCAAAGCTTGAAAGACTCAAAACGGTTTATTGCTGAACTGACCTCGGTTTATTGTTTGATGTGTCACGCACAAAAATTTCACCACAGTTTGAGCATGCTGTGCTGTTTTCCTGCTGACGTTTAATGAGTATCCTGCTGATCGGATATTTTCTTCGAAAAAAGGCATGTTTGTAAAAAGGAACGTTTGTTTTACTACTGGTTAACGAAATTGCAGAAAATTAATCAAACCTCTTCCTCCTACAGCCTTCTTGGTTCAGCCACAGTTCCCTTAAACAATTTGGTCCGCTCCAAAAGTAAGTCCGTGGACACCGAGGTTAATTTGGTAGATGGCGAACAAAGAGCCACCCCCGTAAGTACTATTTTGTAATGATCTTAATGAAAAAGCTAATCCAAGAAGCAAGGAAGAGAAAGCTTACACTGTTGACACCCTGGTGACCCGAACCTCCCGTTAAGAAGTTCAGGTTTTAAGTACACTCAGACAACCCCTTCGTCAAAAACACCCCAGCCTCCCCCTCTCCCCCATACCCCTCCGATCCCTGATGACACACTCTAAAATGAGAATCTTTATTATCACTCATTTTTTATCATAGCGTTGCAAGTAAAAAAAGTTCTTGCTTTTGAGAAAATGATCTAATTTGCAGTTCTTTGAAACATTGGAACTGATTTGGTTCATTCAAAATTCCATTACGTTACTTTTTATAACGCTTACATCGACTAAACTTGTTACATAATTTCACACCCAGGCTAAACTTAAGATCAGCTTATCTTACGACCCTCCTCCATCCGCCACCAAAGGAGAGTTACAGGAAGGTGGTATTGAGGAGGGTGAAGAAGTGAAAGAATTTGAAACTACTGGAGGAGAACCAGGGAAAGTAGGTTTTAAAAGGTAAGTTCTCTTCTGAAAAGTAGTCAATGGCTTGGCTATGTGCGATGATGTGTTGCTCCACAGCAGGTTAGATAGACTGTTTTGGTGCTTCAGGGGAGATGATTTTTTTTTTTTTGGCTTGCTTTAATGGCCGGTGAGTCAGTTGGCATTTGCTTATAACGCTATAGAAGTTTAATCACTGGTTGACCGACCATGTCTGCAAGCCACGAGTGCAAATAATTCTCTGATTTCTTCTGCAAACTGAAATGTAGCAGGACAACGGTGAATCAGCCATTTGATTAATTCAGGTGGCAAGAAAGGAATCTAACAGAGCACCAGTTGTGCCTACCATTGACATATTTTTGTCCGGCTGATAAGGAAAAACACGATGTAGTATTTGAGAAAAGGGAACAGGGACAAATCAAGACTGACGTAGCGTTTTGCACTTTATGCGGCCTGTTAACCCTTTACAGCCTTACATCAGTATGCATTCTCTCCATACTGTTCCTAAGGTCTTTACAAGAACAATTTGATTTGGTTCAGGGGTTATATTGTAAGCAGAAAATAGATAGTTACTCTTGAAGGTCAGAGGATTAACATAAATCGTCATATTGCGTTTGTAAGTAGACCCCATGAAGAGTGCTATTGAAAATGTCCCACTTTTTGTATGCGCCCTTTGCCATCAATACAAAAAGTGTGATCTTTAATAAATTTTTCGAAACACGAGTGATAGTCAGGTGAGTTCATAGCTAGCCCCCCCCACCCCTTTTGAAATAGCCAGTTCGTGCTTCAATGTCGAAATGAGTAAAATTCTTTCATTTCCAATGCTTCTAACATTCCAAGATGATCAGTTATTGAAAACCGAATTACATTTTCAGGACCAGACGTGGACAGAAGGGAAAGGCGTTATCAAATAAGCCTCAGGATTTTCAGGTAAGAAATATAATACAAATATATATAATAAAAACATTTCAAATCGCTACTCTCTTACAGCTGAGGTTTTTCTCTTAAGATATTTCACACATAATAACTTTTGCTGTGTGATTTGAAACAGATACGTGTAAAGGTATTTGAAGCTCGTCAGCTAACAGGAGGTAACATCCACCCTGTTGTTCGAGTGAGCGTGGCTGATCAAGACCGAGACACAAAAATCAAGAAATGCACAAACAATCCGGCATTTAACGAGGTTGGTCATGGGATCATTTTTGCATGGACTGGACATGTCACAAACTTACGAGAATAAATCTAAGAGCTAAAAGCGTCATTTTCTTCAATTCCATCATTTCATACAGAATTTCTCCTTCAATTTTCACTCTGCACCCATGGACTTGTTTGAAGAAACAGTGTCGTTTGAGGTCAGTAAACAGGGAACCCAACACTGATGAACTACTTCATCGGTATTGTTAACCCCTTGTTGTTATTGTAAGCGGCAGGAGGCAAGTTCTCCGTACTGTTCTCAATGTATTTCCTATGTTACCTACAAGGAGTATTTTTTAACTATCAGGAGCTTCTTCAGTTGATGATATTTCCTTTCTTCTAATCACCTTTACATTTGATTTAAGGGTGATACTGTTAGTGTACGGAGAAATTCGAAGCCAGTCACTCTTAGGGGCCGGTAAAGCGTTCGAATTTTTTTTTTCGAGTCCTGCTCGAGTTTGAATTTGAATTAAGTGCTTCTAAGTATAAGCTTTGGTTTTTTCTTTTCTAGTGGATAACGTCTTTTTTGTACGAATGTCTTGTGTTTGATTGTTTGTTTTAAATTAAACAATGCCAGCTTGCAAGGCGTAAAAAAAAAAGTCCAGTCTTTATATCATAATATTAATAACCATGTCCAAATATTCATTTTACTTTATCTCTTTCTTCCTTTAGGTTTTCGACTCCAGAAAGTACCGTGCAGACTCACTACTTGGTTATTTCGAGGTTAGCTAGGTTAAATTTTCAGAAATGAGGAAAACACAATGAACACGCGATACATGTAACTATTCCTTAGGTTTATGATTTTGGATTAACAATTGCGAAAAATATTAAGTTGATAAGCTATGAAATGGTTACCCAAAGCGGGGAAGCCAGTTGAGTAAAGATCAAACTGAACAAAGCAAATTTTCCGCACGTTAGTACTGTAACATGATCAATCGAGGTAGTTGTGTCATATGTTTCTCTCGTATTACTCTGCATAAAAAAACAACTTAGAACGACCTGTTAAGAAACATTGTGTGCTTCGTATTAAAAAAGTAGCCTGATATGACTGCTTTTTTGTGTCAATTTGGAATCGAATTCTGCCTTCCATGTTATCAGTTCCGGCGGCGCTCTAACATTGCTGTATAACTTATATCGCTTGCCTTAGAGTTACGAGTAAATCTTTTTTTCAGCTTGACATCTATTCAATATACGACATGCCAGGTAAGTGGTTTGATGAAGTAACGTTAGACTGTACATGGCTGGCTTTTAAGGTATTGGTAGCCATCTCTGTGTTTGATCTGGATCAGCTTTGATATTACCGACGATTAGGACGATCCAGCCAATCTTCAGACATTAAGGCAACATAACAACATACATTTGGCACACTTGAGACTTAACTTATTGATCGTCATAAATTAACTTTTTTTTTTAAACCTTTGACAATTACAAATTCAATCAATCAGATCCTCTTCATCACGGTGGATTTTTCGTATTTTATGCCTCGATACCAAGAGAATATGTCTCTGTGGAGCAATTGTATACATGTGCATAATGAGATATCTTAAAAAGATAAAACATTATTCTTTTTGCTATCTCAATTTTAAGGTCATTCTTTTATTCGTAAATGGATGTTGTTAAGCAATCCTAAAGACAAAGGAGGCGACGAAAAAGAAGAGGTAGGCTCATTGATTTCCTTTTAAAAACAGGTCAGTTGCCCCATAATAGAATAAACTTATGAGGCCAACCAGACGTTTCTATGAGAATCCGAGCTCTGATAAACAAAAAGCGCCGATGCAAGACTGAAGGGCATATGTTAGGAAAACACAAAATGAAGGTTGAAGCACACAAAATGTGATGACGAAACAAGCCCGTTGCCAACAGGAAGGTTTTGGCGGTTGGAATGAATGCCTACCACCCCCTCCCCTCTCCCCCGCCAAAAAAAAAAACCTAATGGACAATGGAAAATAGTACAAACCCAAAACGTGGTGAGGCGGAAATGGAAAGAGTGGCAGAGAGGAAAAATAATGTGATGTCGTTTGCTTAAGTCTCTGAAGTTCTGACATGTTTTTTTTCGCTGATTTTTTTTTATTTTCATTGATGAACAGAAAAGCGCAAAAGGAGTTCGAGGAACTTCTAGAGGAGGCTCACCAGCGGTAAGTGCGATCATATAAAAATATTTCTATAATCCTTGTGGAGATTTTAAGAAGCCTAACGTAAAACCGATAACACATTTTCATCTCTTACACGTTTGATTATAGGGTTACCTAAAAGCGACAGTAACCGTGCTGGGACCTGGAGACAAACCACCGGTAAAAAAAACTATAAATCTTAACTCTTGCCGAAACTTCGTTCTATTGCTGGTTCCCTCAAGATATAGACACAACTTTCTCTTCAGCGTTGCGTTAAATTTGTGTAATTGATTAATGTACAAGTCCGATCATGGTCACCTGCGGTTCCGAAACGGAAAAACATAAACTTCGCCCAAGAAAATGGCGCAGGAAATTAAACCTGATTAGAGCCATCAAATGTAATGGCAATGTTCCATTGCTAATTAAGAAAAGGGAGATAACAAATTTATCATGAAGAAAGTTGTTAAAAAGAAGAAATAAGTTAAACCAAACAAAATTACAAAAGTACTTTCAGACAAGTCCTTTACAACTATGTGAATGACTGTAACTGTAATTAAGTTTCACTTTTTTGATGAATTTTTATTTATTCTCAGCCTCTGTCTAAGCTCGCCGGAGAGGACGGTTCTGACGACATTGAGGCGTGAGTACCTTTATGAATTTAATAAGCAATTTTACAAATTTATCTTAAAAGCTCTCTCATATGCTTTCATTTTTTCTCATGTCATGTTTCCCGAAGAATACTAATTATCTGCTTGGTGCCAGTTTGTCGTTCTTGTACAGTTTGTCCTATCACTTTCTAACAAAAGCTCGCAAACTTAATTATGTTTTTGCTTTTGCGAAGGATTTGCAGTGACATAAGATAACTTTTTATAACGAATATATGAGCTACATCATGATCCAGAGTAACTAAGGCAAAAGTCAATCTATTTTAAGAGTCGATGGCTATGTGCTGTTACGCGAACTTTGGGTCAACAATCGTTATTTATGAAGTAACTACCTATGCATGCATTCGCACCATAGCTATTTGGTATCGTTATATTGCGAAATATTTCATAGCTTACGAACAAGTCCTCAATAATTAGCTCTGCAGGACGCGCGTTTCTCTACCAGCAGGAAGATTTGAGACGAGTCAAGGAGAGGTTTGACAGGGGTCTGGTGCTACAACTAACCAGGCCCCTTATAGACGTCTCGCCGGTTCTCGTTGCTCAAACCGTAATACTATTATCCCGCGAGCGCGGAGAAGCTGGTGCCGAAGTGCTTATAATGAGGAACCGAGGGGTTAGATAGAGTAGTCTATACGTAGACTACTATATACTTAGCCTATGGAATTCATCAAACACTTGGGAATCACAAAAGCCGTGAAAGTCGCTGAAACATTTCTTCGTTTTAGCTTGGTTGGTTTTTTTGGTTGTTTTGTCAGTTTCCTTAGTTTGATTTGTTCCTTTCATATCGATTATTTTTTTTACAGGAATCTTCTTAGGCCTGCTGGAGTCGGTCTTCAAGACGCAGTTTTTACTTTCAAAGTTTATCGAGCGGAGGATCTTCCTCAGAGTAAGTTAATTAGGTAGTGTTATCAGTTATGGGTCGAATAATTACAGGTTCTCCAGAGAGAGTTTTTGTACACCGAAAAGAAAATCGTAATATTTTAGCTCAAAAAAATTACCACTAAAAATTATGCGATGTAAAGTAGCAAAATAGTAGTATTTAGAGCTCTAACATGATGATCATAGAATACAATTGTGCCGTCGGTCGTTCAGCTCGAGAACTATCGTGAAAGAGAGATGCCAGAAAAAAAAATGGTACAACCCAAAGATGTGGCTCTAATTTGTCTAATTTTGTGTTTGTAGTGGATACAGCTGTGATGCAAGGTGTCAAGAAATTTTTCAACATGCAACAGGTAATACTCTGTCATCAGACGCAAACAAAAGATAGAATAAAAAGCAGAACAAAAGTCAAATCTCATTTTTTTCGATAGGAGGATGAAAAGCTTGTGGATCCCTACGTTCTATTTCAGTTTTGTGGAAAAGAGGTATTGTACATGTTTCTTTGTGTTTGTCATAATCTGATCAGATTAACCTTCTACATGGAAACAATGCTGGCTCGCAAGGAAGTTTTCGCTTACGTCTGTGATGAGAAGCTACTTTTAAAAAGTGACTCTCTAAGCCCGTACCTGTCGTGTTAACCACGAGGAAAAATAATTTGAAAGCCGGTACGACTGCTTGTTGTAAGTGCAAAAGGTATGACTGCAACAACAACAACAACAGCATGAACAACAACAATAACAACAACAGCATTCACAAAAAACAACAACAACAACAATAATAACAACGACAAAAACAACAGCATCATCAACAACAACAGATATAATTACAAATACATCCAAAAAAACAGCATTATCAACAATAACAACGTCGACAACGACAACAAAAACAACAACAAAAACAACAAAGTGGGACTTACAGACTCATAAAATCCACGTCCTCTTTGGAACGTCTATCTAAATCCGACAATATGCTTGAAAAATAGCAATAATCAATGGACGAAGGCAAAGTATTTCATTTCTCTTGATACAGAATCGCACCTCTGTCAAATACAAGACAGACTGTCCAGAATTTAAGGAGATCATCAAAGTTCCTTTCATGGTAAGAGTAAACAATTTAATCGGTTGTTTACAACCTTATAAACTATATTCTTTCGTAAGGGTGAGATCTTCTCCTTCTTTTTTTGTCTTATACAGTTTAGTGTATTGTTCATCTCCTCTAATAAAAATTTCAGGAAATTCACTTGAAAATTTCTTTTACAGACGAAATCTTTCAAATCAGTCTACCTGCTCGCATAAGTGATATTTTCTGGTTTAACGTTTCCACCATAATAGATTCCTGTCGACTGTATCGTTTAAAAATTTTCTCTCCTTCAGTTTCCATCAATGTGTCAGAGAGTGAAAATCCAATTGTTCGACTGGTGAGTGAATAAGCTAACCAAAACTACACTCTTTACTCTTAAGCCTCCTCCACACCAATATCTTTTGATGCGTTTTTGCCATCATCTACACTGAAACATTCGAAAACGCTCATGAAAATAGAGTCTTTCGAAAACAGTTTCGAAAGGCCTCATCTCAACCTAGGCGTTCTTGTTCGAGAATGCATATTGCTTTACAGTGTTTTTGCTCATCATCCAACTACATCGCAAACAACGCTGATAAAACCGTAGATATTTAAAACGTTTTCAAGGGTAAAGAAAATGCATCGTCCTTTAAACGCTCCGTTTTTTGAAAAACCTCTACCGAAAAATGGGTCACTCCTTTTCATTTTCATTTGCATTTCCAAGCGTTCTTGTGCGCACGATAAACACATAAAATGTATGTGTTTTCAAAGGAAGATTCACTTATGTGGACTGTTCTAGCGTGGGTGAATATTAAATCCTTCACTTTGCTTGGGACGTTGCCAGACATTTTTGAGAAACGTTTATTGTAGTCGAGCCCCTTGTGCGGGTGTTATGTATCAAGGAATGAGCATGTTTGCAATATTCAAACACAAGAAATTATAGGAACGTACGATTAACAGTATACAAACAGCAATAGGGAAAATTAATCGAGGCAAGGTATAGTGGTACTAGATAAGAAAGTGTGCCTCCTTTGATTCGAGAATTATATACATTAGAGAACTTAATACACTGTAAAGGTAAAATGTTTCTCTTAAAAGACATTTTGTATATTCAAGAATGCATTGGCAGGTTCTTGGCAATGTTGTTTGAAAGTTCGTATTTTGTTCATTCAGGGATCGTCTAACTGATGATGATTGTATTGCAACTGCTTTTCTTTCTCTTGCCTCGATGTCTGGACAAGGAGAAGAAGGTTTCATGATATAATCTGCATGACACGATAAAAATCTACGTTATCTTTCTATTTTCCTCAAATTGTTCGTTTTTTATCAATTCATTTCCTTTATTGACTACTTTATCTGCAACTAATGAGCGAATAATTTGTCAATGTCTAGGATTTCTTCCAACGTTTGGTCCTTGTTGGTTGAATTTTTATGGTTCCCCGAGGGAGTTTTCTGAGCTTCCAGATGAGCATGAAGATCTAAATGATGGAAAGGTGCTTGAAACATTATTTATATAGTTGTGTTGTGCATTGTCAAGTAGTGTCTGGCGACAAATAGATCAGAATGCGTCCAATAATTGATTTTTTTTTAAGGAACGCCTCTTCTGGAAGACAACAGTTCTTTAATGAATTGTAATCACTTCGAATGCTAATTCTCCGAAAAGGGCCTGATGCATGAGTCAATATGTGAAATTTTACTTATTTGTGCTTAAAAAACCCTGTTTGGCAAATATTAGATCATACATTATTTTGTAGTCACGTGAAAAAAGTATGCAAGCTAAAGTAATTTCTAATAACTGTAAGAGATTAATTAACATTTTTACTTTACAGGGGGAGGGAGTGGCGTATAGGGGGCGATTACTAGTGGAGTTGGAGACCAAGTTGGGTGAAGAGATTGACAAGGAGCTGGAAGTCATGAAAGGACCAGAACTTATTCGAGTACAGGTAGTACTGAACTGCAAAAAGACTCCACTGAAAATAAAACTAAACAAAACAGTCATTTAAACAGGCTTCACTCTAGAAAAACCCTATTTTAACAGTATTGAAACAAATTATCACTATTTCTACATCTTTCATTGTTGTGAACGCCAAGTGTGTGGCGAGAAATTGCTCTGACGGGCTTCTCAGGTGGGGTCTAGTCCTTCACTGCTCCGTCATTCATGCAACACGTGTAACACATGTAACACACAAGATACCTTGTGGTTCAGAAAAGTTTTTTGAGGTAGTACAGTTGGTCAATTGTTTGAACCTCGGGGTAACATTTGAACGCGTCGTACGATTTTTGTTTAAGGTTAATCATGATAAAGACTATTGTCGGTGGTGCAGTGATCATAACTGACGTTTCGAAAACCTTGAAGAAGTGGTTGTCATAGTCGAGTAACGATGATTCCCGTCAGGGTTGTCGAAGGGTCAGTCACCACGACCGACGTTAAAGTAATACCTACATATACAATCATGAACAGTAACTAGAGTGTCAGTCTCAAAGCTTCATACAATTTTTAAGTTACCCGTAATATTTCTCGTAAATCACGGAACTTGCGACTAACACTTTGTTCCCTAACCGATTATAATCGATACAACCGAATGAAAACCTTACAAATTTTATACTAATAAAAAGTACAGACTAGTTTCTATGAATGTGTAAATTCACGCATTTATACTGAGGCCTTAATAACGTTTTTTCTCTTAAGCCATACCTGAGCCGCAGCAAATACAAGTTGTTTGCTTGCTTTTATGAAGCTTCCATGGTGTTTGATGTAGACGGGCCTATTGAATTTGAAGTTAGCATCGGTAAGAATTTCATTCTTTTTGTCTTGGCAATCCTATAAAGTGGACTAAAGTAAACTGATTGTATGATGGCGGGATGCAAAAAAATTTTAAAGATTCTTCTCCAATATGTGAACGTATTGCTGTGCCAATGTGAGTTAAAAACAAGCAGTTAAGATTTTTTGTTTCTAAGGGATCTTCGGTCTCAACCATACATGTAATGTTAGAGGACAGCAATTAGTTGCTGAAATTTCTCATAGGGCTTTTCACAAATTGTCTGTAAATGAGCGGGAAATTGCACAAAGTAGCTTGTTTTGCAAAAAGGTTACTCAAACATTGTTCTGTATCGAAACAGTTTATATAACACAGTTTACTTTAAAGGTAAATGTAGTCGTTACAGAATTTAAATGATTTACAATTAATGACTTTTAGCAACAACAACTATATCCCAACAGTGTACCAGATTTACATAGATCAGATTTATTTGAAATGAAACTTCTTTCAACAATTTTCCCAGCTGATGAGAGCTGTTACTTTGTAGGTAACTATGGCAACATGATGGATGAGTCGGTGGCACCTTCCAACACGCCCCCTTGTAACGCAGTGTATGATGGAAGTAACTATTACTATCTTCCCTGGAGCAGCGAAAAGCCTTGTGTGTGCGTGGAAAGTTATTGGGAGAACATATCCTTCAGACTGGAACCCTTAAATGCCCTGCTGAGGATTATTGATCGCGTGGTAAGACCAAGTGCTACTTTAAACGCTTCTGCGTGAGCCTTGCTTTTGTTCTAACAGAAAAAGAGTCCCCTTCAGTGGAGCAAAATTTCAGGGAGCTATCATTTCAAGCAACACGCGCATTTTCAGTCAGGTTTTTCACTGCGTACAAATTTTTCAAAATCAAATCTAAAAAAGGGTTTGGTTCAAGGAGCGTAAAACCTTGACAGAACTGAGCTGAAGCAGTGAATTCGTGAGATATTTGTTTGATATTGAAGATGACATGGAAATCATATCACAGAAGCAATACATTTGCTGTATCCTCAGCGTAGATTAACGGAAATTGCCTTTAACCAAGACACTTTTCTCTCCCCAGAAAAATAAAATAACGGAAGTGATGTATATGATCGTCACCAATGCACCGGAAGTAGACAGGGCTTCTTGTTTGTTCTCTTTACTGGACCAGCTTATCGCAGACTGCAGGTTACTTGAGACGTTACATAATTTGTAAAATATACTGGTGCATGAAATTTCATGATAGGTTTATTCAAAGATACATACATAACCAAGTGAAATGCCTCTTAATCAAGATCTGCTGGCCTTACACAAGTTTTAAACGTAATAAATGGATCCTTTGATCCCGACGCTCCTGTTTCTGTTTGAACAAAGGGTCATAAACCGACTAATCTTTCGATAATCGACACAAAATTCGTTTAAAGACCGAACAAGAAAAAAAGCACTGATAATGTTATGAGGCAATCATGAAAATCAAGTCGTGCATTGGATGCACTTGCATGAATAAAGCGAAGTCTATCACAAGTAACCCAAATGTATTATGGTTGAATCGAACCATTTTAAGGGACTTGTTCGTGAAATTCTCGGCAATTTCAATATTGAACGAAGAGTCATAAATAAGTAGCAACTACTTTAATGCATGCAAAGCCTCAAGATTAATGCAAAACCCGACAGATGGTGCATGGATTGAAAAAAAATTAGGACAGAATAACAAGACTTGTTAAAGGGTAAATTGGCAAAAAGAGAGTGGATAACGTTTTTCAGGTTTTCTTATCAGTTTGTTCCAGTGCGTTATCTATGTGAGGCTACGGCCGTGCAAATGGATGGGTTAGATATAGTTAGCAGTATTAAAACAGTAAATGCACCAGTTTTTTACCATTCTCGGCCATAAAGGGTTGAGAGTTAGAGAGATGAGTTAGTTTAAGTAGAATGCAGTCCAAAAAACAACTGATGTTTGAGCTCTACATACGATATACAGATTTGAAAACAATTGAGACACTGCGAGCTGCCTAATTTGTCAAAAACCTATCGTTTACTGTACTGGTAAAACCAATGGGAAATTGAATTTTTTATTATAAAGTAATGTACCGCCTTCTCCACAGAATTACCACTGTGATTACTTACTTAAGATGTTGGGAAAACACTAAAAAAGTTTGTAAATCACGAGCCAGAGGCCGTCTTTCACTTAAAAGTATTGCTTTTTTATGCTTTCCAAAATCCTCATTTACTTTCTTTTCATCCAGCAGTAGCCTTCCTAACTTGAAAGGGAAGACAAACAAACTTGATATGAAGCGGGACCGTGAGAGAAGATGCGAGTTGGTAAAGCTGCTGTTATTCAATTCAGTAGAATTTTCCGAGAAAAAGTTCGCAACATTTATTTGATTTAATTGATTTATTTAATTTAATTGATCTTGCAAACAGAGAGTTTCATAATAGGTGGGCATTCCCACTAAGATCTTGTGATTGTGAGATAATACCTTTTTTTTTTGTGTCTTTTCTAAGACTAATGAAAATTGACAAAAAGTTTGCACGAATGAGACCTGGTGAAGATCGATCTGAAAAAAATTAAACGAAAAGGAAGCAACTAATAAAAAAATGATGAAAATAACCAAGATTCAAATTGAATAAACAATAACAAATTAAATATGAAGTGAAAAAAGTTTCAAGCTATGAAAATCCTCAGTACCCTTGCAATAGTTTAAACAATCTGTTCTCCTTATGTTATAATCTTTTTCAGCGCTCTATCGCACAGGAAGCCACGGAGCTTAAAGAAAAAGCAACAAACGTTGAAGACGCGCTCTCAGATGTAAACGGATTTCTTCAGCGGTTACAAGACCTTGCAGAAGAGGTCAGTATAAAGAATTAAAGGCAAATGCCAATTTCATGCACATTAAGTTTCCTCTCGTACGCTTCTCGACTAACATTTTCTTTCTAGACGACTAGTTTTTTTTTGAGTATTTCTGAGTATCTAATTCAAGCTTCGCTCTGTTGTTCTAGCATCTATCAACCCTCTCTTGAGTAGGAACTCCTTCTCTCTCCCAGGAAAAGGCGACGAAGTAGAGGTTACCACTCCTTGAATTACGTGCACGTCTCCGTAAATTTCGTTTAGTGGCTCTGATAGCATTTCGAATGTGTCTCATCTTCCAGCAGTACACAAAAGGGTTTAGAGAAGAATTAATAAACATCAGTGTGAGAGAGTAGAACGACAAAATCTTGGAAACATTGTTAATTCCGGCAGTTGCCACCAGAACGAAAACACAAATTTTTGGCAAAACAAAGTAAACACACAGGATAAACACAGAAAAAACCACATAGAATAGTTTTTCAGTTCTTTGTTCGGAATTTTAACTAGGTCTTTGTGAGGTAGCAAAAACACTACTGCACACACACCATAGTGCTCTGATTAAAAGGAGCTTTCAGTTCAAATTCAAGCAAAGTTTGAAAGAATTTTTTCTTCAGTTCCTTAACCAAAGCAGGTGTTGCTAACTTTTCATAGAGATGTAATTGTACTTGGGTATTATTAGAGGCAAGGTTTCCATAGACACTTTTTAAGCTGCCCTGTTGAAACACACTGTATAAAGTTCAAACTATAATAACACTTAGAGATTCTATCTTCTTTCTGAAGTTAGTTAATATTTGCTTTGGTGAATTATAATGTTGTTTACTTTGCTTCAGTTCAATTAAGCATGGTTTGAATTAAAAATGTAGCAATATTTTGAAAACAATCTCAAAAGCTTTGGTGCTCTCCTTTGAAGTCTTGAAGATCTAAACATAATTTTTTAACTTAAATGAGTAGGTGAAAAATAATATTGTCGAGACTTTCAACTAACGAAAAAGAAGGCGCTTTGTTGATCGTGCGTGAATATGACCAAGTGACTTAATTAATCTTTATGTGTGTCGGAATACTTGTATTGTCTGAAAATGCGTTCATGCGTTTTATCTGGCTGAATTGCTATCGCCCAATTATTGATGAAAACTGATGACGTTCAAAACAGAAAAATCTTTTAAGACGAAGAAAAACTTCTCTTGGCATACGGAGGGAGTTGCTCACACTGTTCAATGCAAGAGTTTATTGCCAGGAGATGAGATTTGTTAACTGGTCTTCACTATTTAGGTGCTGAATTCTTCTAGTTCTTGACACTTTACACCCTAACCTCAGTAGGCACATTCTCCATACTGTTCTCTATACATTTCTTAAAGTGCAGACCAAGAGAATTTGTTTAACAATCAAAAGCCTCTTAAGTTGGTGATCATGTCCTTTATTCTCGTGACCTTAATGTTTGACTCGAAGGTGATATTGTTGGGAGAAATTAGATAACAGTCACTCTTACGGATCAAAGGGTTAATTAGTCAACAGCTTTGTCAGCTTTTGCCAATTCAAATTCATTACAGGCCTTAAGGCAACTCTTCCCATTCATGATATACAATTCATTTTGATCTTAATCTTCTACAACTGACACAGCCTCAAAACAGCTTACCCGATGTTATCCTCTGGATGATCAGTGGCTCAACGAGAATTGCCTACCACAGGATACCAGCCTACCATGTCTTGTTTTCACCCAAGGAGGAAGCCTGTGGTAAATTTTGCGGCAAAACAATGGAGATTGAGATGAAGGTAATTCACCAATTGATTTAGAGGTGGGGACAACATTTCCGTTTTAGCGGGTCGGTTTCAGAAAATGTGTGAAGTTTAGTTTTACTCATGTAATGATTTCATCATTACAAAGAAAGTCAGATATTTTAAATGCAATGTCTATGCGTAAACGTAACTTTTCCCTAAGAGAATACCGCGGTCTTGTTAATCAGCGGTAGATACATATGTGATGCAAGACCAAAGTTCCCGGTAATGATGGGATTACCATGTGATACAGATACCTCCCTCCATTTGTTCCCGAGCATTGCCCAGGTTCTTGGTACAGTTAATCACATGATTTCGAGAGGAATGTAGAACATATAAGAACGAATAATTACTATGTTTTCCAAATTGCAAAGGGACTATCATGTGTCCACCTTATAAATATAATATAAATGAAGAAATCTTGATAATATCGACCAGAAGCAAAACACTCGAATCACCGAAATAAGCCTGCATATATCGTTGGGCGTTTGGTAAAAACGCCATCGCCATCAATTTTTTAAATGTTTTAGCCAAAAGAAAACGTTCAAGTCTTGCTAAAAAATTGTTTCCTTTATTTATATATTTATTTATTCATTTTGCATGGAATTACCTCTTTTCTTCCCTGAATGATCTCCCTTCTGCGGTGTGCTAATTTAAAACTGGAAGAAATCCAGTTTCTACTTGTATTTCATTAATCTTCTAATAGAGAAAGATGGTAAACATTTGTTATAAACAGGCACAAAAACAAACTTTCGTGATCGGATATAGTGCGAACTGAACTAAGAGAAATCTTTAGTGCGATATGCTAATGACAGAGTTCCCTTTTTTCCCCTTCTAGTACCCCGGTAGGAAGGCCCTAAACATTGCAGATCACCCAGAGCTACCCGCAATCGTCCGAGTCGAGCTGTGGTTCGGACTTGAGCAGTATCAGAGTAACTGGACTGCACGCGAGCAAAGAGAAGGCGATCTTGGCGTCTTAGCAGAAACGGTCAGTGCACTGTACGATTAATTCTGTGATTGCTAACGAAAAAAAATCTGACACACAATCAGTTTTTCGAATGTTCAGTCCAGTGAAATATTCTATTCAATCGTAATTATAGCGCTTTTGATAACGAAATTGTTACTTCTTTTGCAGTATGAAAACGAAATCAAAATTGGTTTTTGGACAAAGAAAGCCCTCACAAGACCAGGATTTTCGAATGCCAGTGGGGAGGTATGACTTCTAGCTTAACCGACTAAACGAATTCAGAATATCATTATCACAGTATTTTTCCTATTCTATCCTGTTTTTCTTTTCTGTCACCTACCTCATCTGATATTTGAGAAAAACGACTATAACATGTACTTTGCTGAAATCTGGTCCGTCCCTTTTAGATTAAACTAAAATTATCATCCATTTATTCATTGTGTGTCGTTGTCTCTTTGTTGCTTATTCCTATAGTTAACATACTAACAAACAACGAATGTTTCACGTTTATGCTTTCCTCTGAGTGTGCTGCATTTGTTCTTTATCCTGTAAGAATTTTTCCATAACTTAAGTAACTCTTCTGTTTGTATGTTAACTAATTATTAGTTATAAATGGTGGTATTTATTTTGATTTTCGTCCACAGCTACCACTACCCAAAAAAAAGTTTCAGGCCCCTGAAGGTTGGGAATTTGAAGGAGACTGGTACATAGCTCCGGAAATGAGGTCAGATTTGTTTTTAACTTAAACGTTTCCCGCTGCCTTACTGATTCTCATTTTCCAAACATATTTCCAAATTTTTAGCCTGAACGATTAAAATTACATATTTTCCGATAAATTTTATTGAAATATTCAATCGAGTATTCTCTTTATTGAAATTTTCAAGCTCCTTGCTGATTTCTTGATCAATTTTAAATTGTTACGGGTAGAAAAATTTGCTGCAGGCCAGGCTACTCATCGTGCTCTCTTCATTTGAACTACTTATGGCTTACCCTTAAATTCAAAGAAGTGGGTAAAGAAGGCGTGTGAGGGCACATGTCAAAAGAGTGACAACCTGAAGGAATAAAAGGACCTGGCCTGCAACACTTTCAGGAAAGGTCCCCCCTCTACTGTAAAATCAACCTGCCTACCCCCAACCACCTTCAATACGTTGTCAACACGTTGCGCAGATTGGTTTAAAACGTAGTAAAACTAAATTATGTACAATGTTGGTCATTAAGAGTGTAATGAAAAACAACAATAACAACAACTCAAACCCTTGATGGTTAAGTTTAAGGTTCGCAGGTATACGCAGATTTCAAATTGCTTGAGCTTTGTTTAGAGCATCTTTCTGTCGTTCATAGCCATTTATGTACCCATCTTGTTTGCTATCCTGGAAAGTGATATTTATCAGAGAGGTAAATAGCGCTTATCACATGTACTGGTTGGTTAGCTTGGAAGTGATTAGAAAGTCCTATTCACCTCCGAGAAGCCGAAAAGACAAAATCGTGCGTCACAGGTTTAATTTCCGAGCATTTTACGGAATTTTGACACATTTTTGGGTGGTATGTACTATGATAATGTTTCTCCTCAGTGTCGGTGGAAATGGTATAAATAAATTAGTCATATCACCACTTATTAGACTCTATTTTAAGTCCCGATGCCTTCGGAAGATCAAAAATAAAGGTCTGTATTTCTCGTTGACGATGAAATCGCGTCCATTAAAGCCGAAACCAGAAAATTTGGCCTTTGCTTTTGCATTAAACTGAGCTAATACTTGTTTTTTCGATTCCCCTTGCGCTTCTTCTATGGTATTCCTCGCTAAGTACCTCAGCACGATGTAATATTAAGTTCTTGCTTAATCTTCATGCTTTGAGAAAATGGAATTTCGCTGAGGAAGATCCGTGATTTGCGACTCTTTTTCGCCGTGAGCCGATAAGTTTCCTTCTCTCCCGACCTGTTTGTTCGTAGATTCGTCCATCACGCTGTTCGTGTGAGTTGCAGTCACTTGATCGATTTTGTTTCCAGCCAATTTTCTACCTACCCACCTAATAAAAGGAATTGTTAAAAATGCTGTTTGGAATGAACGCATTCGCCAAGCATATAGAAACTGATTTGTAGCGGAATTGAGCAGCAGGAACAAATACTGCAGATCTCGAAACCAATGGATAAGAACGCAGCTACATGAGTTACACAGGTTAATTACGTAGACCATCACAAGCGAAGGCACGCCACAGGCTAAGAATGACACGATAATAAACAGAAAGGACATCGTTATCTTCTGTTCCCGTTTAAGATATTTTTGCCGATCACGGTTGCTTCTAATATGTTCAGTGTTCTTTTCATGTTGACGAATACTCCGATAGATACTGAAGTTCACAAATAGTAGAACAATGATGCTAATCACGACCGCTGTATTGGCAAATATGAAAGCTAGAAGATAGAATCCCACTGCCAGGTATAGTAATGGAAGACTAAGGGAACATATCCACAAAACAACTGACGTTACGATTGCACTGGAAGCCTTTCCTCGTACGATGCGGTTTGATGTTGCCACTTTGTATCTGTTGACAGCTAGAGCCAGTATACTTAAAACTGATGCAGTTGAGCTCATAAAATATGATACATACACCACCCATCTAAGACCAAGGACAGGGCGTTTCAGAGCCTCGCTTGCGTGATATCCGACAAATACAGGCTCAGTTACAGTTCCAACAAGCAGATCTGCAATGGCGAGGTTGAGCACCAAGTAGTTAAAGGGAGTTTTGAGGTTTTTCGTCGGGTTCCACAGAACGGCCCAGCAAATAAGTAGGTTACCGGGTACAGTAATGATGCTTAAAATGGCAGATACCGTTGTTGTGGTGACAGAAGTTGCAAATGGTGCCCAGTAATGGTCACAGAGGTCAGACTGAAATACCATTATGGCACAGTGGGAGAATCTAAAACGGAAAAAACATTTTCAACACATGTATTTTCCACACTTTTTGCAAAATCTTTGTGCCTGTAACTTAAATAACTCTTGAATATTTATTGAAATTCAATGTAAACATCGGAGCCTCCATTTTATGGGCTAGAATTTCCAAATTTATGTACCTTCTTCATTTCTGACCGCTGATTGGTGCGTTGAAAGACCTAAGTCACGAGAAAGGAAGAACAGTGGTTGTAATCAGTACTTCAACCAGAGAAAGCTGTAAATTTAATACATGGCGAGGACTCTCCTTTTTCCATCTTCATCGGTCTCTGAATTTCAGAATATTCCCAAAATGTCACGTTTAAGATATTTGTGTCTTCCATGGTTGCTCTCCAAATTTCAAGCTAATCCTTTAAAATTGGGAGATCGAGAACCCATAAATTTTTTTTTAAAAACCTTAATTATTTTGTATGTAATCATATGCCATTAAGAATAATTGCTGATCGGCAGCGTTTGTAACAAGGAAGCATTTTTTAATAACCTACAAATTTTGCAACACTAGCTGCGGCATATGTATAATGTTAGGAGAGGTACGAACGAAAAAAAGACACTGAAAAGAAACAAGCCATATCCAAGTAAGGAGGCCCAATACTTATACCTCGTCACTAATTGAATAATGCCATTTTTTCCTATTTGTTTTTATGTGTCTGTGCCAAAGTTAAAGTTATTTAGTTATTTAGTTATTTATTTCAGTCTTCATTCGCAAGAGGGAAACCACAGGTACCCAAGTTTGAAAAATTCAGTATTGAGTTGCGAGATTCGAGAAACATATTAGAATTTTGTCACACATTGCGTAAACCGACGAGCAGTTCAAAGTGCTACAGCACTAATTAAAAACTGTGTAGCTCGCCTTTATTACAGTATGGTGCAATACGTATTACAAATGCTTAAGTTATTTCTTACTGACGCCGCAGCTGTTCTCACAAAATGCGCCGTTATTACAAAATGCCGCAACCGTAATTCCAAAACTGAATGCGTAAGTTATTGCAAAATACGTCGCTAACACAAAATGTCGCAGAACATTATTTGTTGTGTCACTTAATCAGCTTAATGAAAGAGAAAAACTAATTTATGATAGGTTATTGTGTACCGATGGGTAACGACTGCCATCAACATATGATGTCTTTAATAAAAGATTGTAAAAAATGCATACTCCCCAACAAGGGGTTTCGCAGTATGAATTTTCAGGGAGCAAATACCCACTTACAAGAATGATAGTTAACAAAGTTAGTAACTTCAGAAAAAACAGGAGCGAAAGTAGAGTATTGAATTTGAATAACTATTGAATAGGATGCTTCGTGTGTTTGGAAGCCATTATCGAAGTCTTTACCAGACATCAGTTATCGTTTTCAAACGTAGACTTAAGCGTATTCAATACATTGTTTTATTAAATTTTTGTTGGCAAAAGTCATTTTATCTCGGTGGTAATTTTACCCAAACCTTAATCTCCATACACTTAAGGAAGTTTGTATCGTCTGGAGACAGGACATAACTGAAAACTGTAGTGTGTAAACAACGTAGTATTTAAGAACTACGCTGAACAAATGGAATGGGTTGTTTTTTCGTTTTCTCAGTATTAAAGATCGTTTTGTTGAAACCGTAGACTAACCGTTGAGTTTATGTGGTTCACTCGACGTAGGTGATAAGGGAAGTCGTGTGAAGTTTCCGTTTTCATTTGCGGTGAATCTGATGTAACTGAAAGCGTTATTTACGCCGCGTTTAAAAATGCCCGACCACATGTTAGAAGCTAATGCACGCTTTTTTTTCCAACGGTATATTGTAGCACTATCTCAACCCCCGCGCTAATCGGTCTGTGTTTACAGTGAAAACTATATCCTGTGTCCTGTCCATATTGACCGGACAATCTGACTCAAGTGGACTGTCTCGTTACAGTCCTTGGAAAGAAGCTTGTGGAGCGGTGAAGAGATATATCAAATATGATAACGCCATTATTAAAAATGTTTACCTTATATCACAGACGTTTTACCCGGTTCATACATGATAGGGACTTTTGTTAGTCAAGCCATACCAGAGTACAAGTAATACTGACAAACACAGGCTCGAACCCCGCCGGAGCCTGAATCCTTTTTTTTTTCAGGCTTTTTCTGGACTTCCTGATTACGGTTTATCTGCGACGATCATATCTTTAATTGTCTGTCACCGGCAGGCCGAAAAACATGATTAATTTTACATACACCAAAATTTCGGGACACGTGCTGTTTTCAAGGTAAATTTAATTTCAATGCTAATGGTCTCTTATATTTGAACTAAAATGTTGTCCTTACCTACATGAGAGTTCCTGACCCCTGGTCAAAACTGTCCGGAGAAAAAGGGAATGGAGCAAGAAAAAGTAATTAGAGGGTTGAAATAATCACAGAAAGTTCCTATAGATACCTATCTACATTATGCATACAACCTATCATTCTGGTCTATTCTGCCGAAAGAAATATATGATACAACAGGTAGGAAGAATAACAGGTCAGGATTATGGTTGCAAGTCGCAGATTCATTATTGCAGCTTTGTCGTATGAATTGGGAAATAAGGAGAGGTATTTTTAAAAGCACGAAGTCTTTTGATGAGATCGAATGAGATCTGAAAGGGTGAGATATTAAAAACAAATATAGATAGTTGCGGTGGCAGCTAATGGGCCGATGACGGCATTATTAGATTTTGAGAGTTAAAATTCTTTATTGCTAATGGAGGATTGTTTGCTTTTCAAGAGTATGAAAACATTAAAAATAGTTTTTTGAGCATTTTTTGCACAAATTGAATGGTGAAAAGAATAGTTTTGTAACCATATTTTAAAATTCATTGACGGAATCTTTCTGCCAAATAATAGTTAAGATCCAATGATTTCTTTATTGACCGAGCTTGTTAGATCCTGACTGGTGGCATTCGCGAAGTCGATCACTGTGTTTTGATTGGAGCTGGACCTTGTCTCGAGCCATACAAACGAAGGAAAAGGAGAAAGCTGAGAGGAATAATATCAAGCCATGTATACTTTAAATTCGGTCAATAACGCGTAGATGTTTTTCTTGTTATACCTAGCGAACTACTGGAGGCCAAGTCTCATACAACGAAATCGATGCTGTACTTTGATGTCGTACGTCCGCGCAATGATAGAGATGAACATTTGCAAATTCTTCGTTTCATTATTAATATATAAATATATGTATATGCGTAATTTGTAAAAAGATTGGCATAGAAATACGGAAATAAACTGTCTAACCAGGAGAAGTGGTTAAAAAGAATAACTACGCGTTATTCTAGCACAGACACCACTTTGCGTGGAAAATCATGAAGAAAAGAAGAAACTATCAGTGGCGAAATTGGTGTACCTCTAAACTTCCTTTGTGATTAGTTGAATGGTTTGAAGTGTACCACCAGTTAGATTGGACTACAGCTTTTCTCTATAAGTGTCGTGCGCGTATCACATCAATTACGAAGAAAATCGACCATACCAAACATCTTGAGCAAGGCTCGACTGATTTTATTTTTCAATTCCAATTGCTAGCGTCATAAACACGGGATTGGGGATCTGCTTGCGTTTTTGAATAAATGATATTCACAATGACCATCCTAGATTGCTGAGATACCTCAGAGGAGATTTAGTGTTTTGATTTTCTCCTTAATGCTCAATTCGCATCATTAAAGGTCATGAGAACTGGAATTTTTTTGTTTCGCAATTTATCATATTTTTATTGTTAAGTGGTTTGCTTTTAGGTTGCAGAAGAGGAAAAAGTCGCTGTTTCGCAGAACATCCGGAATTAGCTATGAGGTTAAATAAATTTAGTAACACTTCCTACAAAGTAGGCACAAATATCAAGCACTCACCTTGATACAGGAAAAGTTGGCTATGTTGGTGATACTATTTTCCTCGTAGAATCACGAAAAATCTAGCGATTTTTGACCACAATTTTTTTTCAGATAATATTTTTTGTCAGCAGGTGTTTGCGCTTAAGTACTGAAAGCTTAATAAGGTATTTCCCTGAGCTATTTCTTTTCACAATATGACGCACGCCAGCCAATGTAATTTTCTGACCTTACCGATGTATTTCACGCGATTATCCTAATCAGTGTTAATAGACATGAATACAACACAGCGAAAGGAAACGGAATTGTTTCACATCGAATTGAATACGATAGCATCAAACAAACCTGGCAGGAATATATTAAAAAAAAAAAAAAAAAAACAAAAAGCTGAATATGTCTGTCCCTGTCAATTGAGAAAAAAAAGAGCGCGGACCGATTCGAACAAAGCGATCGCAGATAGACACTCAAATTTATTTTGAAAGTCGCAGCCTGTTGAATTATAACTTAGTTCAGTGTTGATATCTAGAGCTAATTTTTGAATGTGGGCATTTACTTACTTATTGTCTTATGATATCTAGAGCTGATTTTTAAATGAGGGCACAGGAGGAACTTTGAATCAACCAAAAGTGTATCGAAACGTTTTGTTTCGTTTGAAAAGGTTTTCTTTTGTCGTAATAAGTAGTGATAAAGGTGGATGTTTATCTGAGAAGGTGCAATTTAACAAAGCAAGTGTGACTCAGGCAGGTGGTTATGACCAATGAGCTTTGATTGTTTCTTGGGAATCATGGCATGTGATATTTACACATATCCCTTTGGCAAAATAAAGTGATTTATTTCTTTCAACTACGATTTCCTGTGGCTAACAATAGCAGAAGATTTCGCCCAATTTAGTGTTGTTCAATATTCTTTCTTCGCGTCATTCTATCTCATTGACAAGTTTAGCTAAACGTTTACAATGAAACATTTTTATCCTATACCGGATTGTTCACAATAATTTTGGACCCAAATTTTTATTGGGGAAATTCCATTTTTTAGATCACAAACTTGACGATTAAGGCTATGACTAACGTAGGGGAAAAAGATGTGAGATTTGAGATTTGAGATTTGACGCAACCATAGCGAATTAAAAAAATTGCTTAATAACCCCTTATTAATTTTTTCGCAACCTCTACGCATGTCCGGGATGGATAGAGTGACTATCAGCTGACAAAAAATTGACATTAAGGGGCCAGTCTTTTTTTATCACGGGAGGGGGTTGCGGAGGATTTTGGAAGGGGATAAAATGGTTTTCAGGGGGAGCAGAGGGGGGATCAGCTGTCGCTAACCGCAGGGTATAAATATCTGTTGTTTGGTACATCCTATTTAGTCATTTGTTTTGTTCTGAGTTTTGATGGAACTAACCTACCACTACGATTCTATTGTTTATAAAAAACTTATGACTCAGTTACTTCATTTTTTATCAAAGTGATAATTTTTACCTGTATTTCGCACTTCCATTAAATGAAAAATATTATTCTCTATTTGGTTTTCCATCATTATCATCATTATCTCTGCTATGTCGGTGGCAGTTACTTAGCCAACACAGTAAACACTTATAAAATGTAAAAGTAATGTTACATACATGTCCAACTGTAAAATTTCCAGTATAATGAGAATTAGTCAATACTTATTAACACGTCCTTGTTGAACTAATGAACTGAGATAGTTCTTAAATCGCCAAGAAACTATAACAAGGAGGAGCTGATTCCAACCTCAAGCCTAGTTATGGGAAAGGAGAACCGAAACACTACTTTCTTTCGATAACGTTTAACAAGAGCAAGCTTATGGTTAATCCATTAAAATGAAATATCGCTAAATTTTTACAAAATTTTGCGGATTTTGTTATTGTCAAGACCCAAAATAGTTTTTTTCAGAAAGATCAACTGAGATCTTTTCTTCTTTCTACAAGGCTACACCTATACAGATTTTCAAAATTTATTCAGCATGAAGGTGACTCTCGAGGACCATTTAAAGGTCGTTTCTATGGATGTGGGTCGCTGTTGTAGGCTTTTTCTTTAGTCAGTAAATACAATGTTTATCTATAAGCCCGACGCAACTGACGCGCGTTCCTTTTAGGTTATCTACCAGCTTTCATGTTATTAGTCGAGCATACAAAACTTCTATTCTTGGGTATTAAAGTTTGCTCTCTCTTTGCATAGCTCCGGGGGCACTTACTTTCAGTTCCTGAGATGGTGTACTGTCAGATTGAGATGGCTGTGGCGTCGGATAGTTTAAGCTTAACTCTTGTCTTCCAAATTTGTCTACCAGCCATGCAATTGCTGATATGGTCATAAAAGCCCTTTTAAAAGAGCGCATGCGAAAGGCGTAAAGAAACTGATTCGAAGCAGAGTTAATCAGAATGAACAAGAACTGCAAGTCTCGGAGCCAGTGGATTAGAACACAGTTGCATGTGTGACATAAGTTAATGATGTAGACCATCACACAAGAAGGGAAAGAACACAAAATAAATGCAACTGCTATCATAAGAAGAGAGTTTGTTGCCTTCTGCTCGCGTTGCACTTGCTTTTCTCGTTCCAACTCGCTGCTCTGAATGTGTGCAGAAGTTTTCCTGTGTCGTTTTAGAAAGTGACACACACGGAAGTAAACGAAAACAAGAACGATCGAAGTGACAACAACTGCAGCGTTAGCAAAGATGAAAGCAAGTCTAAAGAAACCAACAACACGATAGAGAAGAGGAAGACTAAGAGAGAGAATCCACAGAGAAACAGACACTTTGATTGTGCGACTAATGGAATGCTGTGCACGATATAAGCGGTATGATCTAACCACCTGGTACCTGTTGACTGCTAATGCCACAATGCTGAGAACCGAGACCGTCGAAGTAAAAAAATATGACACGTGGACCACCCACTGAACACTCAGGAGTTCTTTTACCTTGAGAGCTTCTTTGACGTGGAAGTCAACAAAGACTGGATCTGTGATCAGTCCTATGATGAGGTCGGAAATGGCGAGGTTCACTACCAAGTAATTAAATGAAGTCTTCAGCTCTCCGGTTGGGTTCCGTATCACAGCCCAGCAGATAAGCAAGTTGCCGGGCACGGTAACAAGGGTCAAGATAGCGGCCACCACTGATGTCGTTACAGAGGTCGCGAATGGGGCCCAGTGATCTTGGCAGTAGTTGGATTGGAAGACCATTTTGTAAAAGTATGAGGCTATGAAAAAATGGAGGCCACAGTGATCAAACTTTGCTTAAACGCAGCCTTGCAATTAACTGGCGTCAAATCCCTGCCTGCATATTCTAACCTGATTTGATTTATAAAAGACTCGGAAAAAGTTATTTTCTGTAAATGCAATTGTGTTACTTTCGGATTAATTACTGACTTTCTAACTGCGCTACACAATTCAGTTGATTTTATAATTAAAATTTTACTTTTCAAATACTACGCGAAATACATGAGTGTTGTTCGCGGGCTCCTGAATCGACACGACTCGTCAAATGCATCTTATTAGTGCGACTTAGAATAAATAGTTGGAGAGGAGGGCGAATGGTTCGCTGAACAATTATCTGAATCGTTCGACACGTCAGTACGAATCGCGAATGGAAGTTACAACTTGTCGGATGCTTTTATTTCCTTTGGTTCTTCCGGTAAGATTTCGAATAAGAGTTAGTAATCTACCTCCAATAAACAGATTGTGGTGATTTTTCTTACAACCATCCATCTCTCACTTGTTCGTGTATTTTTTGAAATTCATCACGAGCCTCATTGTTTGCATTCCTGCACGAATAATCTAGTGTGGTTGAAAATATGGCAAAATGTGTAATTCTTCGCTGCATGTGCTTACAGAACGATGAACACATATATTGGCTTTTTTTATTGCTTTGCTGTACGATGAAGTGAGTATTCTTTTTTGATTTACTGCGCGAGATAAGGAGTGTTGTTCATGATATAGAGAAGGGAGAACGTTTACTTCCTCAGGGCCCGTGCTTTTAGAACGACGCATACAAATCTAGGTCTCCTGTTTGTTTTGCGGTACGAGTTATGGAATGTTGTTCAAAATATAAAGAAGTTAGGAAGTGTAACTCGTACGCTCATTTTCCTCATAGTACAATTACGTCATAGACATATTGGCTTCCTTGCTTTTTTTTTCCTGCGCGAAATATCGATTGTTGTTCAAAACATGAAGAATCGATCGATTCCACAAATCTTTCAGAGCACCCTTCTCCCACCTCTCTTACGATATATTCAGTCGAAGTCCCACAAATGAGATGCCTTCCATGACTCGACCACGAGTCGGGACTCCTATTCATGATTCGTACGAATCGAAAGATTTGACAAACTATTTCATAAAGCAAGTAATGCAATATTACCAGGGCCTATACAAAGCCAAATTCATGAGGCGACAATGGCGCTATTCTTTTCGAGACCAGGAAGCAGTCAAACGACCATGCACATACTAGATTCTTGAAAGACTCACTAGCATATCAAGGGGCCGTCGTGTGGAACTTATTTAATAAAAAAAAAGATACACGTATAAACTCTAAACTCTAAACTCTAAACTCTAAACTCTAAACTCTAAACTCTAACAAACTCTTAAATCAACCCCTGAGTATGACATTCTCGGGGACTACACCTTCCACAGGTTATCTAACTCTGCCTCTCAAAACAGGCAAATCGACTACGCTTATTTTGAAATATGTAATAATAATATATTTTATTTATTATCACTTTTTAGGTTTATACGTACAGTTTTAATTTAATTTACTTTAATCGTAATGACAACATTTTATTTAACATTTCTTCTAAGGGTTATTTTACAAGTAATATGCATGTAAGTAGTTTTATTTAATTATATCGAAGTGAACAAGACCCCAAAAGCTTTTAGCTTTTATTCTTATCGGGTAAGTGTTAAGGTTCTATTCAATTCTATTCTGCTCGTTCAGGGAACCATATTCCTACCTCTCTCATTATTTATTCTACGGATAATGGTGCATTTGTCGGATTGTCAACTTAGCTTCACGATTTGTCAACTCAAACAGATGGACATGCAGAAAGTAATTTCGAGTCGTATCGGTTATTGAGCATTGGACATGTGTAAAGTCGCGTTACGTCGAAATAGTTTCGCGGATAATCACTAAAAGACCACTCACCGACAAGGAAAGTTAAAGTTAGCCGCTATAGAACTTCGCTGATAAAATATTTCCAAGTTCTTTCATCTGCACCCCGCTTCAGGCTTAGCTTGAAAATGACAAAATCAGAATTACGTGGGCAATTTATGAGATTTCAAGAGCTGATAACCGCAAGAAAGTGAAATACCGCAAAACCTCAATAGCTGCACAATATCGTTTCGGGTCATGGATGATTTTCCGGATTCTGAATAAATTAAAGCGTCACGATTGGCGTGGAAAAACATCAAAACAAACTATTTCCCCCAGCGGGATCTGGGAAACTAAAAAAGACTTTTCGTCAGAGGATTTTCTAGGCGGGTATATTGTTAAGCCCAAATAATGGAAACGCTTGATCAAGATAAATTTGTGAGAACAAAATTGTTTTATTTGATTCCAAACTAATAATGTCAGAAGCCCATTGATGGCTTCGTGATAATGTCAAATCATGGCTCGATGTCAGTTTCGGAAGTTCTGTTTTCTCCATCTTCGCGCTTCATTAGATTTGCAACTTCGAGATCAATTTCAAGGTTATGTTTCGAATTGACACGTGTTGTGTTTCGAACTCTTGTGCTCTCGCTTCCGGAGAATCCAGTGCTCTTGAAAATTTCCATTTTATCTCATTTACCTCACCGCCCCCTTTCAGAACTTTCGCTCAATATTCCATCATCGTTGGGTTTTCTCCGAAATTTCAAGAAGGTTAAATACAGCTGAATCGCCTGCAAAACAATAAAGAAATGAAAAATTCATCATTTTGAGTGGTTTTCATCGTCATGCATATTGCTTTTCCCTTTTCGAATTTTTTCTTTGAAAATAACCGCAAAATGGCTCTTCTAGTATCATCACATTTAGGCCGTTGTCGCAAATCTTCAACTATCCCAGTTTCCCACGATGTCGTTTTTCATTCTCTAATACTGATGATCTCAATTTTCTTAACATACAATCAGTAAAATAAAACCATCGAATCCAAGCTAATCCAGCCATTATCTTCAACATAGATACAACTTGTACCCTCTGGTACTCTTTGTAAGATTTCTATGCTCAATCCATGTGAAATATCTTAGTTCTTCTGAAAAATGGACAAATCAAATCTCAGAAATTTTCAGATTTTTCCCTGTGGATCCCAATGTTCTTAAAAGAATTCTTTTTTTTTGTTTTTCTTTGTCTTGAGTATGTTTGTTTGTTTGTTCTTCAAATGTTTAGTTTCCAAGGGTTCGAAACAACTTAATCACACGTAGATATCTTATCACACGAATTCAAAACATGCCTCCATGCGTCTTATCAAGTCAACACTAATATTCAGTAAAAGCTAGAGGTTATATGGGGTACCCTCATTTTCTAAAAGCACATGACAACAATTAAGACCCATTGACAGCTACAGAATCACATGAACTTTTCTTCCGTCTCAGCAACTCTTCAACGTTATTTTCACCATTGCTGTTACTACAAATACCCACAACAACCTGAAACATCTTAATAACAACTTTGAAGACAATAATAACAACATTTTGTTTATGTGAGTTTCAGACTTGATGGGGAATGGCGTTTTGATTTTCCATGCCGAGCAGTCAATTCGCTAGCTTAAAATGGCTCGTGTTCAAATAGTGCTTGTTCAGACTTGTTTAATCTGAACAAGCCAATTGTTATCCAATGTTGAACCTAATTTCAGATACATTGCTGTGAAGTGTTCTGTCTACTTAATTATAATTGCATGATTATGCGTTGCAAAATTTTCATAAGACTGGCTATGAGGGCGATTTTCCATGTATGTGCTGAGATCTATAAAGAGTGACTCGTCCACGCAAACGGATTTGTATGGGGGCTATTTATCAGTCTGGAAGTTTATGAAAACCTAGTTAATGACAGTTTTCACACTATTATCTGAAAGTATTCCAGCTGCTGTGTTTCTAGGCCTGTTGCCAGAGCCTTAGCTTGTAGCCCATATTTGCAACCAATTTTCCTAAAAGTATTTAATACCAGAAAAAAGACTTCTATTTAAAGATGCATACCCACCAGGTTTTCCCTTCCATTTGAATCTTTACACCGACATTCTTCGGAGAAATGGTAAACATTCGCGTTTACTCGTATCAAGTCGTACAAAGCTCAAAATCTACCATCTTTCTTAATTTATCAACTCCCACGACGCTTGTTCGAGATAAGAAAATGTTATGACTCGGGACCTATTCCCATTAGCAGACAAAACTAGAATTGTCCCGACAAAATCAAAGGACAAATTTTTGTCTCCACTGTTGCATTCGCACTAAAAATGTCGAAGCTGTCAAAAAGCCGTCAAATTCGGTTAACAGCTTAAAATAACGCCGATATCATATTTCACTCAGCTGTGCGCGCCAAACCATTTAACGTTTTGGCGGGACAATGGAACACGTTCAAATGTTTCAACTTGTGGCGTGTTTCTTGCTTTTAAATTTCGCTCAGATGGCAGACGAAATGATGCATATGATGAGCTTAGTATTAAGGCATCAATTTCTAAGACATCAATCAACTCTTTTAATGGTTGAACACCGTAGAAGACGGAAACGCTGGGCACGTCGACACGACCCGTACTTTGCGGAAGTACTACAATGACCGAACAATTCCCGTGGAGAGTTTTTTAGTAGGCAACTGCGAATGAATCGTTGTACCTTCGATATTCTGTTGAATGTTTTGCAACCTACTGTAACACGCGAAAACACAAAATTGCGTGACTATAATTCTCCAATGGAATAAAATATTCCAATCACCGGGATTCACCTTAAGTCAAAGTTGTAAAATCTGCGAGTTTCGCAACGAAGGACAATTACTGCAATCTTATTGGTAAAATGAACCCAATTCAATTACCACACTAATGGTAGCGTTTACGACAAATGATAAACAAGTTTATCACAGTTTTGTTTATTTAGTAGATGTTGCCAAGCTTTTACCCGGGACAGATTTTGTCTGCGGTACGTTTGAAAATTTGTTCGTTTCGGCAAAAAATTGTCAAGTCGCGATAAACCATCCGCACTTGTAAAGTGTTAGTGATGACAGAAAATTTGTCTAAATAAACAATTTTGTCGCTAGTGCGGATAGGCCCTTATCTCACCAACGAGTTCTTTGATCTGTAGCCGCTCAGGTGGTGGAGCAATCCACCTTGATTTTTCGTGCTCGTTTCAAAATGGTTAACATCTTCCTTTAAGCAACAACCGCGCTTAAAATAAAGCTTCACCAGCCCTAAATATATATAATTATTGTGCCTGCTGTCGTTATACGCACCGCGTTCTGGCTGCGTCTTTGAATATCTTTATAAACAAACACTTACAATGCTGGAATTTTGTCAAACTGCTTGTGAACTAATAATTTTCCAGAAGCAATCTAATCTGGGATTATATTACTAACTGTTTTCCATCTGAAAACCCAAACTGATAAGTGCAATGATATCAGGTTTTTAAGGTCAAGAAAGAGCGATCGCCAAGGGAGGAGATCTTTAATGAGGGTGAATCCCTCATTAACGACAAATTATCACGCAAAATCAAATCCTGTAATAATAGTTGAAAGAAGTAGGAATCTTCTGGTCATAGCATTTGCTTTAATCGCTTTGGATTACCCTGGAAAAATTACCACCTTCTTTAGCCATTAGCTATTTTTGAAATCACAAATACATCTTACTTTATTTCATTAGTTTGATGTTTGACCGCGACTCAGGCCACAAAACGTTCTTAGAGGATGCATTTGAAAACGAGGCGAGGATGATTCCTGGGGGGAACTGGAGCCCAGCCTCTGCACCTTGGACGAATGTGGTAAGTCTGTGATATTCACAATGCACGCTGTTTCAAGTTTTTTTGTCTTATATTCATTTTCTTTTTGCGTGTATCTGAGATGTCTTGGACTGTCAAATGTTTATCGGCCAAAAATTGTGTTAATAATCTTTTTTTTCCTGTTTCACAGCATGGTGACAAAATTGACGAGAAAGAGAAGATAAAATGTTCAGAAGGCTGGGAATGGACCGGAAACTGGCAGGTCGATGACAATAGAGCTGTAGACGACGAAGGTATCGTTAAGACTGAAACATTAAGTTAATTTAAACACTACTGTACACATTTAAATTCCAATAGCAATTACAAATTGAGAATCGACCCAAAAGCCAAGACCAGTCAATTTAAACGTTAGTGCTCCGATGCACCCCTCCTCCTAGATCACGCTGTCCCTAAGGAACAACAGTATGCTCAATTTTTTTGTCATTATTATTTTTTAAACAACAAAAAGCATCTTCAATTTCGTTCATCAAAGATACCTGTCACCTCTTAGCCGCATGTATTGATGACAAAACAATACAGTTTATGACCAAAGGAAAGAACAGAGAGATTCAAGAGGGCCAAGTTGTTCTCGAATATGAACTAATATTGGCTGCATTTGCAATTTATGTAATGCATTAGTTGGTTGATTGACAGCTTTCTTAAATTTAGGATGGGAGTATTCTGTCGATGTATCATACGGAGTGTATGGTGCCATTCAAAAGGCTTACCATTTGGTGAGGAGAAGACGATGGGTCAGGGAGAGATTATTGAAAGATTCAAAGGCTGCTATCAAACAAGTAGGTCAAAAATAACCGTATCTTGATCTGAGTTACCGATATATATGCATGTGCTCTTGTATGAAGGGGGTAGGAATACAACAAACAAAAAATAAAGAACCTCATCTGCTTGAAACCAAGGTAATAAGTTACTGTTAGCTCAAGAATTCATTAGTGCGCCTTGAATTTCGATTGAAGGGTTTGCACCCAATTTTCAAAACTTAGCGAGACCTAATCTTGCAACAAGCCGAGACTTGGGACGGTTTTTTGAGAATCTCAAATGAATACATTAACATGGGGTTTTGTCCAGCCTTAAGTCTTGTTTCCAGTAAGAAAATTTAAGCGTTCCCTTGTTCCGTATGCTAAATGAGATTTTTCAGGAATGCTGAGGGAATTTCGCATGAGGATTGTTTGCTTGGAAAAGATACAAGTGGTATGCTTCTGCATAACAAACGCTTTTTTTTCTAATTTTAGAAAGAGCTTGAAGAATTCGAGAAGGAAGGATGGGAATATGCCCCAATTTTTACGGCCAAATTCCACCACAAAGAAAGGAAGATTGATTTCGTCAGGCGTCGGCGATGGCACCGAAAGATGGTTGCAAAGGGAGGAAAGGAAGCCAAAGTGTCCATGCCTCCTGTGTGTCTTCTCGAGCTTGAAGACGAGGTGAGATCTACAGCTATGGAAGTGCAATCATATTTTTCATTGATTGCAAAGATCAAAATACAAAGACAGCTTGACCTATAAACTGAGTAGCAAATCATAGCAGAGGTAAGATTCATAAAGGACTGATGAAGATCAAGGAATGCGTCAAACGGCCAAAAGCGCCGCGGGAAGCCTGTAACAAATAAATGGTTTTTTATAGCTTTATAGGTGTGTTTGGTGGAGAAAATGACAAGAGTTTTACGAATACATACATACAAATATACTTTGTTAGTATTCCCTAACTAAAAGGGGCTTTTAAATACTAAACAGCAAAGAACATTATAATTAAAAAATGAATAAAATTTAAAAAAAAGCGGTCAATTAAAATAATTCTCTAGCATGTGCGTATTCAACTTTCTTTTAAATGATGTTAAAGGTAACTGTTTAAGGTCTTTGTCTAAATTGTTCCAAATGATAACTGCTCTATGAAGGAAACGTCGCTGGTCTGACTTTGTCTTGCTTGGAGGAATATCAAGGGATTCTCTGTTTCTAGTGTTATGATAGTGAATAGACTTGCGCCTTCGGAGAGACTCACACAAGTATGTGGGGACCAGGCCCTTCATGTACCTAAGCGTCATTACAGTGTCTCTGTAGTGGATATGCTCATTTACCGGTAGCCCTTTGATCTCGCGTAACGCAGGTGTCATGTACTCAAATTTCTTGGTTTTTGTGATGATTCTGCACGCGAAATTCTGAAAAGCTTGAAGCTTCTTGATATTTGTGGCAGTTGTGTTCGACCAAAGTGTAGAGCAATAGAACAATTTGCCTAGGACTAGAGCGGAAATGATCGTGCGTATGTCACAAGGCGCAGAAATAATCGTGCGCATGTCACAAGGCGTAGAAATAATCGTGCGCATGTCACAAGGCGTAGAAATAATCGTGCGTATGTCACAAGGCGTTGAAATAATCGTGCGCATGTCACAAGGCGTAGAAATAATATTATGGAGGATGTAGGAAGTGTGACCCAATCTTCCTGCTCTAATGATTATTTTCTGCGGTTGAACCTTTTATCAACTGGATTTCTCTTTTCTGACTTGTTATAAAACTCGAAAGACAAATGTTCTCGCATTATTCTCTTATTTTAAACAGGAGGAGAGTAAAAGTTGTTTAAGGAATATTCCAAGAATGTTTGTTACTTTCGAAAGTAAGTTAAATAATTTCAAAGTTTTTCCATGTAAATGTCTATTTATATTAGCTGTATAGTCTTGAAATCAAGTGAAATCTGGCTAACATTGAGAGGTAAAACTCACTTTCTTTAAAAATGAATAAAACACGAATAAAAGACCAAGAATAATATGGGACCAAGAACGGCATATTTTCATTATAAGTGTTCTTAAAGGACTCAGCAGCTTATCGAGAAAAAGCAAGAAATTTTAATTCAGATTCATTTTATTCTTGTTTTCAGAACCTCACAAGTATCAGATGTGGGCCTATATCTATCAAGCACGTGACCTTCTCGCCATGGACGAGAGTGGGATGAATGGTAAAGGAAATATATGAAAAACTTTTTACCACATTGCTAGTAATATTGCAATCTGATTGGCCAATTTGCTGTTGTTTAAGAGAGTAGAGACAACGCTGCTCGCGTCAACGTGTCGCGCAATGCTTTTATGGATGACTCCAAAATATATTTTGACATCGACGTTGTGGTAAAAAACAAGTCGATAGTGGTTCAGTGCGATCTGTCCTCTTTTCGACAACGATATTCGTCATCACAGTGGTCAAAATCTGTTGTGAACTCACTCGGCTGCGCCTCGCGAGTCGATAAGCGTATGGATCACGTTAAACCACTACCGTACTGACACGGATTTATTTGCTTGATTTTTTTTTCTCCAAACATCAGATGCCTACGTTCGCGTGGCATTTTGCAAGCAAAGTGCTGTAACAGAAGTGCTGACCCAGACTTTATGTCCTACCTGGGACCAAACGCTCATATTTGATGATGTTGAAATCTATGAGAGCGTGGAGAATGTCGCCAAAAGCCCACCGAGTGTGGCGGTGGAGGTTTTTGACAAGGACTCTGTGGTACGTTTACATACAATTAAAGTAAAAAGCAGTGATACTTTTGAGATACTTAATCAAAAGAACTGATGAAGTGTGGTTCCTATACTTGATAGCGGACAGTACGTTTGTTTTGTGCAGATATTTAGTCATACTTTGAAGAGTAAAACTTTTATACCGTTTGTAATGGTTTCGGTTATTAATATACAGGAAAAATCTTGAGGTTTAAAACACGGTCGTAGTGTTTTACTTCATATTGGATTATAATAATAGAAGAACCTTTTTCTACAAGGTCAAGCAAGAGGCATTGCACTGAAAAGTGCCTTCCATTTATTGTTGGATGTTATCTATCTTTACAAATCTAATCGATGAGACATTTCGTACTGAGCTTTCATTTGAAAAGTGATGGTTGTTTCATGACGTACGCAGGGCAAAGATGGCTTTCTCGGCCGCTGTGTGATGTCACCTACGGTACGTCTACATGGACACGAAACTCCTGAGCCGCGGCTGCAGTGGTTCAAGATCAAAAGAGGAGACGAAGAAGGAGGAGATCTTTTGGCTGCTTGCGAACTTTTCCTTGTAAGAGTCTTGGATTTTTTTTTATGTTTCCCCATTTTTCGGCATTGCGCACAGTTACGGTTTTCACTCTGTTTATCTCTTTCGGAATTCGCACTATGTTGACGAGCCAATGCTAAGATATGAAGCAGTTTCACCAATGTGATGCGGGGGTTCCAGGGGGGTTTACAGCATCGTGTTTGTGTTCAATTACCCGAGCATAGAGAACTCAAGTACCTGATAAACTCAGATGCTCACATCTCAAGGCATGTGGACTAAGAATATAAAGTTGATACTTTAGTCAGAACAAAGAGGAGTAAAAATTCCTCTTAAGGATTGCCTATTTTTTAGTTCATATTTTGTACGTTTATTGTAGTGAAGATATCAGAAAAAATAGTTTAAGAGGTATTCATCTTTTATTTTTAGGATGAAGGTGCAGAGTTACCATTCACCCCACCCATGAGAGGAGACTTATATGCTGTGCGAAGTGGTGTCCGTCCAAAGTTACAACGGTCAGCGATTGAGGTCAGCAATCGGTTTTAGCTTCCTACTTTAATTTCAAGTTTTCGTTGATTTGGAAGAGAAATAATTTTGATATCCAAAACTTGACTTTATCACAGCCGAAAAGGTGTTTTTATATGTAGTCATGTCGCTCGACCTGCTCTATATATCTTACGAAAGTAATGAAGCCAAACGCAAACAGAAAATCAAACGAAACCTTTTTACTTAGAAAAATAATATCAATCAAATAACAGCGATCCGACTTGACGATGGATTATTTCGTTAATTGCGCATGATGAAATGCAAACTGTATAACACCAAAATATTAGCGTTTTGAAACCATAGTTGAGTTGAAAATATTCTACCAGTCTTGCCGAGCTATTGTCTTTAAACCACTATCATGTACAGGTCTTGTGTTGGGGAGTGAGAAACATGAAAAAGTTTGAACTAACGAGCGTGACGTCACCAAGTATTGAGTTCGAGTGTGCCGGAGGACTGGCGCAGTCTGAAGTCATCAAGGATACGAAGAAGAACCCGAACTTTGAGAATCCCGTTTTGACAAGAATGATTGTGGTAATTACGAATACCTATTTTGAATAGAGAAAGTTTGTATATTAATCTTGCTTTGGTAAGCATGCAGGTGTCTCATATATGTAACAACCGATTTTCCAAAATAAAAGGGTAACAGGGAAAGTGCTGAATTTTGAACCAACCTATACCTTTTGGGACTATTACATTGACCCTTTTCACTCTCTGAAACGCTTTAGTGTATAGTTTATACTAAAACGATGGAAACCAGTGTTTGTTGTCACTGAAAACAAATACATTGAGAAAAGCAAAACATGAGTTATTTGAAAACTAGTCATTTTGGAAACGCTGTCTCTGGCATAAAGAGCTTCAAAGGTCTGAATACGGTGACTGAAAAGAGTCAAAAATTCTCTCTTGCGTCAGCGTTTTCAAGAATTTTGATTTGGAAGATAAGCGAAATTGCATCAAAGAGTGTGCGTTTTGAAACCGGAAACTGCATCGATAAAGAATTCCATTGAAATTGTAATGGTAAGGAAGGGGAAATAATATGGTGAAAACGTTAGCGTGATTGAAAGTACTTTGCTATGTTATCGAAATGATAGCAGGTAATTTTGTAAAGGCTCTAGTGTGGGTGGAATTATATTTTTCTTAAAGAACTGTCAACACCATCACATTGTCAATATTACGCCATATGCAGCTCATAAACAAAACACTGAGTTCCATCATAAGCCCTTCAAGTCAATCCTTTCTTGATGTTTTTTTTTTTTTCATAGAATCTTCCCGTGGAAGAAATCTATACGCCAGCACTTAACATCCGGGTCCGTGACAACCGCTCTTTTGGTCGTCGACCAATCGTCGGCGTTCATTCAGTGAGATCCATCCAGAAATACCGCTGTTCAACGCCGCAAATCATTGAGGAAACTGACTCTGGCCCTCAAGGGTCACAAAAGCAAAGTAAGCTTCCACTGATTATTGGCTTTTAATAATGAGGCGAGACCATTCAGTCTTGCTGTTAAAAGTCAATAATCAAAGTTATTTATGTCCTCGTGAGTTAAATTAAGACAACAAGCTCCCTTTTAAAGTTGTAAAACTTGCTTCCTCTTGTTCTCTGAAAGTTCACACGATGTTTAACGGTTTTCTCTCTTGCGAATTATTTGCTTTGAGATTTTTACGGTATTTTTCTTACTATTTCACCCTTTGATTTTGTGTTTAGGGATCACAGATAACGTTTCAACCAAAAGCAAAGAGGGTTCACATGTTGTCGATATCAAGGAATCGAAAAAGGTCAAGAAAAAGGTACATGTCAATCTTCACGTAAGTGAAACGTAAACGTACTTTCCAGTTTTAATTAAGCTCTGACAATTGAGATACCATCACCACTGCCTTTTGAGCAAATAAAGAGCTTAACTAAAGACGCGGACGGCAACCGGAATAAATTCATATCTGATGTGTTTTAACGCCAACATATCGACTGTACCGTCGTTTCTTTTGGATTCTAAACTAAATTGTAATGACCAAAATGGTGTAGCGAGCATTAGGATTTAGAACTTTTAACTTCCGGGTGCCGTCTGTCTCAGAAACGTTTGTGCTTAAGCTCCCTATTAACCTTTGTAGCAAATTAACGGTGCTCACGGGCGTAGTTAGAATTTTCTAAGGGAGGGGGGGAAACGTGGTGAAGAACTGCACCCGTTATGCTAAGTGGCTAATACCATTTCTTTACACCTTGTGAAAAAGCAAGCTCGTATTCACGCGGCGCGAAGGACAGGCAGCCGTAGAGTGTCTAGCACTAGAAAACATCTATGTCGTAAATATTCAGAATTACGTTTTTACACAAACCTGAAACATAAGGTTTGTCATTAGGAAAGATTAACACATAAAGAGAGGGGCACGGGCACCCCAGGGGTCTCCCTGGTTTCCACGCCTTAGTGCTACGGTATGTGAAGTTTTTTGTAGGATATGTCTTTTTGTTTCATGTTTTCTGTTTCAGAAAGAGAAGAAAGAAGAAATCCTAGAGGAGTCCCTGGATTGGTGGTCGAAGTTTTTCGCCTCTATAGGCGATGAAGAGAAATGTGGTGAATTTCTCAACCTAGGATACAAAAAGATGACGGTACTAAGTTTGGCTAGCTTCAGGCAGCGAGGAATAGTATTAACAGTGCAATATAAATATATCTTCTCCAACCCACTTTCTTTTCGCCCATGCTATCGCCTTAGCTTTGATTGACGTAATTTGGCTTTTGGAGTTGACCGTCTTAGAAAATAAGCCTTGTACTCTAGTCATATTAATTGCAAAATATTTACTTTTAGAAGTATCAATCAATTAAATCATGGCGTTTAAATTCAAGGTATATCAAACTGAGCTGGAAAAGGTGCAAGAGTTTAATGGCTTTGAGGACTTTATAAGTACGTTTCCTATTTACCGCGGAAGAGCGAAATCGCGGGAAGAAGAGGCAGATACCATTGTCGGGGAATTTAAGGTAAATAATGTTTTTGCTGCTTCAAAAAGCGAGCGCATGTTACATTTTTCTAGAGGTAAAGTACGACAACTTATTAAAAATATCAATTTTTTCAGGGAACATTTAGAGTGTATCCGATGCCAGAAGATGAACAGATTCGTCCCTTACCAGATACTGTTTTCACGTATCTCCCACAGAGCAAACCTGTAGAGTGCATTGTCCGCCTGTATGTTATCAAGGTAAGAGAAACAGAGCGTGAATTAGCCATCAGTTAGTTAACTTGAATATACATTAGTGTACGGTAAAGTTAACTGAAAAAGAAAGAGGAAGACAAGAGTTTGTTTCAAATTACGCATGAGTCAAAACGCAGGCATAATAAAGTACACGTACACAATTAACGGGCACCTTTGTCATATGCTGGTACTGGAGAAAATAGCAGTTTTGAAAACAGTTATCTGGTCTACCGATAATTCTACAACATAGAAAACTCATTTCACTTCATGTATATTTCTAGGCTTTGGAACTTCAACCGAGAGATGACTCTGGAACAGTAAGTTTTACCAGAAGATTCTTAATTTTAAATAGATCATAGTCTAATAAAGGAACTAAGCGATGTAATATAATAAATAAAGAAAGAAAGATAAACCGGAGAGGAACTTTAGAGAAATTTTAATGTCATTAAAATGAGGACCAGCTCTAGAGCTTGAGTTGAAGAGTAGAGTAGTTCGCAATTAAAATATGGTTTCTATCTTTGACAAACTTCGCGGAAGTCATGTAATGTAATATAACAGACTCGAAGTAAGTTTATAAAATGCTGTTTTTGCGAGGTCCCTCGGTGCAATTCAAAGACTTCTGTAATAAGAACTTCTTGAAAGAAACGGAAACTCATGACGAACAAATAAGACCACGTTACAAAAGTTTGTTTGCTTATTTTTATCTATTAAAATGGAAATTTTATTATTAAGTCACTAAGTGCTGTTATCAGTCTAAATATTTAGCTCACTTCCAAACGTATGGGACGCTGACCACTTGTGCGCACACTCACTCGACAGTAAATGACCTACACTCTACCTTTCCATTTTTCCAGGCCGACCCATATTTGGTAGTCACCTTAGGGGACCAAACGTTTGATGACAATGATGTTTATAAACCTTACACAGTGAATCCTGTCTTTGGAAGGTAAGCTTACATGTACTGCGTCTGACAATAAAATTCTTGTACCATGTCGCGTAACCCAACACTAACGGCTAACTTTTTCTCAGTTAACTGCTGAAGGGATATGGGAGGGGTAGGTGCACAGCTGTTTAGACGCTCACATTGATCCCTTTTTTTTCAGCGAGATCAAGAACGTGATTTTTAGATTCAAAGTTAAAAAAAGAAGCTCAGATGTGTGATGTAAAGTAAAGTTTCAAAGTTTTTCAAATGCGCAGCGAGCAGGAGATTTTTGGTGGTCGAGAAATCACCAGATAAATAAATTTCAATTTTCTACTCATCCTCGATACATATTCCGATGCGATAAACATCCTCTGTAGTACAGAGAGCTTTTGTTTCATGTCACCTCAAACCCTGCACTAAGACCCGGTTAAGAAGACTATATAAGTTCTCTTTGCACATATTAATCAAAAATTACTATTTTTTCGCGTTTGTTTTCAGACTTTTTGAATTTACAGCTACCGTACCTCTTGTCAAAGATCTCAAAATCGCCGTTATGGATTATGACCTCATCGGACGAGATGACGTCATCGGTGAAACACAGATCGATTTAGAGCAGAGACTTTTGTCTCGATATCGTGCTTCTTGTGGATGTTCTAAGAGTTACTGCAAGTAAGAACTTCTAACGCTTAGGTATCTCTTTCGTGGATTATCCTTTCAGTTGACACCTATCTTCCTTCGTTAGATAATAAAGGGGAAAACAGGATCCCCTTTTTTAAGGGTGTTTGTCCCGAGCCTCAAAGGCAGTGATAAGGTTCGAGACAACAAAGTTTGTACCGTCAAGCAAATGCTACCAGGTTCGAAAGGCATTCCCTTTAACCTTGTACACCCTATGATCAGTTTTCATATTCTCAACACTGTTCTCCTTACATTTCCTACAGTGCCTGCGAGGAGAATTTGCTTGACAGTCAGGAGTAACTTAAATTTGAGATCATTTCCTTTATTCTCTTTATCTCATGTTTGAGTTAAAGGTGAAACTGTAAGGAGAAATTTGAAGCCAATCACTAGTAGCTTAAAGGGTTAAGTTAGCACATACCTACGTAGTTTTTATAGGAGAGTATTCCCCTGGTGGCCTGTTGCTAGGGGTAACGGGAGTATAAAGTGAGAGGTTAGATGACACAGCTCACCTTGATTTATTACGGTTCATTAGTACATGTATATCTATTGACGTTTAAGATCTGGTCCTAACAAATGGCGCGATGGGCGAAAACCGAGAACAATCCTGCGAGACTGGTGCGTCATGCATAACAAGAGTCTTCCAGTGTATACGGATGAACCTTGCTCTGTGACAGTGGACGAACAAACTTATACTCTGGCTGAGTTTGGTTAGCATTATCATCAAATTTTACTCACGGCACTAATTTGTTTATTTGATTGACTTTACAATCTGTCCATAACTGATGATTCTTTTATGATGTATGAATGAGGGCTTTCCTTGCCTTTAGTTGCATCATGATGACACATCTGTGTTGTTGTCTGACTCAACTTAGCGCATTTCATGGAAATAATTCCATGGTGTAGTTGTAAGTATTGATACGATAATAGCTCAAAAAACTTTGGGAACCAATGGGCGATCTTACTAATAAAGTAACGTATTCTTTATAGCTCATTGCAGCTAGGGTTCGTTACCACCTTTCTCCTGTTAGGTTTTGTGATTTGGTTAATTTGGATTTAGTTTAAACCCCTAATCTTTATATGACTAGATCCTGCAACAACTGTCATCAATAGAACATCTGCTTTAAACATCATTTAAATTATCTTTATTCCTCGACACGGTTTGAGATAATTTTTAATTCGGATCTCTTACTTCGTTCGGATTATCCCTTGGATTTCGTTAAGTACTAAATCCTTTTTCAATTTTTTTCAGAGGAAGGAACAATAATCCATTCGTACCTTGGGAAACAACAAAGTCGCTTGGCTCTGCATGTCCTCAATAAAATGAACATCGTGCCCGAGCACGTGGAAACAAGGGGTCTGTATAACAAAACACAGCAACCGACCATGGAACAGGTATAGAGAGTCCCATCATATGGCACGACGCGAATATTCGGCACTTAAAACCTTCACATGAAAAAAATTCCTTTACACTGGCCACTTCTGAGTTTTAGAAACCTCCATTTTACAATTGAGGCATGGTGCAAACCTTTCAAAGGCCTTGTGCACTCGTTTTCGGGAGAAGTCTCAGTCACCTCGAAGAAGACTAGTTACCATTCCCAAATTTACAAAGTATATTCCCAAAGTACAAGAACCGCGTTACTAATTAAAGAGCATGGATGATAACAATAGCTAGGATCTGTATGATAAACTTCCTTGAAGAGGCCTTACGAAAATTAAACCCTAAGCAATTTATCAAAAGCGAACCCTCATCGGAGAATTTTCACTAACGCTCTCTTATATCCGAAGTCTTATTTGTCCCCAACGGAGTCAACCCCATTTCAATTGTTGCACTTGTTGCTATTTAGGATTCATACGATCTGAAAGTTTCACCCTCGCCGTATCTTCAATTTTTCGGCCCTTTACTACTTAATGTCTAATTCTTTACCGCATTCTCTTTCGTGCTATTGATCTTTTTTCTACAGTTACGATACTTATCTTTTGTTTCTTGGCCCTTTATTTCTATGTTTGTTTGTTCTTTCTTGTATTCTTTTTCGTGCTATTGATCTGTTTTCCACAGTTACGACACTATTCCTTTGTTTTTCGGCTCTTTATTTCTCTGTTTCTCTGGTTCTTTACTTTATTATTTTTCGCGCTATTGATATGTTTTCCATAATTACGATGTTTATTCTTTGTTTTTCAGGGAAAACTTCAGTTATGGGTTGATATTTTTCCAGCCGCAGAGGGCAAAGCACCTGCTGCGGTTGACATCACCCCAAGAGAACCTCAAGAGTAAGATCTGCATGGTTTTTGTTACAAGAAACTGAGCATTCAGATTTGTTTTAACTGATGATTGCACGTCGTTTTCCTCAGCTAGTTTTCATTTCTTAGACACAAATTGACAAGGCTTCGTGACCGGTATGAATATAATATCTCTTAAATGTTGAGGTCTAGCCATTTGTTTGCAGAATGAATGAATTTTTCTTGATTTTATGGGACATTAGAGAAATTATATGATGTTACAAAAAGTAACGAATTGATGGACTGCTCTGAATGTCAACGGTACTTCAAGATTCTGTGTAATTGGTTCAAAGCAAATCGTGCCATCTTAATTCACAACCACACATGTGCAAACCGTATTAAGACTTATCAGTTTGCCACTGTGTCAGACCTACCGCGATTTGGTCACTCACGTTTTCCTACATTGGACACCGTTTACATTCTTTTTAGTTTGAGTTTTCATCGGTTCCCCGTTTCATTTTTTTTCGCCTTCATTAGCCACCAGGAATAAATATTTGGTTTGGTCTTACATGACACCCGAAGGACTTGAAGCGCATTCTGCGTAATTGGCATTTACCACTAGTATTGGCTATTTTCAGATACGTTCTTCGTGTCATCATATGGAACACCAAAGACGTTATTTTGGAGGAGACCTCAATCACTGGCGAGAAAATGAGTGACATCTTCGTGAAGGGGTAAGAGAGAGGAAGCGATTGATAAAATTATCGTTAGATTTCTAAAAAGTTTTTATTTCCTGCTTCATTGAGAAGTAAAGCAAAGAGATGTAACACATAAGGCCAGTTGCTAATGTTCACTGCCATGCGACAAAGGCGTTTAAGCTCCTTATCGGTGTACCTATGAACTTATAACACTTACGAGTACAAAAAAAATACAAAAGAACAAAAACACTTAAGTCAAGAAAACAAAAAAGTAGTGACAAGATAAGGAAAAACTTAACAGGTTCTTATTGCGAGATAAACTCAACATCATAGTAGCTTAGTTGACTTGATCATGAAAAATATCCACGAGTGATTATTAATAAGTTTTTGTTTCGATATTAGCTGGATTGATGGAATTGATGATTCACAGGAAACTGACGTTCACTACAGGTTAGAAATGATAGAGCCACATTGATTATCGATAATTTTAAAATAACGTTTACTAAGAGCTGAAGTAATAGAAGTGACACAGAGTCTCAGAGAATGAAATAAAGTTCCTGATCAGACTTCTGGTGCCTTCCGTTTGTGCACGTGATTTTCGAGCATCAAACTTTCCAAACAAAGTACCAAAATTATTTTTGAGAAAACTCACTAATTTTTTTCGCAGATCCATGGACGGGGAAGGAAACTTCAACTGGAGATTTGTTTTTCCTTTCTCTTATATTCCAGCAGAAAAGAAACTAGTGATTAAAGAAAAGGCAAGAGAATGTAAAATCCATTATCTCTTCAGAAAGGTTATTTCTGTAATCGTTCTTCACGATGCGGTCACTTCAGATATGGATCGCGACGTTTCGACTGCATTCCGCTTGTCTTCTTCAGGCGATGTGAATGATTGAGTACGAGCCACCTATATTTCGTTGCGCTCGGCTGTGATTAGATGGAACTCCACGGCTTTAATCAAGATGCACTAATCGGAGCCGTGGAATTGTTCGTAGCGTCCTTTTTTAAGTCATACCTGAAATTAGTTGAATCTACAATGAAACAGGCTATGAGAGATATTTGGGGAGGGGATCTTGCGATCTCGAAATTTTTGAGGAGGGGCTCGGCTTTGAAATGCTATCTTTGGTTTGATACATGAAACACTAACTAAACGTAGTCTTTTCTGGAATGATCTATACTGAATATGAACCAGCGTTACCTTAAAAGTCACATTTGGCTTAGGAAATGACATGAAAATGTATCTCAACATCATAGGAACATTTCTGGAGTCTGGACGAGTCGGTAGAGAAACTTGTACCTCGCTTGATGCTCCAAATATGGGACAATGACTTAGGATTTGCAAATGACGATTTTTTGGGTTAGTAAATCTTGTTTGGATCATTATCTCTGCCCCTCTTTCTAAAGCAGTTTTTTGGCAGTCAATTGGAAGGCTAAGCAGGAAAAGATATTGGAGAGTAAGGTATTTTAACCCATCAAAACAGCACGTCTGTTATAATTTGAACCCCATATATGGGGTAGGTCTGAAGTCTTTCACCGTGGGGTACTCTTTATCTGAAGAAAATTGTAAAAACGTATAGCTGCAGAAACCATAAAAATATGTTCAGCCGAGCGACGAAGTGTTCTTCTTTTTATTTGCTTTGGTTTACTCATAATAAATGAAATAATGATGATAACGATAATGATTGTGACGATAACAACAACAACAATAATAATAATAATAATAATAACATCAACATTTTAGGCTTGCGTTTGTTTTGAGACCCTTTTTAAGTATTTGTTAAAGGTTGTACAATTGAAAGCCAGTTAAGATTTTGAATCACTGTCAATTCTTTTAGTGTCGAATCTCAGTTACGCTTTGCGCCCCATGTGGTTACACTAATGCATGAGACACTTTTGATCATAAACAAAATTCGGTAAGAGGGCTCATGGAACATGCCGTATATGGTTCATGGGACTGAAGGAGCAGTTTTGTTGTTTTTTCAACACTGCAGGTTCTCTACAGCTCGACCTGACATCTCTTCTCAAACCGGCGACTACTGCTCGCTCTTGTAAGCTACCAGGAGACTCGGAACCATCACCCAAACTGGACTTGTTTAAGCAAAAACGTTGCTATGGCTGGTGGGCTACAAGCTCTATGAAGACGGGATCAATGAAAAGCACGGTACATTGTACCTGTTTACTAACTTGTATACATTAATTGCTCAAGATAAACTGTGTAATGCCTCAGTGTAAGATGGGCCTAGTATTCATTCCACTGAGTGAGAGGGAACTTGCATCGTTCATTTGTTTGTATTTATAATTCTGATGAAGTCTTGCTGTGATCCGAACGATAAAACAAAAAGAAACACCTGCACTCATTAGATGCTTGATTTTTTGTACCTCGTGTCAAAGATTTTCACCGCCCCGAAGAAAAAGCCGTGAGCTGGTTCGTTTAGGCACGATCCGAAAGAAACGTAATTAAATATTTTCTTTACTTTCCAGGGCAAACTTGAGATGACTTTGGAAATAATGAAAAGAGCAGAGGCAGAGGCTAAACCGGCAGGACTGGGGCGAGACGAACCAAACAAGAATCCGCCATTAGAGGAACCGAAGTAGGTTGCAACCCGTTATTACTCAAATGTGGGAAAAGTTTTTTTTTCGTGGAAATTGTGTTGACAGGAGTCACACGTACCGTACTTCCAAACTTGTTGTTAGGTACAACAATTTATGAAAACTCACACTGCGTAACTGAACTGCGTCAGATCACCTTTGAAAACGAAATCATTTTTGTTTCATTCCTCCACAGCCGCCCTCCGACCTCGTTTCCATGGTTTACGTCACCACTCAAAGCTCTCCGCCATATAATCTGGGGCAGATACAAGTGGCACATTCTCGGCTTTCTGTTATTCCTTCTTGTCGTGTCTCTCATAGCGTTCTTCATTTACGCAGCCCCGGTAAGTGTCACGTGTCAAATCGCTCAGTCATCTAATTACTGTATATTTAAAATCCATGGTGACAACCCTCTCGCGTTCCAGTCCCAAACATTTTGGGGATTCTCCCCTTACATCCATTCGTTTTAACCCTTCACACCCAAACATCAGGATCTATATTCTCCACACATTTCCTCAGAATTTGTTTTACAATTAAGAGCTTCTTTTGTTAGTAATCATTTCCTGATATTTTCGTTGCCTCAATGTATGATTCAGGGGTGACATTGTGGAGATAAATTATATACTAGTCACTCTTGGCAGTCAAAAGGTGAACAAAGGCCGATTTTGAACTGATTGGGTTAGCTTGATCTTTACTGTATGCCTGTGAGACGTTTAACTCCGATTTTGTTGGTTGTATCAATCATAATGACGAAGAAGCACTCTTCGAGAGTTTAAGTGTTTCCGCACCGTCACCATGTTTTAAAACAAAACTAACACATATATGTTTCACCTTTTAGGGATACACCATGAAGAAAATGCTAAATGCGTAAAAGGCTGAAAGTTCAGTTGGTCAATTCTTAGGAAATAAAAGTTGAAAGGATCAAGCTCGGCCCTGCATTTACACGGCTTCATATTGGAAACAATCAGGGATTGATTGCGCAGAGTAAAGGAAAGCTTTGTTACTAGTCAGCAAATAAAGTTATGCATCCACAAGATTTCAAGGCTGCATTTAGGCTAAATAATACAGATTAGGTTTTGAATTTTTCAATTTTCAGTACTTAGCCAAAAGAGGTGATTGTATCCGTTTTAAGGAATGTAGTTCAAAATTTGGTGATTTAGTCAAATAGTTTATTGAGGTTACTCTTTTAATACCGACAATGTAGATAGCTAAAGTGTTTTTCGATTTATTAGTTCAATCAAACTAAAGTGAACATATTTCCAATAATCCCGACTAAAATAGTGAAGGGGGCAGGAATCAGTTTTCAGCTCCCTTCTTTATCACCATCTTTTTTTGTCGTGTCCTTCGTATTGCACTTATTAAACAATTCTCACAGGTAAGTACCTTACCATTCTTGTTCATACAACAGCGTGACCCCCTACCACAAAGTAGAGGGGGCTTCTATTTTGCTTCACTCGGCAAAAATGAGAGGTTCATTTTCCATAAAGCTTTACGAGTTAAAATCATAAATAAATAGGGAGTTTGGGGGAGATTTCTAGAATAGTTCTTCAGCTGCAAAGAGAATAAAATGGATATTTCCCAAATGTGTCTCGTTCGATGATTCACCCAATCACCCACCACCCCCACAGGCATTTGACGGCTCATGGCGTTGTGTGAATTTTATGTCATCTTTTCCCTTTCTTTTGCCTGACGTTCGCTGCTCCGCGTTTCGTAGCTCGTACCAGGCCCTTAAACTGGCCCGTCATTTTCTTTTGTTTCCTGTGACAAAGATCAATCAATTGATATATTAACCACAAAAGCCTTCGATAAAGAGCCATGGGATGACATAGTGGCTGTCACTTTCAAAGTGACAAGAAAGATCGTGATAAAGCATCCAAGGTAAAGTAGAGAGACGAAAAGAGAAACGCCGCAGTCGCCTATCAATATGCTTCATAGTTCCTCAAAACATTTCCTATTTCTTTGCCAGTGAATGCACTTTGTCCCTAACGTTTGACAACAACTTTGCAAAAACGCAAGAGAACGATTATTTTGTTGAAAAGATGTGAAACACTATGGCAAGGTCAAATTAGAAAGTACATTGGTTTAACAGGCGTTGCACACCATATTTGCGAAAAGGGGAACGCGACTTGTGGAACACACGATTCATTTTGCGATGAACGAGACGCGTCTTGAGAGGAAAGAGAACCTCCTCACGAAAAGTATGACAAGCAAAAACTACTTCTGGGAAGTGAGTTGCGATAGCGTTCTTTTTTCACGATAGAGAGGCGAAGAAGGAGAGGAACCGGGAAATTTCAGGATCCCTCAGCCCTGCTGCAATCAAATAATATAAATTTTGAGGCAGGTCAGCACTTACCTTTTGTTGAGCATATTTAATTGGAGAGGCACATAAGCGAATGGATCTGGTTTTCCTTTCTTCTTCACATCACCGCCCGCTTTCTATCGAGTTAATGAAGAGAATTTCTTAGTATCAGTAGAGATTCAATCCTGGCTTCTTTGTAACATAGTTTAGTACACGAACATTTTCGTTAGAGCACCAAAGAATTATAGTCTCTGTCGCAGCCGCTGTTTGGTCTCGCAAAAGTCCCTCTTTTGACAAAGCTGCATAACAGACTCGAGAAAGGCGCTCAAAAAAAATAAAGCAGTCGACAAAATGTCATGTATTTGCTAGTTATATGCAGTTCTTCAAAATGGCGATCGAAACGAAAGATCAACACTGAGAAGAAAAGTAATATTGTACCAAATTTTCCATTTTGATTTATCTACACATCTGTCAATGAGTGAAAAAGGAAGTTAACTTAACGAAAAGTGAGAGACCGCAAGAGGAAGCATTAAGCCTAACACTGAGGAAGAAAATTTGAGAACACAATCAATAAGGCGATGACTTGATCATTTAATGAAACCATCGGCCAATCCGCCAATCGACCAGTCAGTCTTTTGATCATATTAATCCCTTAATCAATCAATCAATCGATCACTCAATCGATGGATCAATCAGTCGGTCAATAAGTAAATCACTCGGTCTATCGGAGAGTCAGGCGGCCACTCAGTTAGTCAATAAGACAGTACGTGTCGGATCAGTAAGGAGGACAGGAGGGTAATGAGAGACAGTTAACAAAACTAACCCATACCTTCGCTTTGTACTCAGCTCCAAACGCCTTATCACTCTTTTCACGTCTCGAAGGAACCTCTGTTAGATAAACTTAAGGTAGTTAATTATAAGTCATAACAACAGAGCAGATGCCAACGAAAAAAAAACAAACCTTCAATGA